CCCTTCCGGGCCACAGCAGAGAGCTGGACTGGAAGAGGAGCAATTGGGTCTAGAACCCGGCGCCCATATGGGATGCCAGCACCACAGGTGAAGGACTAACCAAGTGAGCCGTGGCGCCGACCCCTGTACATTGACTTTATATCCTGCTACTTTTGCCAAACTCTTCTATGAGTTCCAATAGTCTTTGTGGAGTTCTTTGGATCCCCTAGAGAATCATAGCATCTGCAAAGAGGGATAGTTTGACTTCTTTATTCTCAGTTTGGTCATCTCCCACTGAGACTACTCAAACTCTCAGCCGCACCGTGAGTTCTCCCACACACCTTCAGTTTGTTTGTTTGTTTGTTTCCCACAGTCCCGGTTCAGAAGCCCCACACATTCCCTAGGTCATAGTCTCCTATTATTACTCTCTACCAGAGTTAGGTTCTTCTGCTTGGCCGAGGGCGGGCGCAACCCCGAGCTGTTGCAGCTTTTACGTATGTCCAAAATGGTGCCTGCTCTGTCGGCTCATACACCTTTGTAAGGTGAGTGGAGAGAGAGAATTGTGTCTGTACCATCTCTTTTATTTTTTTTCTTTTTCTTTTCTCTCTTTTTTTTTTTTTTTTTTTTTTTTTTTTTTACAGGCAGAGTGGACTGAGAGAGAGAGAGAGACAGAGAAAGGTCTGCCTTTTGCCGTTGGTTCACCCTCCAATGGCCGCCGCGGCTACCCTGCTGCAGCCGGCGCACCACGCTGATCTGATGGCAGGAGCCAGGTACTTATCCTGGTCTCCCAGGGGGTGCAGGGCCCAAGCACTTGGGCCATCCTTCACTGCCCTCCTGGGCCACAGCAGAGAGCTGGCCTGGAAGAGGGGCAACCAGGACAGACTCTGGCGCCCTGACCAGGACTAGAACCCGGTGTGCCGGCGCCACAAGGCGGAGGATTAGCCTAGTGAGCCGCAGCGCCGGCCTTTATTTTTTTTCTCTAGTTAGGCTGGTATACTTTCCCCCACGGGGCTTCAAGCCTCATTCCCTCTATGCTCTTCCTGCCACTTTTCTGCCAGGGTCTCAGGCTACTGCAGTCTTGTCTCACCTCACTTTCCAGCGCTGGTGTGGAGGCTCTCGGCAGCTAGAGTCCCAAGCCATGGGCGCCCATGCCCTCCACATAGCTCTACCATGTCCCTCTAATTAGGGAGGAGTTTCCTCTGCCATATTTTCCCTAACTCTTCCCTGAGACTACACTATCTCCATTTTTATTAAACTATCTTCTCCTGGACTATATCAGTAAGCTCCCTCCCTATTCTGCCATATTGGAACCACCCCTGCCCCTATGCTTTTACATTTCAAGTGGTCTTTTGTGGACATTTTTTAATGATTTATTTATTTATTTATTTGAAAGATTTACAGAAAGAAAATGAGGGGCAGAGAGGGAGAGGGAGAGGGAGAGGGAGAGGAAGGTCTTCCATCCACTGGTTCACTCCCCAGTTGGCCCCAGCAGCTGGAGCTGTGCTGATCCTAGCCAGGAGTCAGGAGTTTTCTCTGGGTCTCCCATGCGGGTGCAGGGACCCAAGCACTTGAGCAATCTTCTACTGCTTTCCCAGGCCATTGCAGAGAGCTGGATTGGAAGTGAAGCAACCAGGACTTGAACTGGCACCCATATGGGATAACAGCAGGCAGTGGCTTTACCCACTATGCACAGCGCCAGCCCCATGGACAGCATTTAATAGAGTTTTAGTTTTTCACCCAGTCAACCTCTTGAGTATTTATAGGACAACCATTTACAGTAATGATTGATAGACTTAGGGTAGGTCTGCTGCTTGATTTTTTTATTTTAATTTTTCTTATTTTTTTATAAAAGATTAATTATTTGCAAAGCAGACTTAAGAGAGAGAGATATAGACCTTCCATCTGCTGTTTCACTCCCCAAATGGCTGCAGTGACTGGAGAAAGGCCAGGCCAAAGCAAGGAGCCAGGAGCTTCTTCCAGGTATTCCACATGGACACAGGAGCATAAGAACCTGGGCCATCTTCCTTTGCTCTCCCAGGCACATTAGCACAGAGCTGGATTGGAAATGGAGCAGCCGGGACCTGAAGCAGCACCAATATGGGACGCTGGCGCTGCCTGCTGTGGCTCAATGAATGGCAGCACAGTGCTGGCCCCTGTTGTCCCCCTTCCTTCCTTCTTTCCTATCTTCCCTTCTTTTTTAGATTTAATTATTTTTTAAAGATTTATTTATTTATTTGAAAGTCAGAGTTAACCAGAGAGAGGAGAGGCAGAGAGAGAGAGAGAGAGAGGTCTTCCATCCGATAGTTCACTCCCCAATTGACCGCAACGGCCAGAACTGCACCAGTCCGAAGCCAGGAGCCAGGAACTTCTTCAGAGTCACCCACGCAGGTACAGGGGCCCAGTCACTTGGGCCATCTTATAATGCTTTCCCAGGACATAGCAGAGAGCTGAATGGGAAGTGGAGCAGCCGGGTCTAGAACCGGTGCCCCATATATGGGATGCCAGCGCCTCAAGCCAGGGTGATAACCCACTGCGCCACAACACCAGCCCAGATTTAATTATTTAAGAGACAGAATTACAAAGTTAGAGACAGAGCGAGAGGTCTTATTTCGATGTTTATTTCCCCTGCCAGCCTGGAGGACCACCCCTTCCAAGTTACACATGAGCTCTACACTCCTCTTCTGTCTGGAGAGTAATCCCTCCTCCTGGGCAATCAGGACTCCTGGCCGGCACGTCCAGGTGCCTCCGTTGTGTCCCTCTGGGCACATGCTATAGAGGGGCAGTGTCTTGCCCAAAGGCGCACAGCTGTTTCCAGAATACTGGGTAGATGTGTGTCAGGGTCCGTAACCATCTCATCCCAAGCTTAGAGCTGTGATGTCTTGGAAATCTAACTTTTGTGGTCTCACGGAAGCCTGGCCATGTACCACTGCTAGGCGTTTGGAAGTCTGCAGTGTGCTGTGGCTGGAGCTCCTTGTGTCCCAGTTGGAGGGGCTTCAAGACTGAAGCCGGGCCGCCCCCTCCTTGTGCGTAGGCCTGGAAGGATGCCGGGCTGCCGCTCTCCACCACAAGCAACGAAGCCTGCAAGCTGTTTGATGCCACTCTGACCCAGGTACGCCCACCGGAGAAACGCTTGCCCTCAGTGAAGGTTTTGGGGGAGGTTTTCTGATTTGGTGAGTGCTTTTTCAGCTGCGCTCTAGCAGCGGAATGCAGTCAAGTCTGGAAGATGGAGCATCCCAGCCCACCCACCCCCTCTGCAATCAGCCTCCTACCCAAGGTCTCCCAGTGGTGGGTGGGCAGCAGTGGGTGGTTGGGGATAGATTGGAAGGGCCTAGCTAAGGGACTGCCTGCTGCCTGGTCTGCACCTGCTGCCACTCTGGGTGAGGCCTGGGCTGGGCTGGGTTGGGCTGGCCCAAGCGTCTGAATCCCCAGCTGTGTCCAATCTATTGCCAGTATGGGCCACGCCATCTCTGCCGGCTTCAGGCTGATTGGCACTGGAAGCTCCAGGCAACTGGACAAAGAGCTGGATCTGGCTGTGAAGACCATGGTGGACGTATCCAAAGCGCAGGCCCTGACACAGCGGGAGCAGCTGCACGTGTCTGCCGTGGAGACATTTGCCAACGGGTGAGGGGCCTCTGAGGGCTGTGTGTCTGTGATGGGTGAACCGAGGCTGGGCTGGGGGTGCCTCAGGCTGTCCCCATGCGGCACCAGGGGAATCCTCAGCCCAGCTCATGAGAGCACCTGGGTCAGGGCTGCGTCCTGCCTGTGCAGTCGAGTGCCTGATAAGGAAGGTTGGGCTGAGATTCCCAATTTAGTGTCCCAGTCACTCGTTTTGTTTCATGACCTCAATCAGTTATTAGTTTCGTTACTGAAATAATGGAACCGTGTGGTAGAAATGTCCACAAGAGGGCAGAAAGCATCTGTGCATGTGCTCCTGGTTCCCACACACCCCTGGGTGCACTGCCGCAGCCTTCCAGATTCCTGTCCCTGTCCCCCGCTGACCCTCACTCCCTGAGAACGGCAGTGCCCATGCCTGCTCTGCAGGTGTGACACCGCTGATGACCCCGCAGGAGCTCAGGGGTGCTGAGCCCGACATGGGGACATCTCCTGGGGTCTGCTCAGTGAGTCCACACGGGGCGATTCCAGCCCAGACTCCCTACAGCCAACTCTGGTCACACTTGAAATTGTCTCTGACAACTTGAGACAGTTTACTTATTTATTTGTTTGTTTATATATTTTGACCAGGCAATAAGATTCCTCATTGGGTTTTCAATGTCCTCGGCCACGTTCTAACTAAGAAACTGTTGTTTTTAAGCCAATCCAATGCAGTCTACGATGTGGAATGTGTTTTATGCTTGGGGGTGGAGGCTTTGTGTTCAGTGGTGCTGAGAGCTCCTCTTAGCTTCCAGGAACTTCCAGAAGACCTGTGCCCTATGGGAACAGATTCCCCAGGACAAGATGACAGCTTCTTCCAGTCAGAAGATTCTTCCCGGTCACCCAGTCAGGTGCAGTGGCCGAGGACTTGAGTCATCTTCTAGGCTCCCCCTAGAGGCTGGATCAGCTGGACATGGAGGAGAGGGGCTGAAAGATGATGTTATCACTTGAGAGGCAGAGAGAGACACAGGCCGAGATTTCCACTTGCCGGTTCACTCCCCAAATGCCCCAATAGCCAGGGCTGGAACAGAGCTAAATCCAGCAGCTGTGGACTCCAGGTTTCCAAACCTGGGTGGAGGGGACCTTCCAACTTGAGCCATCACCTGGTGCCTCCCAGTGCACATAAGCAGGAAGCTGGAGTCAGGAGTGGAGCTGGGACTCAAACCAGACACGGGGACGTGGACACATGTGTCTTCCCTGTGGCTAACGCCAGCCCCTGAACGATTTATTTTACAGACTCGTGTGATCGTGGGGCTGACATGTTAGCCCTCTGGAGGGCAGGCGGCAGGTGGGAAGTTCCCACAGCGGCTGGCAGGAGAGACTTTTCTGTTTTCTAAGATTTATTTTGTTTTTTAAAGAGTTTTATTTACTTAAGATTTAGAGAGAGAGAGAGAGAGGTCTTTCATCCACTGGTTCACTCCGAATGACCGCAGTGGTCAGAGCTGAGCTGATTAGGAGCGAGGAGCTTCTTCTGGTCAGCAGCTTCTTCCCAGCCTCCCACGCAGGTGCAGTGGCCGAGGACTTGGGCCATCTTCCACTGCATTCCCAGGCCATAGCAGAGAGCTGGATTGGAAGCAGTGCAGCTGGGACTTGAACTGGCGCCCATATGGGATGCCAACGCTGCAGGCCAGGGCTTTAACCTGCAACGCCACAGCACCAGCCCCCTGACGGGAGAGACTTGAATCTGGAGGCAGAATCCTGGTCTCCGGAGCCCTCAGTCTATCTACGGATGGGGTGAGGACCACCCACGCTGTGGAGAGAAGCCACTTTAACTCAAAGAACACTGATGTCTGTGGGGAGCAACTCGGACTAGACTAAGTTACTGGAATTAAGACTTATTCTATGCATCTGCTCTCCCACAATATGGTGCTGGGAGAGGAGAAAACAGCTTCTACGCAGCTGCCTCTTGCCAACTTGAGTGATGACCTCCAGGAGCTGATCCTGCTCCTGATTGGAGGAGAGCAGCATACTCGGCATGTGGGCAGCCGAGTTGGGATTGGTGGAAGAGGACTATAAAGGAGGAGAGAGACAACATGCACCAGGAACATCTAAGGGGAACATCTATCTGAAGGAACACCTGTGCAGCCCCCGAGAGAGCCGGCCGGCGGTGTGCCGCTCCCCCGCGGAAGTGGGGAAAGTGGCCAGGGGGAACCGCCCTTCCACGGAGGTGGAAGGGACGGTAGCCAACCCGGGAAGAACCAGCAGCAAACCCGGGGAGGGCCGAGCAGACGAAAGAACAGCGCAGGGTCCTGTGTCGGTCCTCCACGAAGACGGGGAGCGACATAATGGTGCCGTGACTCGGATAGGAAACTTAGGAGGGAAGAAACGGGAAGAAGTGGGAAAATACCGGAGAGAGAGACTAGTAAAGAGCCTAGGGAAAAGCCGGACGAAAAAGGTGCCGGAAGAAGCTATTGAAAGCCTAGGCATAGACTCAGATATGGACTACGGGGGGAAGCTGGGAGAAATCTCTAAGGTCGAAAGCGAAAGTGAAAGCTAGAACAAACAGACTCAGATACGGACTGTGGGGAGAAGCCAGGAGAAATGAGGGAGGAATATTGTTGGAAGAAAACTTAGGGAAACATACCGGGTAGAGAAAAATGTTAGGGAAATTGAAGCCGTGGGGGGCAGGCCGAGGCGGAAACGTAAGCCAGCTTGGAATTCTTTAAGTCAGCCCGGGGAGCAAAAGGCGAAAAGTTAAACCAGAGGCGGAGGCGTGGGCCAGGTTGGAATCCGTCAGATTAGCCCGGGGAGCAAAAGACGGGAAGCCAAACCATGAGGCGGAAACGTAAGCTATAGGTTGAATTCGCCAGGTTAGCCCGGGGAACTTAGATTGAATACCGGTGGTGGCGGAAACGTAAGCTACGCTGTGTGACTCGCGGAAGCCGCCACGTGCAGAGAGAGCGCACGGGGCGTGAATAGATAGGGAATGTGGGGCTAGTGCGAGGCCGTGGTGCGGGCGTGAAAGGCCGTGGAGACCACGGAGCGCGCAAACCCAAGCCACGCAGAGCCGTGAAGCTGCCGCGGGGCGAGGTGCCGAGAAGCAGCCTCGGGGCGGGCGCTGGGAAGCTGCAGGGATAAGAGAAACAGAAGTTTAGAAGTAAAATGAGAGAAATAGGAATGCTGGTAGATAGAAGTAAAATGGGAGAGATAGGAATGCCCGGAGATAGAGAAATGGAGAAAAATAAGGCCTCCCTCAACATGGCAATGAGAGAGCTTGGATTCGGTCTGCCTGATTAGGGAGGTGGTGAGCACCTGCGGGCGGCTAGCAGTTTATGCGCCGCAGGTCACCGAAGACAGGCACGAATTAACATCAATAAGTCTCCCCACAATACCGCAATGAGAAGGCTTGGATTCGGTCTGCCTGATTAGTAAGGCGGTAAGCACCAGCAGGCAGCTCGACCAGAGTATGAGCTGCAGGTCACCGAAGATAGGCACGAATCAACACCAATAAGTCTCCCCACAATACGGCAATGAGAAGGCTTGGATTCGGTTTGCCTGATTGATAGGACTTGTAAGCACCTGTGGGCAACTCTAGCAAGCAGAGCAGAGTGTGTACCGCGGGGCACCGAAGACAGGCGCGTATCAACGCCAAAAAATAAAAAGAAAGGGGGATCTGTGGGGAGCAACTCGGACTAGACTAAGTTACTGGAATTAAGACTTATTCTATGCATCTGCTCTCCCACAATATGGCGCTGGGAGAGAAGAAAACAGCTTCTACGCAGCTGCCTCTTGCCAACTTGAGTGATGACCTCCAGGAGCTGATCCTGCTCCTGATTGGAGGAGAGCAGCGTACTCGGCGTGTGGGCAGCCGAGTTGGGATTGGCGGAAGAGGACTATAAAGGAGGAGAGAGACAACATGCACCAGGAACATCTAAGGGGAACATCTATCTGAAGGAACACCTGTGCAGCCCCCGAGAGAGCCGGCCGGCGGTGTGCCGCTCCCCCGCGGAAGTGGGGAAAGTGGCCAGGGGGAACCGCCCTTCCACGGAGGTGGAAGGGACGGTAGCCAACCCGGGAAGAACCAGCAGCAAACCCGGGGAGGGCCGAGCAGACGAAAGAACAGCGCAGGGTCCTGTGTCGTTCCTCCACGAAGACGGGGAGCGACATAATGGTGCCGCGACTCGGATACAAAGCCTAGGCAGGGTTTAGTGTCGTTCCTCCATGAAGAGGGGGAGCGACAGATGTCAGTGTTGGCCCCACGAACAACTTACTGCCTCAGCCACACCTGACTGGTGTTTGGACAGAAAACTGAGTTCTGCGGTCCAGCCAAGTGGACATAGGGACTTGACCACCACAGGGGACTTTCAGGACCTGATACACAGTAAGCACTTATTAAATAACCCAGAAAGCGCTCAGTGAATGACCTCACAGAGCTTCCTTAGTTACCATGCAGTTAGCCGTCTGGAAGGGGCTGTTCTAGAATATGCTTCTGTGAACTACGAGTCAGATCTGTATCTCGCACGGGAGTAGAGATAACATCCAGCGTGCAGAGTCCAGCTTCAGTCTTGTTTCCCCTTGGCTGGAAAGCCACGGGCAGGACGCCTCTATCCTGTGTGAGCACTGGGGGTCCTGGCTGTCAGTGAGACGGGTGAGATGGGGGTGTGCATTTCCTGTGCAAGGGAAGTGGACCTATCCTGGCTGGGGCCGTGAGAGTGAAGTGGACAGGGTCCCGGCCCCAGGTCCCCTGGGCCTGGGGAGGAGCCTGGCTGTGCAGGGGGGGTGTCCAGCTGGGCAGACGCTGGGAGCCGAGCTGCAGAAGCAGAGGAGGAGCCACAGACAGAACCCAGCCAGGAGAGCTTCCCAGGGAGCAGTCCTCCTCTGTCCCACCATGGGGGCTTCACCAGTCAGATGCGGCAGGGGTGGGGTGGAGGGAGACCCTGTGCAGATGACTTGGGGGTGGGAGGGCACTAATCCAGGCAGGCCCTGCCCTGTTATGGTTCTGATGACGAAGGTCATTAGGTCATTAGCCCCTCAGTAGAGGGAGCCTGGAAAGCTGAGACGCAGCTGTAATGGCGTCCACAAGTGGGGCACTCGGAGCAGCTGGGGTGCACCTGCCTGTGTGCTGCAGGCCAGTGCCTGCCCCATGCTCAGCGGGGGCCTGACGTCCTCTTGCAGCTCCCGCTGTTGCTGGGTCCCTGGAGTGCTTGGGCTCGTGGCTGCCCCCGCTGATTTTGCTTCCTCACCGCCGTCTTCCTTCTCTGTGTTCTCATGGCCCCTTTAGGACACAGTCACGGCCCAGGGCCCACCCATCTTAACGTGGTAGATTCTGTAAAGCATGAGTCTAACAGGGTCCCATCACGGTCCCTGGAGTTGGGACATCGGCCCATGTACTGGAGGGCACAGAGCAGTGCTCCCCGCCTGTCCTATTGTATTTTGAGGTGACTTGTTTTCTGTCTTTAGCTATGTGAAAGGCATCTATTCTTTTGGACTGATGGAAACCAACTTCTACGATCGGGCGGAAAAGCTTGCCAAAGAGGTAAGTAGCCGACTCTTTCCAGAAGTGCCCTGGCCTTGAGAGTGGCCAAGAAGGGGGTAACCCGCTGGTTGACCTGAGCCAGTCCCCCTGAAGGTCCCCAAGCATAGGACTCACTGCAGTGCCAGCAGCTGCCCCAGGCAGGAAGCTGACCCTTGCCATCCCCGTGCCTCTGTGGCCACGGAGCCACGCCCCTTGGCCAGCCACAGCCCAGGCCTGCAGCAGAGGGGGTGAAGCTGGGGAGGCTTTGCTCAGCCCCTGGCTCAGGGTTGCACTCGGGGCGTCTGTGCTCCCACCAGCTCTGCTGGCTTCCAGGGCCTATGCTCGGCACTGCTGGGACAGTGTGGGGAATGGATGTAAACCTTCCTCCTTGAACTTCACGTTTCTCAGCATCACTGACTGCACACGAGGCTCAGAAGGCGGCACAGAGGTCAGGGACAGAGGCTGATGCCCGCTGGGCCTGACCTGGGGCTTCTGTTTCTTCCTGCATGGTTTGGACCCTCCCCACCACACACACCTTTTCCAAAGACTGATTTATTTGATAGGCAGAGCAACAGAGAGAGAAAGACGGAGTTGGACAGGGACAGGGACAGGGAGAGGGGAAAGAGATCTCTTCTACCTGCTGGTTCACTCCTCAAAGCCAGCAGCAGCTGGGGCTAGGCCAGGCCAAAGCCAGAAGCCAGGAACTCTATGTGGGTCTTCCAGGTGGGTGGCACGGGTCAAGTACTTGTCCATCCTCTGTGCCCTCCCAGGTGCATGTGGAAGGAGAGGAAGCAGAACAGCCGGGACAATGTGGGATGCTGGCGCTGTAGCCAGGGCTTCACTCACCTCTGCACAGAGCTGCCCCGAGCCCTGCCCTAGAGCATCCCCCAGGTCAGGGTGCTCACCGGTGGTCCAGCAGGCAGGGCAATGTGGCATCCACTGGGCGTTTCCCGCCTGCCCTCGGTCCTGGACTGCGGCCCCCACCTGTGTCTTGAAGGCTGGCACTGAGTACAGTGGATGCTACTCTGTGCATGGGCCCAGAACAAGTGACAGGCTGCAGCCTGCATCTCTTCTCCTCTGTCCACCTCAGAGGAGTGGATCCTGAGGCCCAGGGGGCAGCTGCTGCTCTTGGTTCAGGCTGGGGACTCCAAATGCACCTGCTGTCACTCACACTCTGTCCATGTGATGCCTTTCTCCCATTGCTCAGAGAGGCCAAGGCCACAAGGTCAGAGGTGAGCCAGATTCTCTAAGGCCACCTGACCAGACAGGGGTCCTTGAAGCTGCCAAGACCAGAACCCAGCCTCCCTGCGACAAGGTCAGGATCTTACCCTGTTATCGCCCTGGTGTTCCTCAGCACCCCTAGTAGATAGCACCCCTGGGTGTCTTCGCATCACAGAATTAGAGCCCAGGCTGGAGATCAGGGCCACAGCTCTTTTGTCTGCAAGTCAAGTCAGAGGTCAAGGTCTGGAGTGGCTTCCTGGTGATTTTACTTCTATACGTGGGTGACCAGGCACTACCCTCCCACAGCAGCCACAGGAAGGCCCTGCAGAGACCACGGCAGCCAGGCCCTCCTGTTGGGTGGTATCCACCTGGGCACCTGGGGGCTGGCAGTGCAGTCAGAGAAGCGTGGGCAAGGGTGGCCGGATGTGGTAAGTCGGATGTGGCAGGTCCCTCCAGGGTCAGCCACAAGGTGCAGACTAAGGCTGCACAAGTGGCAGGGGAGGTAGAAGAATCCCCTCGCTGCTCCCTCACTGCCACACAATGAGGCTCCCGGAGGTGATCCCCGTGTGGTGAGGTGGACTTCCTGGACAGCGAGGAGCCACGCTGGACTGGAGCAGCCGCACGGGCAGCCATGGGGCCGTGTGTCTGCATAGCCTGCGGGAAGATCCAGGCAGGCCAGGCGTTGTGGAGCTGGGGGCGTATTGGGAACTGGCTTGGAAGGTGCAAGCCTGAGAGACCAGAGCAGGGCAGCAGGGCAGCAGGGCCTGGATTGTACTGGGAGGGGGAGCCTAGGGGCCAATTGGGAGGGCTCTAGGCGAGGGAGGGCACTGGTCAGTCCCTGCTCATGTCAGAGCAGGAGTGGGGCAAGCCAATGGGCTGTGAGCCGCAGCCCTTCCAGTCTGCCCTGCATGAGAGCTGTGTGCCCAGCAGGGCCGCACCCAGTCTACTCGAACTCAGCCCTCACCCTCTCCGGTGTCCAGCACCCAGGGATCCAGCACAGGGGGTGCCCACGCTCCCTACAGACCCATCTGCTTCCTCTCTGTGTCCTGATGAGCAGGGGCAGGACGCATGGTGGCAGCAGTTGGCAGTCCAGGGCAAGCTGCACACCACCTAGCTTGGGGAAACCGAGGCAGCAGGCTGGGGGGTGAAGCCCAGGATTTGAGATGGGACCTGCCATGGGCAAGTCCATGGGACTTTCATGAGTCTCAGTCTACTTCCCTGTGCTTGGCACCTAGTGGGTGCTTGGTAAACATGAGCTGACCCCGGGAGCACAGGCAGCATGCTGCTGTGAGGCTAGGTTCACTCCCCGGTCCAGCCTGCCTCTCTGGGCACGTGAGCAGCCTCTGACCTCAACAGCAGTGCTGTCAGCACTGGGAAGCCCCCCGTTGGGTGCCCGTGTAGTGTGTGGGGAGGTCCCCAGTTGAGGGGCACTGGACGGTCCCCACCAAGCTCACCTCGACAGTGTCCACTTCTCCAAGCAGCCCTGAGTGGGAGGCAGCATCCGGGGCCCCTGCACTGGAGGGAAACTGAGGCCAGATGCAGGAGCCTCAGCTGTATGCAGGAGGCTGTGTGGTCCCAGGATGAGCCCTGCATTGGAGACTCTGCTGCATCCCAGCTGCGAACCCTGGGCCAGTAGCACACCTCTGCCTCGCGGTGTCCTGTGCTGGTGTGTCCTACGCATGCGTACATGGGCTGTCCTGGGGTTGTGATGGTTCTGAGCTGGACCCAGGCCTGTGAGAGATGTGCTGTGGCCTGCCAAGGCTGACTGACCCGCACTGTCTCACCCACACGCAGGCTCTGTCTATCACCCCGACGGATGCGTGGTCAGTGCACACCATTGCCCACGTTCACGAGATGAGAGCAGAGGTCCAGCAGGGTCTGGAGTTCATGCAGCACTCGGAGACGCACTGGAAGGTACGGTTCTCATCCCCCGGCCACCTGCCAAGGGAACTCAGTCGGTGTCCTGAGGCACAGGAGTTCACGGGTGTGCTTGAAACATTTCTGTCACGCTACCCATGGCTACAAAGCACCTCTCAACACCTGTTGGTGGAAGTTTCTAGAACTGGTCTAGAATTGGTAAAAGGAATACGTCATAAAATTACCATGAAGACAAGAGCCCCACTGGGGTGAGACCTAGGAGGCCCTGAGCTGGTCCTCCTGCCTGCCTGGAGCCCAGGGGTGGCCTCTCAGTGTAGCTGAGGGTGTGGACACAGGGGGGATGGTGCATTGGCCATCTGCAGGGTGGTTACAGGTTAGGGCCTGCAGAGGACGGGTGTGGGCCCAGCCAGACCCCTGCCCCCCTGCAGGCCCTTTCCCTTGGCCTGACCCTGCTGTGGCTCACTGTTCCCACTCCCAGTGCCCAACCTCTGGCCTCTCGGCTGGTAACTCACTGCCCTACTCAGTGCCGTCCTTTCTCCCTGTGTGCCTGTTGCCCCTGTGCTGGCCTCGGGCACCCAGACTGGCCTGCTCTCCCCTGCGCTGTGGCAGGCTCCCCAGGGCCCCACCGGTCAAGGTGGCCACTCCCCTCCCAGTCCTGGCAGTAAGCCGCAGGTGCCCAGCCATGTGTGTGCCAATCCAGGAGGAGCCTTGCGGGCAGAGGAAGGGGCGTTCCCGCTGGGATGTGATTTGCAGGAAGGCAGGTGTCGGAGTGAGAGCCTGGGCCCCTGACATCCACATGCACATCTTCCTAAGGACCCTGGATCTGTGGGCTCTGGAAGGCTCTGGGGGACCCAGGATGCACTGGGGTGAGGGGCACCCATGAGTACAGGGCTTGCTCAGGAGGAGCTGTGAGAGCAGGGAGGCCTAGCCAAGGCCTCACCCCCATGCCATTCATATGTCTCCACTAGAACTCTGATTCTGTAGGGTGATCCCTCTGACCTCAGTTTCCCCATCTATACTCTGTGAAGCCCTTGGTCCCAACACATAAATCAGGAGCCGCTAAGGCTGGGCTCTTGGTTCTCTGCTGTTTCATATTCTCCACTGTGGCCTCCGGCAGCCTGCAGCCTGGCTGGACAGCCCTGGGTGAGGACAGTGCAGCCCAGGGCCCCGTCCCCTCCTCCTCCTGCACTTGCCACAGGCGTTCAGCTCTGCCAAGACTCCAGCCCCTGCCGCAGGCCTGTGCCCTGCCCTGGAGCCCCATGAGGCTCCACGTGAGACTTCTCTGTCCTGGCAGGGCCTGGTCAGTGGACTGAGCAGCCTCGCAGCAGCGCATGGGCCTCCCTGAGACAGGCATCCCTCAGATTGTGGATACCCAGAAGAGACGTTGAACCCTTTGGGCTTGGGGTGGGGCAGTGGTCAGGGAAGGCACGCTGTAGGAGCCACCGTCTGCAGAGTCTGGAAGGATGAGCAGCTGTGTGGGTCGAGGTTGGGACTGTCCCAGCGCCCGCCCAGCTTAAGCAGAGCCAAGGCCTACGGTGGACAGTGAGGGAGAGGTTGTCCTCGCACCCAGGTGCATGTCAAATGTGGGCCATGCAGGAGGCGTCGTCAGCTCCTCTTACCAGGTTAGGTGGGGTCGCGAACAGGCAGCAACTTAGGGAAGGCCGGGCTCAGTGTTTGCCCGGTACCTGCTGTGTGTCCCGGGTAGCAAGAATTGTGGCCTTGAGAGCTGGGGAGGGCTGCACTCTGAGCCGTCCCGGGAAGGCCCATGGGCTCCTCTATGAAGGGGCAGCTGTCAGGGCTCTGCCTTTCCTGCAAGACTTGTCTCAGATTCTAGGGTGCTGTGTTAAAAATAAAGCCTGGGGTCTCAGCACCAGAGAAAATCAGTGAAGTTCCGGAAGCAGTCCTTTGGGGGTTGAAGGGACTTTGTAGGAAGAAATGGAGGTGATGGGGACCTGTGAGATGAGATGTGGATCTTGGCACCCCTGAGCAAAGCTGAGTCTGGAAGTGTGGCCGGGGGCGGGGTCTCTGCCAGCCTGCTCTGAGGCTTGGAGATGGGTGACGGGCCAGGCCCAGCACATGCTCCCGGGCACGCAATGGGGGCAGCTTCTCCAGGTCACTTGGTGCCCTCTCTTGCGCCTGGTGCAGTCTGAGCTCTTGGTCACAGTAAGGGTGACAGTCCTGATGGCAGAGGTGGTGGGGACCACACATTGGCAGCCTTTTGCTGAGGGCTTGCTCTGTGCAGACCCCATACATAACCCAGACATGCTCCTCGCTGGCCCTGGGTCCCCCATCAGCCCACAAGCAGAGTATGGCTAGGGTCATGCCTGTCTTCCAGATCCTGCCCCAACTGCCAGGGCCAGGTGAACAATGCTGGACATGGTGGACACCTGCTCCATGCTCTACCGCCTTCAGATGGAAGGTAGCACACCTCTGCCCCTCAGGCTCACTCACCTCCCCTCTACACAGCGAGTGCACGGAGCAGCTGCCCGCCTGGCCTGGCTCCGTAGATGCCCTGAGACCAGCAGGTCTGGCCGCCGCGTCTGTTTCTTCCAGTTCCCACTACTCAGCCAGGGGGCCTCAGGTTCCACTCAGGGAGGCACCGGCCACTCCCATGGCTGCCCTCCAGCCCCACTGGGACCGATGAGGGTGTGCAGCCCACGGCCCCCGCACCTGCCCTTGCTATCTTACATTTGTCCTCTGCTGTGAACTCCTGCAGTTTTGACAGCACCAGGCCCCCACGTATCACGCAGCATGGTCCACGCTGTCAATTCATGTCCATTTGTGCTAGCCGATCATGGCGACCCCGACGCGGGGTCACAGTGAAGGACAGAGGTGATCCGTGGGGAGGGCCGCACCCCAACTGCCAGCCTGGACTGCATGGAGAAGGTCTGGCTCCGGGCAAACCCTGGGTCCTCCTCCTGCATCCAGCAGGCCTGGACACTCAGAGCTCCCGCGCGGTGAAGCCCAGCCCCGGGCGGAGCCTCGAGAACTGACGTGGGCGCCATTTCTGCCTGGATGCAGGCCACGGATAGCGACGGCGACCGACTCACCCAGCGGCCTGGCCTGGCCTCTCCAAGCCGCTGGCTCCCGATGTCCCCAGTACGCGCGGCCCCAACAGGCGCGCTCCCCAGTGCCTTCACCTGGGCCCGGGTCCCTGGAGTCTTAGCTCACCGGTGCCGGGACCACAGACCCTCTCAGCGGGAAGCCCACCTAGGGTGACCGTCCCCTTCCGGCCTCGGGCAACGCTTCCCGTGCCCCTGCGCCCACTCCGGACAGCGGCCGGGACTTCGTGCAGCCGCATTGCTGACACCGGGCGCGAGCCCTGCGGCAGAGCGAGTATTAGTACCTTTGTTACTTCAGTCTTCACCAGACACGCGGGCGGCGCACTGTGGCCACACAATCCGCTAACGGGCGGGCCGCCCTCTGGCCTATGGACGGCGCAGGCCCTCCGCGGACTTCCGGGTGGGCGGAGCGAATCAGCTGCGCGTGCGCCCTGGGCCCCTCTCCTGGCGCTCCGACTACAGTCCCCAGGAAGCATCGGGGCGGGCACACCCTTTGGAGACAGACCAATCGGCATCGACGCTGCGGGCCGCTTCATTTAAATGCTCGGCGGGTGTCCGGGCCTGGTCGCCGTTGGCCGCTCGGGCTGAGGCGAGCGGCGCTGAGGTGAGCGCTGGGCCTGGCGCGGCGCGGACGCGATTATCCGTGCGGAACGCGGCCTCGCGCCCCCGGGGCCCGGCCTGGCCTGCGCCGGGGCCCTCGCTGCCCGGCAGAGCCCAGCTGCCGGCCCCAGCCTGAGCGCCGCGTCCCCTCATCCGCGCCGTCGCCTCGCCGGGGCGGCCCGCTGCTCCCTCAGCTCCGGGCCTGGCGGCGCTCGGGCCCGCGGCGGCCCCGGGGTGCGCTCGGCCCAGGCGGCCTCGGCGCCGCCCGCGGCTCCCGCACCGGCTCACCCGGCCCTTCCTCCCCGCAGGGACCGCCTCAGCCGCGTCCGGGGACCCAGGGCACGGCGGCGCCCTGTCTCGCTCTGGCCGGCGGGCGAAGCGCAGATGGACGTCCCTGAGGAGGAAGGTAGGGCCCGGGTGTGCCGCGCGCCGTTCCGGGCGGCAGCTTGTCCGCTTCTGCCCTCAGTGCCCTGCACCCTGGCCCCGCGCACCTGTGTCCTGGAGGGTTCTTTACACGCACGCACGCACGCACGCCCCGAGGGTTTCTTTTTGGCTGTCACTGGTGTGTTTCTATGTCTTGTGTAGGATCCTGGGGACTGCGTGTGTGAGTGGGCAGGCGGGCGGGCGGGCGAGCCTGGCTGTAACTGTGTTTCCCTGCCGTGCCCTTGTCTGGTTTGCTTATCAAGAGGACGGTGCAACCACAGAAAGTGAGTCTCCTCAGTGTCTGGGGGATGGATGCCAGGACACACGCCGCCTCCCCCAGCCGCGGGCACACAATCCACAGATGCTCCGAGCCCCGTGTGATAGGACGTGGCACTTGCCTATCATGCGTGTACGTCCTCGTGAGCACTGTAAGTCACGTGACAAGCATAGTTATCACCCTGTATGGTCTAGGGACTAGTAACAAGGATGAGTCTGCACATGTTCAGTGCAAGCACGATTTATTTTCTTGGAGGTGGGTCCACCTGCAGGTTAGGCTCTCACCGCCCTGCCTAGTGCCATCCTGAGGGCAGCTACCACGGACCTGGACTCTGCCTGGCACCTGGTGCAGAAGGAACAGACAGCCCAGCGCCACTCACAGTCAGTCTCGGAACCCTGAGTACTGTTGTGCCCAGATCGTTAGATCCCCGCAGAGACCCCAGAGAGTGGATCACACCAACTGCAAAAAGCAAGGTTTATTTAGGAGTACAAGCCGCGACAGTGACCCCATCCAACCAACCGGCACAGCGGAGGAAGTAGTGAGGCCCCAGTTTTTGTTCGGGAGAGTTTTCAAAGGAAAAAAGGGCTACATCAGCAGGAAAAAAAAGAGTTACATCAGTGGGGTTTACAGCATGGAATCTTTGGGTACAGGGAGTTCCAGCGGTGGGCTTACAGCACAGGAGCTTTGAATACAGGGAGTTACTTTGTTTAGCAATCTACTGTGCTGTCCTTGGTCCGCTGAGCTAGCTGTCCCTGGTGAGCTTTGATATCTCCAGAATGCCTGAATGCCTGCTTTACAAGGATTCGGATCTGCTATGGGAAACGGAGGCTGTGTTTTTTTTTTTTTTTTTTTTTTTTTTTTTTTTTTTTTATTGTTGTTTTAAAATGGAGTCCCTTTGGCTCTTCAAGTACAAGATTGATGCTTTTGCTCCTGGTCCGTGATTCATTTTTCTACACCAGACAGTTGGAAGTTTCCGGAAGTGAGGAAAGCATTGACTTCCCCAATTCAGGTGTATGAGAAGTGAAATGTCTCTCACCTCTACCCTTCTGGCTGCTCCTGCAAGAGCCAGCGATGTCATCAGCCTCTTGGGTGTCCTCGCAGAGTAACTGTGCTTGAGCAAGCCAGGCTGTCCACGATGTCGGCTGCCTCCCCATGTCCTGGTTAGATCGCCTCACCCTCAAGTTCCAAAGCCATTTCTGATTTTTTTCTTGTTCCTTTAGGATTTCATTTCTCTCTCTCTTTTTTTTAAAGATTTTTATTTATTTTATTTGAGAGGTAGAGTTACAGTGAGAGGGGGAGACAGCAAGGAAGGACTTCCATCCACTGTTTCACTCCTCAAATGACCGCAACAGCCAGAGCTGCGCCATTCTGAAGCCAGGAGCCAGGAGTTTCTTCCTGTTCTCCCACGTGGGTGCAGGGACCCAAGGACTTGGGCCATCTTCTACTACTTTCCAAACCCATAGCAGAATGCGGGACTGGAAGAGATCAGGAAGGACTAGAACCGGGGTCTGTATAGATGCCAGCGCTGCAGGCAGAGGATTAACCCACTGCGCCACGGTGTCGCCACTCATTTCTTTCTCTTAAAATGAGTCTACATTTATAATTATTCCGAGTAAGTAATGAGGTATCAAATTTTATTTCTTCTTCCAAGAGTTATGAAGTTTATATCAATATGGTTTATAGAACAATCTACCTTTTATCTATATTTTTTGTGGCCTATATGATAAGTTTTCTTTATCTACATGTTGCATATTTCTTGTTTGGCTTATTTTTCTGTAGTTTGTATTTTTTGTTGCTGCTTTAAATGAAGTATTATTTGAATTATGTCTTCTAAATGGGAAAGCTCTTGATTGCTGTGTCATAATTTTGTTGTCAGCCATGTTCTTGTCTCCTCTTACTATCTGTAATAGTTTCAGTTGGTTTTCCTGTTTTTTTTCCCCTTGTCTCTCTAATCATAGCATGTGCCCCATGATGATTTTGCTGCTGCATTCTTTGGCCTCACTGGACCGGTGAGTATGTCAGAACAGGGTTAAGACTGTGCCAGCAGGGTCTGGCCTAGTGGTTAAGACACCGCACCCCACACTGCAGTGCCTGCGTCCATTTCTCAGCCCAGGCTTTGCTGCTTCCTGCTGATGCAGCCCCTGGGAGGCAATGGTGATTGCTCAAGTAGTTGAGTTTCTGCCATCCTTGCTGGAGGCCTGGATTGAGTTCCTGACTCGAGGCTTCAGCCTTGCCCAAAGCCCCAACTACTGTAGACATGTGGGGAGTGAACTAGTGAATGTAATGTCTTTCTGTCTCTTTGTCTCCCAAAATAATTTTTTTTTAAGTTTAAATAATTGTGCTTAGATTCTGACCATGTGCCTGGTATAATGGGACTGCTTCTCCAGGTTTCCAATAAGCCTGGCAGCTTTGGGTTCATTTAGAGGTACATAGAAGTCATTGGCACCGTTCCTTAGCATTTCCATGTTTGCTGTTCCGGATCCATGAGAGACTTGTGCTGTCTGTGCCCTTGAAGTGAGGTTGGGCTCAGAGACTCGCTGGGCCAGTGAAGCAGGCCTGTTGTGTGCTGGGTCCCTCTGGGAGAGTCTTTGAGAACCTGCGTAGGGTTTGCTGCTTCCCCTGTGTCTTGCCGTGGAGACCAGCCAGAGCATGCATGAGGCACTGGAGGGGAAGGTTGAGTGGGAGATGGGAATGTGCCTTTGTTGTGCTGAGCCACCTGGGCTTCCCGGGGTTTGTGTTCCCTCAGCAGGAGGTGGCTTATCTGAACCAGGGTAGAGTCTGCAGTGTCCTGATGTCCCTTAGCCCCCTGATTGAACCTCATGCTGCCTTTTGGGTTGAGATGACCGTTTCTTTATACGATGAAACATGTTTGTAGGTGTTTATTAAGGGCCTTTAAAGTGGAGAAGATGGGTAACATTATCGTAGCTTCTTCACATATATGGAGGCAATCATGGTTTTCTCATGGTCACTGTTCGGTATGTAATTTAACCATCTTAGGGTCCTGAGATGAACTGAGCTTGGCCATACTGTATTAATATTCTTTCAATGTTTGTTGGATTCTCTCTGCTCATATTTTTGTTTAGGATTTTTGTGTAGAAATAAGTGAGTCTGGTCCTTTCTTTACTGAGCAAACTTAATCAGTTTTTAATCACATGCTGGCTTCATGGGAGTAATTTGGAAGCTCTGTTTTTTTCTAGCCTCTGGAGCTGGGGTAGGGAATATTTAAGGCCCACAGAGAGTGTTTGTTCTGGCCCCAGAAGGCAACCCCAGGAGGGCCTTGAAACTCAGTAAATCTAGAGAAAGCTCCTTTTTAACTGAGCTGATCCGAAGCCAGGAGATAGGAGCGTATTCTGGGACTCCCACCAGGGTGTGGGGTCCCAAGGGCAGGGGCCATCCTCTGTTTCTTAGGTACATTAGCAGGGAGTTAGATCAGAAGTGGAACAGCTGGGACTCAAACCAACACCAACATGGGATGTCACTGCTGCAGGTTGCGGTCCTAAGCTGCTGCCCCACCGTGCCGGCACCAATAAACTTTTAATGAACTAAAAAAAAAAAAAAAAAAAAATTACATCCAGACGTGAAGTAGAGGTGCCCTGCAATATCATCCTTCAGGTCCAGGACCCTTCGCCTGTTGGGCTACCAGCAGTGAACGAGGGGACACCCCAATTCACAGCCGGTTCCATGATCTCTCTCTCCTGTCTCTGTGCCGGGTTCGACTTGTCCCTAAAGCAGGAGTTCTCAGTTGCCTCACACCATGGAGTCTGAAATCTCGATTCCCAAACAATCATGCTTGGACAGTGTGTTAAAAAGATCTTAAACCTCTGGCACTCACAGACCACCAGGATCACAAAATGAAATGCCTTTGCCTGCAATTTTGGCCTCAGTATGAATTAGAGAACCACAGCCGCTGGCGAAAATTCAGCACTTTTGATCAAAACATCCTTACAAACCTGTATAACTTCCTCAAGCAGAATGGCAAGTGGTCTGAGGTTCCCTACCTGCAGGCATTCTTCACTCTTCACACCTGACCATCTTTATGTAAAGGCTGTTCTTCCTAATCCCATCTCTGTTCTCTCTCTCACCTCTTTCCCAAGCCTACCTGTCTCTCCTTCCATGCCATCCCACTGGACCCCTGTCCCCACTCGGTCTCAGAGACACAAACAAACCCATATGTTCCCTTAGAGAGAGGTTGCGGGGCCAAAAGTTCCCACCCAGGTTCAGGTTCCCTTCTCATTGTCTGATACAAGCCAGACTGAGGAAAACTTAGGCTCCTTTTCCTGAAAACCCAACTTAATATAAAAAAGAGTTCCTTCATCTCATCCAAGCTTACGTCTTGACCTAGGGAGACATCTATTTCATACTAACTCCACACTCACAGCCGATACAAGACCCCTCATGACACTCAGTGGTGGACACCACTCTGCCAGGCACTGAGCGAAACCGGACGTATCAGCCCAGAGATTCAGGCACTCAGAGACGTAATCCTACATTAGCCTGTCTCCTAGAAGATCTGCTGAAGCTTACTCATACCAATGTCAACTCTGACAGAGTCAGAAAAATTACTCGAGACCCTGATAAAACCTGGCCCTCTATTTCTTGCCTTATGGAGGCACTCCAAAATTATACAAATTTAGATGTAACCTCTCCAGGTGGGACTCTGGTTCATGAACTGGATGTGAAGATACAATCTGTGCCTGATGTCAGATGGAAATTCCTAACAGCTAGAAAAAGGGCCAGACCACCCCCCAACCCCCCCGCAAAGGAGCTTCTAAATATGGCCTTTAAGGTATTTAACTGAGAGAATGAGGCAAAAAGAGAAAAAGACCGGGAGAGAAAAACTATGTTGGCCTCGGCCACTTGAGACCAAAATCTGTCCAGTCCTGTGATCCCAATACCCAGAAGCAGGGCTGCTCCTGGTCCATGCTTTTGCTGCACCCGGGTTGGGCACTGGCCAAAGCATGCCCCAACTCGAGGCCCTCGATGTAAACCTACCTCGCATGTGGCCAATGGAGGCATTGGAAAATAGACTGTCCCTGCAGATGCCCTGGCACCCCTGGTGACATACCCGACTCTGACTCCTCACCAGCACAACTATTCAATGATGCTGCCCGGGTTCCTTGACCCCGGTCGGCGCTTCCAATTTGTCCATAGAATCCGGCTCATTGGGACCGTAGCTGAACAAACTGCTTCTTTTGTCCTGAACACAGGGGCTGTGGGGGAATTTTTACTTCTCTTACATTTTACCTTTGTTGAACTTCTGCTTGATTCTTGTTGAATGTCACTTTCCCTTGTGCTGAACCTTGCTTGTTCTTGTAATCTTTCCACGTCACTGATTGCTTGTATTGGCCTCTGGGAATCCTTTAGAGTGCCTTGGGACTGACTTTAAACATGCCTTTGGGAAACAAAGCCTGTGACATGTAAGCAAACCACAGTCCCACTGTAAGACCAGGACATCTGGTAAGCCAACATTTACTCCCTGCAGGGGAGGTGTGAATTAAAGCTTATCAGATGACCTTTATCAGACTGCCTGGCAGCTCGGTATCCAGATGATGGAGTATAAGCTTGTTGTTCATGTTTCTGTTAATTGTTTTGTTTTTAAGTCTATGTTCTGTACTCAGGTACAGAACTGATCATGAACAGACTGATAGGTTTTTCTAGTGTCTGTATTTTCACTGTTATTGTAACCCAAACAACCCAAGTAATGGCAGTTGCTGATTAACCCTGCACAGCTCAATAAAAGCGAGAAGGACGTGAGTGAAAAGTGGCACTCTGGCACTATCAGGCGAAGAGTCCCCTGATCCTTGCTTTTCTTCTGTTTACTTTGTGTTTCCTGTAATTCTTTCAGTGCCTGTTGTTCTGCCCTTTGGGCGCTGTACTCTGTACTCCCAACATCTTCATTAAAGGAGTCTTGGGCACCCACTCAAAACAAAAATCACCCTTCTTCCCTGCACCTTCGATTCCCTTACTGTGGCCCATGCCATCCTTGTAAATGCTATAATGCCCATGCCCTAATGGGGAGCAATCTCCTCTCTAATCTCAAGGTTTCAGTCTTCATACCACCACTAGATACCACCTCAATCTTTTGCCTACAACTCTACTCCTTCAGTTCCTCCCACTATCTCTGCTCACCCCTTTCCTTCTCCTTCCTGCAGTCTCTTTTTCCTCTTCTGATCCAGACTGATTTCAGAGACGCCTCTCTAGGCTCTCCTCAGAGTTGAGAACTGCCTTAGAAACTCACTTTCTCGGCCGGTGCCACAGCTCACTAGGCTAATCCTCCACCTGCGGCACTGGCACTCCAGGTTCTAGTCCCGGTTGCTCCTCTTCCAGTCCAGGTCTCTGATGTTGCCCGGGAATCAGTAGAGGATGGCCCAAGTGCTTGGTCCCTGCACCCGCATGGGAGACCAGGAGGAAGCACCTGGCTCCTGGCTTCAGTTCGATGCAATGCGCCGGCTGTAGCGGCCACTTGGGGGGTGAACCAATGGAAAAAGGAAGACCTTTCTCTCTCTCTCTCTCTCTCTCTCTCTCTCTCTCTCTCTCTCTCTCTCTCTGTCTAACTCTGCCTGTCAAAAAAAAAAAAAAAGAAAGAAAGAAAGAAACTCACTTTCTCATTCTGCTTGCACTTTCCAATTTCCCAACCAATTCACAGCCAGAACCTTTTGCCAGATCTCATCGCTGCATGCCCATGTTGGACCTTGTTTCAGCCCATTAGATTTGTTGGAGGTCAATTCTTTATCTCCCTAGAGTGCTCTCTGGCAAACAGCCATTGTCCCATACTTCTAGGAGGTCTAAGGGAGACTTTGGTCCCATTACCTCCTCCCTTTTGTTCCTGAGTAAGAGGAGATCTCTGGGAGGTCCAACGTGCGGTGAACTGGTTCCACTTTTGGGTGAGGGCCACTCTTCTCTGCAGAAGATTCCCATTGCAAGGGACTCCTTGGAGGAGTGGCCACCCCGACCAGTCCCACCTCAATCAGATTAACCAAATGAACTCCTCTTCCTGAGCAGGACCATTCTCACAGTCACCATGCGACCTAATGGCCTTTAGCCCTGTGCTTTCCTCACAGATCTACAGTAAGACCTTTGACTGACCACACCTCAAATCACATTCGAAGACCTCAGCCACCTGGTCAGCAATCTCTGGCTCCAGGGAACGTACGTTCCTGGAACAGATTGTCTTCTTCACCCTCACTCTGTGTCTCATCCTTCACCAATACCGAACATGTCCTTCATTCCGTCCTCCACATGTCCCCTTTTTGGTATCTAGTATACGCCCTACTAAGGGGGCTTCTTCCTCTCCCCACAACCACACTCTTTTCTGGCAGTCTCAGATTAGTACAAGAATGTACTCCTGGTGCTCACTAACATCACCACCTCAGGTTCCTGCCCAGTTATAATTCAGTTAGATGCTTGTTAAGCTGCAAATAAAGCAAAATATGATGCAGGGGAATAGATTGGGAACGTTCTAATTCAACAAGTATAAATATATTTGCTTACAAGAAGTAAAACCAAGCCAAATATGGATGTCCAACAGAAGACTCTCCATCCTACTTACTACTGTTGCCCTTGGTGGATCTGCAGAGAAGCCCATTCTAATCATTATACCCAGATCTTAAACTGGGACTGGATTCATCCTCACATCCTTCCAGCCCTGGGGCATGTAACCCAGTAATGTACAACATTCCCAATACCAAAGATCCTAAGTGGATTTGAGGACAGAATGCCAGCATCCATATTGATGGAAAAGAGAAGGATCTTGGGGACATAATTCCTATAGTAAAAATCCTTGTGGTAAATCATGACCACTGATGTGAGTCAGGACTCTGTCCAAATCCAGTCCCTGGCCAAACAGGCTACATGCAAGTAAACTTTGTCTTTCACTTACCCCCAACACCGTCTGTTTAACTAGCAAATCTTACCCATGCCATCCTCCAGTCCTCAAGATCATTCTTGGCCTAGAATTTTGGCTCTGCCTGCCAATGAGAGGATGCACCAGGCTGCATTGCCACATCACTTAACACGAACACAGACACCCATTCTGTATCCTATTATTATACCCCATCCTGTGTTACACAGTCCACCAGCTGTATCATCCTCAATACTTCCCAAGCAGCCTTACCCTGGTACTGTAATAACACCATTACTGTCAACCAAACCACAAAAGCTGCGTAAACGCCCCCTTGGCACCCATTTCATGTGTCACAATAGTTTCTAAAAAGCATCACCCCTGCCCATCCTCCCTGCGCCTTTTAATACTTATCCCCAACTTTTATCTACTCCCAGGAAACAGCGCCGACATACTGAATAGGCTCACCTCCCACACCGAGGTGGTCCCCAACTATTGGCCTTACTCTCCTAACAGTCTTAGGAGCAGGAAGTACCACCCTAGGGGCTACTGCCCTGGGGATGTCTCAACACTCCCTAAACCAACTGGCCCAACAGATAGAAACTTTGAAAACCTCCACCAGGTGGCCTCCCCCTTACAAGGACAAATAAACTCCCTGGCATCACTGGTCCTGCAACACAGGAGAGCACTAGATCTCCTGATGGCACAGCATGGCGGAACCTGTCCATTAGAGGACGGGTGCTGTTATTCCACTAACCAATCTCGAGTGGTGACCGACTCCCGAGAAAGATCAAAGACTATTAGAGTGAGCACAAGTATGAGGTCAAAACAAACAAAAAACAACATGGTGGTTAGTTCCTCTTGGCCCCATAATGGTGATCCTTATGGCCCTACTATTCGGACCATGCAATTGAATCAGTTCCAAAATTATGTACATAATCGCATCAGAGCTGTCTCTCAAGACCAGTTTAAGACTGTGATGCTACTCCACCAAGCCGATCAAGGACACCAAGCCCTCCACCCAAACTCTCAAGGTGACTCTGAACTCTAGAGGTCTCCCTCTCCCCTCTTCAGCTGGAAGTAGGCTGATAGCGTCGAAGTCCCTCTTCCTTTTTCTGTCTCTGGGGTCTGGAATTGCGGACAATAAGGCTGACAAAATATCATCCACTCCCACTTCTTCCTTCCTTGTTGAAACCACCAGTACAGGAACACTTGACTGAACACTTGACTTCTCTGGACTCCTTGCAAATCCAGAAGAAAGCCCCAGCACCAAGATGGCTTTCCCCCTGCTGCCAGGCTTCCTCTCAAAATAGATAAAAGCCCAGCCCTGCAGGCACCCTGTGCTGTCTCTTCACGAGAATAGACTCACCCCATCTGCTTCAATAATGCAACCTGTCTGATGAGGCTGCCTCTGTTTTGCCTTACCTGTTTTGAAAACCCAAACCTTGAGTCATTTCTAACCTTACAGTAATGTAATGTAGAGCTGCATGTAAGATATCACTAAATGAACATGATGACAGGGTATGCTTTGGGGTGAAATTTCATAGTAGCTTGGAGAGGTATAGGGCCTGCTAATACTTTTGTCTTTGTCAGCCCTAAAATAACAGTGCATTTTCCACTCCAGGCATTATTCTTTGGGGTGATTTTGGGAAAAAATATTTTCCAAAGACTTACTTCAGAGTCAGAGTTACAGGCAGAGAGAAGGAGACAGAGATTTTCCATCTGCTGGATTATTCCACAAATGACCACAAATGCCAGAGCTGAGCAAATCTGAAGTCAAGAGCCAGGGTCTTCTTCTGGGTCTCCCATGTGGATGCAGGGACCAAAGTACCAGGGCCATCATCCACCACTTTCAGAGGCCATCTGCAGAGAGCAGGATTGGAAGAGGAGCAGCCGGGATACGAACCAGTGCCAATATGAGATTCCCGTGCCACAGGGGAAGGCTTAGCCTACTATATACCACAGTGCCCAACTCAGCTGATATAAACACTGAATTCGATCTTATTGTCTGCTTCAAGGTAAACAAAGGAGTTTTATTCCCTGGCCTTGGGGCATAAACACATTCAGTTAAATCTTTGATTTAAATTAACTAGTATTGGCCAGCGCCGCGGCTCACTAGGCTAATCCTCCACCTTGTAGCACCGGCACACCGGGTTCTAGTCCTGGTCGGGGCACCGGATTCTGTCCCGGTTGCCCCTCTTCCAGGTCAGCTCTCTGCTGTGACCAGGGAGTACAGTGGAGGATGGCCCAAGTACATGGGCTCTGCACCCAATGGGAGACCAGGATAAGTACCTGGCTCCTGCCATTGGATCAGCTCAGCGCTCTGGCCACCGCGGCCATTGGAGGGTGAACCAACGGCAAAGGAAGACCTTTCTCTTTGTCTCTCTCTCTCACTGTCCACTCTGCCTATTCAAAAACAAACAAAAAGATAAATTAACTAGTATTAATATTGATCATTTTTTCTCGAAATATACTACAAATGAAGACAATGAAGTGTTTTTTTGTGCCTGTTGGACATAAAGAAAATGTGTCACTGCTGGCGTGGAACTCAACAAGCAAGTCCAGGCCCACCTCCTCTGCCAGCATCTGGAGGCCCCTTTGCATGGAGCCCCCTGGCCGGGGAGAAGTTCGTGGAGGTCTACAAGGAAGCGCGCTTGCTGGCCTTGGAGATAGAGAGCAGCAGCAGGAACAGGGCAGCCCACATGTCCAAGCCCCAGGACGCTGGGAGCCTGGGTGTGGAAAGATTCCTACAGGAGTCACAATTAAAAGTGAGCCTCTTTGAGAAAGAACAGGAAAAGGAGAAGAGTCCCAAGTCACTTAAAAGGGAGACTTACTACCTGTCCGACAGCCCCTTGGTGGGGCCGCTGCTCTTGGACGTCCAGCCCTCCATGAGTGAGGCCCCGCGTCTGACCCTGCTCAGCTCTGCTGCCCAGGTCAGCCCCGTTCAGTCACAGGGGCCATTGCACTCGTCTCGTCCTTGGTCAGGGCAGCCTGGTGCTGCCCACCCTCCCAGCCAGGCAGTGGCACAGAAAAGGGTCCCCAGCAAACTGCAGCTGCCTCGAGCATCATCGTCTGTCAGAGGAAAGAGCCTCCACTCGGCCACCGAGAAGGTAGACAAAACCGTGCACCTGAACATGGCCCAGGAGCAAGACACTGCTCGCCCCTCGGGCCTATCCAGGGAGGCTGTGTGGGCAGAGCCCTGGCGGGGAAGACCTGGGAAGTGGCGGATGCAGTGACAGCGGGGGAGCTGGGCAGGCGTGTGCCGATGAAGGATGGCTTCTGTCCATTCTGGTTGGAATCCTTCTTTTTGTCTGTGGCAATGCTGGACAGTCCACCCGCTGGGGATTTTGTTTTCTGTAATGAGCAACCTCTTCCGCACCTTGTCTCTGGGAGAGCCGCTGGTCTTCCTCCCTGGCGGTGACTGCCTTACCTTGCTTCCCTCCCAGCATCCAGCTGGGCAATGGCAGTTGACTGTCTGCCTATGGTGGCCTTCAGCCAACTGGAAGACTGGGGTGATGCTAAGAGAAGATGGATGTCAGCCTCTAGCGTGCTTGCAGGAGGCAGCGTAGGCAGAGTGGGCAGCGCAGGTGATCAAAGTTGTTCTGTTTTTATAGTCTAGTTCCTGGGTGACAGCCAAATGGGAATGACCCTCTGTGTGCTTGTTAGGTTTAGGAGGATGTAAAATGCCCAGCAAGGGACTGGAAATTCCTTTGGCCCACTGCAGGCCCCTCTCCCAGCCAAATGACTCCTTATGTCTGAGGCTAGAATGCCAGAAACAGGTTTTGTGCATGTAGCACAGCTAGACTTGATTTCAACCATAATTTAGGGAAGGTATTATTTAGCAATAAATTTGAAATTTTAGATGACACAAATTTCTTTAAAAAGCACCAATTACCAAAAAGTAACTCAAGAGTAAACTGGGAGCTACAAAAGCTCTTTATCTACTAAGGAAACTGAATTCCTAATGAAACGTACCCTGTTAATGAAATAAAATAAAAGAACACATAAAAACCCTTCAGGTGCAGATGTCTAGTCAAACTCTGTAATACAGGAAAAAGTTTTGTATATACCTCTCAGAATATACAGGAAAATGAAATTGAAAGATAATGTGGCGGCAGACATTTGTCCTAGCAGTTAAAATGTCCACATCTCACATCAGAGTATCTGGGCTCATCAGTGCCTGACCCTGCCTCCTGAATCCAGCTTCCTGCTAACTGCAGATCCTGGGAGGTGGCAGTGATAGCTCTAGTACCTGGGTGCCTGCACTCATAGGGAAGACGTGGACTGAGTTCCAGGATTCTGGTTTTGGCCCAGTCCAGTCCTGGCCATTACAGGCCTTTGGGGGGATGAATCAGCATCTCACTGTTTCTCTGTCTGTCTGTCTGTCTATCTATCTATCTATCTATCTATCTATCTATCTATCTCTATGAAAGAGTTAGAGAAGGAGAGGCAGTGAATGGTCTTCTATCCCCTGGTTCACTCCCAAATTGGTCCCAACAGACACAGCTGTGCCAATCCGAAGCCAGGAGCCAGGAGTTTCTTCCAGTTCTCTCGTGCATGTGCAGGAGCCCAAGGACTTGTGCCATCTTCTACTGCTTTCCCAGGCCATAACAGAGAGCCAGATCGGAATTGGAGCAGACAGGTCTTGAACCGGGCCCACGTGAGATGCTGACACTGCAGGCGGCGGGTTAACCCAGTATGCCATAGCACCAGCCCCTCTCTGTCTCAAATTTAAAATACGTCTCCTCCACAAGCTTTCTGAGGTAACCCTCACATATGTGGGGCTTTTGTTTCTCTTACAAAGTTATCCTGATTGTGCTACTTTTAGCAAAGTCTATGATCCATACTTCAGTATCTTTCATTCATTAGGAAAATTTCAATATTTTTTCTCTTCTATTGAAATTCCAATGGCAAACCTGTTGCCCCATTTGGCATGGCTCCACATTCTTGAGTGCTCTGTATGGGCTTATTGTTTTTACACTCTTTTCTCTTTGTGCTTTACTTGTAATTCCTAATGCGCTATCTTCAAGTTCATTTCTCCCCCACCACCACCCGCTTGTCAAATCAACCGGTGTGTCCTTTCAAGGCATTCTGTTTCTCTGTATTTTTTTTTTTTTTGTATTTTTTATTACTAGCATTTCCACTGACAGGTTTCCTTCTCTGCTGAAATTCCCATCGGCTTATGCATGCTGTATGTTTTCATCTAGGGGTTGTCATTTATCAATCACGCTTGTATCAAACTGCCTGTCAGATAGTTCCAGTGTGGGTCACAGGGTTTCTGGTGTTCTTTCTGATCTTCTTGATGGAGCTTTTTCTTTTTGTGTGGCTCCGTATGGGCTGAAAGCTGCGCATCCTTCAAAACACAGTGGAAGCTCAGAAGGGCGTGTCTGTCTGGGCTTGCTGGCTGAGGGCACAGGCTCAATCCAAGTGCTAAGGAGGGTCAGCCTCAGGGCACGGCTGGCTTCCATCTGCACTAGCACTACCTGTGTGACCAGAGGGTGCTGCTCAGTCTCTGCTCCCACCTCAGCTTGAGGACTGGGTTGCAGCTGCTAGCGACTCGTTGTCTGCTTGTGCGTCCCTTGTTGTCCCAGTCCAGTGACAGTATCAAGCTTCCTCGAGAATCCTACCCTAGCCCCAGTTACAGGAGACCCCCGGTGCTATTATCTCTGCCCAGGTCCTGCCTCTCATCTGGGTTCTTTCTCTGTCCCCAGCTACAGTGATTCCTCCTATGCCCAGAGGGTGCCAGGATTCCCTGACCACCTGCTCAGTCGCTTGTGGTATTTTCCCCTGGGGAGAAGGATGCAGCAGACATAGTGGAAGGGAAGCCACCTCCTGCTCTAGGCCGCATCCTCCCCGTAGGCCCCCACGTATATGTGGTACCAGCATTTCATTATGACTTTTGCCTGAACACTTCCTGCTCACACACCCCCGCCCTCTGCACCTCTCACCATGGTGTTTACAAGGTGTCTGTCTCCCTAGATTTCTGCCTAAGTGGTCACTCCGTGCCTCAGCCATCAGATGGGTTCAAGGAAAACTATGGTTTCATAGACTACCCCGTTCCTTCCCTGCCCTGCCCTCTTCATTCCTCTCAGAAACCTTTACAAAGCACAACTTCACTGGGTGGGCCCTGAACCCAGCGACCTCCCCTTTGGGAACAGAGGGTACTGGACAGCATCTCATGCCCACCCTGGAAGTCACATACGGAAGAATCCTAAAAACACTGAAATCCCATTCTAGGTGTGCATGGATGTGGCCCTCACTGAGGCCTCTGGGGAAGTTGCCTGGCCTGCAGGCACAGTCCCAGAATGGGGCAGGAGGCAGTAGTCATGCCAGGGGCATGTGCTGTCCCCTCCCAGCACCCTGGCTTCGCAGTCCCCACAGTCCGTGGAGCCAGGCCTTTCCAACGGTGTCTGTCAGGCCCCTCATCCCCGGAGGTCATGAGGACCGCAGATGCCTGTAAGGGAACAGGCCCCTTAGGAAAACTCTCGCCCCTGCTGCTGCTTCCACTCACATGACTCCATGACCCAAAGTGCTTCTAGGGCCCTGCCCCTCGATTCCCAGACCCGGGACTTCACGGGCCAGACTCCAACCAGAATTTGCTGTGGACATACTCCTTTCAGTCACTGCGGGTACCCTTAGGATGTCACCCCACGCTGGCAGGGCCTGGGTGCTGTGATTCTGGGTGGCTTCTTTTCCATTTGTGCCCGGCCGGGGACAGGCCCAGGCAGACCTGGCCTGCTGTTCTGGCCTCTCAGGGCGCTCACCTTCCTTCCATTTTCAACTGCATTCTATGGAGTAGGGTTGGTCCGGATTCCTGACCATCTTGTCAGTCCAGCACCACCCCTGGTGCTGAAGTGCACCTGCTGCCTGTCTCCTCCATTAGGACAAGGCGGGTTAAAGCAAGACCTGTCCTCCCCTAAAATCTTAATGAAGTTGTGCCACCTTAGGACCTTTCACCCAGCCTCCACCTACAAAGCCTCAACTCAGCCCAGGAATGCCTCCATCCACCCCCGTGGACTGCCCTCCAGCCAGCTTTCACCTGACCCTAGGCCCTGGTTACAGCCATGCCAGCCTCCATCTGAACCCCAGCCCTGAGCGGTCCCCACTCTTGAACCTGTGGGGTCAGGCCTCAGATGCTTTGCCTTGTGCCTGCTCCTACCAGCTGGAGGCCCTCAGCCCAGCAGCAATGGGTTTTCACCCGTGCCTTGGGGACCATCAGCTTGTTGCACTCCCATCCAAATGGGCTATGGTTTTTTTCCACTGGGGAGAAGTCTGTCTTGGAACTGCGGGGGCCATTAATAAATTCAGTAGAGACAATTATCTGGCCACTGCAGATTCACATTGAAAACAATGGACCACAGGTTAAATCTGAAATGACAGAATTGCGAATAAATAGCAGGGGGTGGGGGTGGGGAGTAGGAGAGTAAGGAATACTAGAATATACCTGTCCTGTCCATAGTAGTACAGTGCGAACAAAGTCTTTCTGAAGGACTTTCAGAGACTGCTGCCTATATGTGAAAATGGCCCTCCAAAGAAGCTTCCATTGTGATTCTCTGTTTTTAAACTGCATAAATATTTGTCATTGCTTTCTCAGGTTAGAAGACATGGTTTCCCATGTGCATAGGAAAAATCTTGTTAACTTGGCCATATTTCCATTTCACCAAGAAGTTGAAAGTCCAGACTCACTCAGGTAGACTCTCAGCTGGTACCCCGGTTTTCTCTGGACAGTCATCAGAGCTTGTCCTGGTCCCCTTCCTGGCTTCTCCCATTCCCTGGGCCTCAGCAGTTCCCTGGAGCCTCTCTGGCTGCAACTGCCCACGTGGGTGCGTGTTTATGACCTGAGCCTCCCTTCCTCTTCAGGAACTCTCAAGTGCTACACAGCTCCCCATCAACATGGTAGCTGGCCTCCTAGGTGGGAACTCTTCTCCCCAACACTTTGTGCTTCCTTCCTGGGAAGGGAAGCCAACTGTTGTAACCTTGAGCAAATTTATGCCCTTGTAGAGGGTCAGAGAATATAGGTGATGCTGAAGTAGGGGAGAGTGCCAGGGCACACCCAGCCACTGACCACAAGAGTCTGCCTCCCTGTCAGTAGCATCCCAAAGGCAGGCCTGTTTAGCTGTGCCTGCACTTGACTTTTGACCCATTTGTTCTGTGTAATCCTTTGGCCCCAAGTTTACTCTTTTTCTCCATCTGTGCAGAAGTCTTGTTACAGAAAGGCGCTGTATAATGGAGAACCCGTGGGCCAGCAAGGACCAGGTCACTCCGTGACCTCCCTGCAGAGCCGTGAGGACATCCTAATGGGACCTGACAGCTGCTAACTGCAGTGAAGATGAGAGGCTGCCTGGGTTCTATGAAAGGAAGAATGGAAAGTGTTCTGTGCTATGCAGCCAGGCCTGCCATGGCCAATCCAGTGCCACACAGGATGACTGGTACCCCTGGGGCAAAGAGCAGCTATCCATTGTTTGGGGACTTGATTGTCTCCTTTCTGTACCAGCTCTGCATACAGGAGGCATGTGTGCACTGTACCTCATGCAGAATCACTGCAAGTCTCACAGAAGAAATCTCATCTTTGATTCCTATAAACCTTGAAGGAACTCAGAACTAGTTTCTGAGTGAAAAACAGCAGCTAACCCTTTTATCTCTTAAATGATCAACGGTATTTATTCCTAAATGATTTGCCATGCCACAAATAATCAAATGCACAGAACCTATTACATATGCAACATTTACTGTATCTCAGTATGAACCCATTCAAACCTTTTGCTGTTTCACAAGTACCATAGCTCTGAAGTTTAACTTTCAGTAGCCTGGAGGGGTGAACGGGAAGTTTTGGAATTCTGACCTGGCACCCAACCCTGCATTCTTAATTGAAAACATAAGCCTTGAGACTCTCCTCAAGGCCCCTCTAGGCCTGACCAGGCAGGACTGGAAGAACAGAGGCTCTACAACCATGGTCCTCCAAGGGGACTTCCATGGCTAGAGTCTGGAACTCATTCAAGCAGCCAGGTTCTCACATAGAACCCACCGGACGGAGCTTGGTCCACAGTGGCCAGGTCTACAGAAGGCCCTCATTAGCTCTCTCCCTAAAATCTGGTCTCAAAAGCAGTGGTTCTAACTCATCTATACTGCTTCAGCCTCCAAATAAAGGAGGATTGCCCTATACCAAGAGTCATGGAACTCCACTCAAAACAGAAGCCAATCCAAGACTCCCATGAGTATTCTTCCTCTCTCCCCAGATGCTACATCACATGCTGCTTCATGTTCCCAAAGCAGAGGCCAAGTATGGGGATTCTTCCAGTTGTAAGAGGAATTCATAGTAAAGGAGTTAGGTCAAGTGCATGAGCAGTAACTAAATATTCCTTAATCCACTTCATCCCATAAGCTCAATATTTGGGGAGAAAGTCTTTGTTGGTGCCTCTTGAAACTACATTAGTCAAACCACGAGATATACCCTCTTTTTCCCATTAATGTTTCTGGTCTTAAGCCCCAAGTACCGCCAGCTCTTCTCAGGCTGTCCATATAGCATGTCGGAGAAGAACTCGGGCTCATCTTTGGCCATTGATTTGGGGGTCATTAAGCCACACATAGTCCTCAGCCTGCGACACAGGTAGGTCATAGCTTCCACTTCGTCTGATGGTTCCTCATATACTGGCTGCTTCATTTCCTCATAAGCAGACAGGATCACTGCCTGGAATAACTTGATCAAGATGCAGATGATCACCAGCATGAAAGATGAGAGGAACAGGACCCCAAGAACACTGTTATGGGAAAACTCAGTGTTTTGAAAAGCTGAGATGCAGTAGGAGAATATCGTCTGAGTGGCATGAATCAAGTGGCTGTAATTCCATTCGTGCTGACCAAAAACGAGGTAACCAAAAGCCATGTACATAAAGAAATAAATGGACACCACAAATGCCACGAGGCAGATGCCAGGAAGTGCGATCTGGATGGCCTTCTGAGCCAGGCGTACATCATAGAAGGCTCTGGAATATCTGAGGGTCTTCAAAATTGTCAGAAATAACAGGAAAGCCAAAGTTATCCTCATAGTGTGATCTACTTGAGAAACCGCATGAAAGGGAATGAAGTCTTCGGGGTTCGACAAGTAGAACTGAGTCACAGCTGTGGCCAAGAAATGCTTCCTGAGAAACAGCACAATCAACACAGTAAATATGCATTTTAAAGCCAAGTTGAGTAGATTGTACACACTTTGCACGTAGGAGGCTCTTTCTTGTGTAATGACGTAGAATTCGCCAATAATGTAGGCTATGAAAAAAATGAGAATGGCCACATACAAGTAAATTTCTGCTGAAGTTTTCCGGTCAAAATCAGCAAGTGAGAATGAGTGCATAGATATGCTCGTGTTGACGACTCCTAACTGAGAGACCTCAAACAGGACAGAAATGCTACAGAACAGGTTCACGTCGGGATTAAAAGTCGTTAGTTCCAAAACCACAGCCCATGTCTTCTCATCAAGCCAACTGCTTCCTTGGAGTTCTCTGAGCCTCACTGTGGAATTAAACAGCTGCTCTGATGGAAAAAAATAGAACACATAGCCCCCTCCTCCATAGGTATGTAACAGCCCATAGGAATAGTACACCCATCGCTTTCCCTGCGGCTTGTAAGTAAACCCGGTGGTGTTCTTGCCTGTCTGCCGCTTGGTCACTTCATTCCAAAAGCTAGAATAGTTTTTTGTGTCTTCTGGGTCAACGCCATATTGGGGACGACAACGGATTTCTTTTATGTTGCTGTTCTGCACGAAGTTTGCGGCAGGCAGGCACATCTTCTCACCGGATTTTGCTCTCACTTGCCTCATGAGTGGAAGGCCAAGGATTTTGGACGAGCTGTCAAGGAGAAATGTTGGATTCTGGTCATTGTGGAACAAAGGCACCAGCACGCTCTCGAGCCACCTGTAGATGTCCTCCAGCTTCGTCACAGAAGCCAGGTCCACAGAGAAGCGATCACGAATAAACTGGTTGTAGTAGAAGCTGTCGGTGTGACGCAGCAGGACAATGAGCAGCAACAGAAGGACTAGGAAGATAAAGTGGATGAGGATGTAACTCAGAAACAGGAAGGCCCTCCTCTTGATCCTCTTCTTCCTTTGGAATATTCTGATTTCATCTTCTGTCAGGGGTTGGTACATCCTGGACCCTTGGATTTTAACGATGTGCTCGTGCAGCTTCTTCCTCTCATCTGGATTCATTCTTGTCCTGGTGAGCTTGATCTGACTGTAATGATACTTGGTGGACCACGGGATGTTTTTACAATACTTGGGCTTATTTGTTCTGACGCCTGACACCAGTATAATTTTACATGGCTGCTCAACAAAAATGGACTCAAGAAATGAACAGACAGAGGCCAAGAGCCATTCTTTCGACTTACTGTAGCCATAAGTCAGTCCATAGAAGATGATAAAGAAGGCAGATATGATGGAAGTGGCAAACACCAAGGACCATGCTATGTAAACACACCACCAAGGCAGGACAATCTGAGACTTTTTTTCAAGGGGTTTAGTATCTTGTTTGGAAGAAGCTGCTCCTCTATGAGCATCTTGATTTTCTGCTACATTTTTGTTACTAAAAGTTCTGTTGGCTGTGTGGATCCCTGAGGCCTTGGCTCCTTCTTTCTCATGCCTGGATATAGATTTCAAAGTTACCTTCTCAGAAACCTTGGGAGGTGCGGGCTTCACCTGGGATTTGAGCTTTGCCTGGGGAGCAGACTTTGCCTGGGATGCAAGCTTGACAGGCGTCTTGGAGCTTTCCTCAGCAGTCTCTTGAGCATGCCACTTGTTCAAACGATCATCCCAGTAACCACTCTCTTCTGACATAATAGGATGCTTTCGAGGAGCTACCTTATCTAGATCCACCTGATGTTTTTTCTGAGAATGGATGAACAAAAAAGTTATTAATAATTGCACAGGGACTGTAATTAGGGCACTTTCAACCCCTATTGCCATTGATCTGAGGTAGTGCAACTCTTTTGACTCAGTTTCATCCTCTTCATTTAGATTAAAGAACATAATATTGCAAAGGAGAGTGCTTAGCAACAATGTTAAACAACAGGACAATTTTTGGAGCCTGTTAAATGACTTAGAAGCAACACCAGCAAAAATAGAGAACCACAAGTGGTCTTCCCCTAACCTTTTAGAAATATCAATCAGGAAGAAATCCCTTTTTCTCAGAGGCTGGTCTGGTTGGGTAACCTGAAATGTCCTGTCAATACCAGCGTCAACAGAAAACCACTTCCGGCACATGAAAAGCCAGATGTGTTTGCTAAACAGATTTTCCACCTTGATTCGACTTAAATACCAACTAGGCGAAACGCCTTCATTATTGTGCCAGACACGAATGGAGTGAATGTCCCCCAGGTCACTTTTTGTTGTTAGGAGGAAAGTGTTGATGCTTCCCCGGTACAGAGTGGTAAAACTAGGGTGGCTTAAACAATGTGTACTACTGGCACCCTCTGTTCCAATAAGCTGAATAAAGACATTGGACCTGGTCCCAGATCCCCATCGACTTCCTGTGAAAACAGTGACCAGGTAGCATATTTTATCATAAGGATCATTATCAGGTAGAATTATGATATGGTCTCGAAGATATTCATCCATTTCATCCCTGTGCAGGGCCCAGAAAGCTAGGATGATGTATATGAGCAAAATGAAAAGCACAGTGAAAAGGGTCACAGGGTTTTGGCTAATTTTCTTGATGTTCTTTAACCGCAGATCCACAGGATTAGGGATCACAATGACCTTGGATGTCAGGAAGTGGGTACTCAGGTCAATGTTGTCTAGCTCGCTTATCCTCAGGTGCCGCTTGGTCCTCCCCATTTTCTTGCAGACACAGTGCACTCTCTGCCAGGTGGTCCTCTCACCGAGGCTACAGTAATCTTCTCTCCAGTCACTCTGGATCTGGTACATACCCAGGCAGTGGGCACTGAAAAGAAAAATTTTCACAAGCTTGTTATTGGGCTTCTGGACGAAACGAGGTGCCTCCAGCATCATGATTATGGCACATGTGGGCGACTGGCTATGCTGAGCTATGACTTGCAGCAGGGACACTGGGAGGCAGATCACACGGGCCTCCTTAACTGCACAGTCAGGGTCAAACTGGTCACTCTGGTTGGCAATCGGAGGGATGTCATAAGGCACGAGGAAGGTTGTGACCAGACCAGTGGGGGTGACCCGACTGCCTGCGTACACCAGCACCTTGAACAACACAGTCACTTCTGTCACAATGTGGACCAGCACCTCCGTAACTTCTCTGTGGTCCACTTCAAAGCTAAACCCCCCTGTTGTCTTCTTCGAGGACTCGCTGACCTCCTCGGGTCCCACTGTGAGATTAAAAGCTGCAAAAGTCAAGTTTTTCCTGTTGAGGTACACGTCCACCACACTGGGCGTGATCTCTATTGCATCCCCATTTTCAGCGGCTCCCCACATCCTAAAACCAACCACCTGGGTTGAAATTTTTTCTGAATGATGTAACCAAGGAAAGGGGTCGTCTGCAAACTCACAAAACATTGTAGAAACTACAGCCTTTGCGGGCAGACCAGGAACTGTGCTCCCATTGAGTGTTGCCTGAAAACAGTTTGGGCAGTCTTTCTTGTTTCTGAAGACCTGGGTCACATTCTGCTTCTCAGCTTTCTCCAAAAACATGTTAATGCTGGCGCTCTTCATTGCTGTTTTATTCCCTGGCACCATACAAGCCAGTATGGTGTCTGCCAGTGATTCTGCTAGGTGGAAAGGATCTTCCACCACTTCGTGAGGAGCAATCTGTTTCAGGATATTAGACAAACTTGTTAATATTCCAGAGCCTATGATTTCTATTTGTTCAGAGCGAAAGTGTTTATCTTTCCGTTGATACTCTTGTAGGCCTTGATTTGCTTGCCACATCCTCACTGTGGCACTTTTCTGGGCAGTTCGAGTGAATTCAGAGGCTTTCTGGGTTAATTTGGTAACAGTCACGACTACCTGGTTGATTTCCTCCAAAGTGCTCACAGGGAGAACAGAAGACTGATTGACAAGGTGTTCTCGGAGCCTGCCTTTGTCACCCTGGAGAGTTGATTCAGTTTTCATGTTATTCAAAACAGAACCCACTACATACATTAAGTGACCTGAGGATAAAAATTTCTGGTCTCGAAGCAGAACAGATAGCGATGAATTTGGTCCCATGGTAGAATTGAGTAACTGATCCAACACCATCTTGGATGAGTTTTTACTAGTGGGAGGCTCTACAGTGGCGCCCAAAGTCACCTGAGAAAAAGCTCCTAGAGAGTCATAAACCTGAACAAATATCCTCAGTTTGTAACCATCAGCTGACACACCAACAGGGAGAAAGGAAGGGGGTGTGGTAAAGTCTCTCCCAAAGTGCAAGATGGGCCCCAAGGTGTTCTCTTTTACTGAACTGATTTCTGCAATGCCTTCCAAATCAGAAACTATCATTTTATATGTAAGGGGGGTGTGCTTATCTGTGAAATTGCTACACCGGACAACAAATTTAGTAACAAATGCAATTCCTTTAGCTGGTTTCACTGTGCATTCTCCTGTTTGAGGACCATGGTTAAGAATAATGGGATGCTTGAATTCCAGGGTCTTCCCACCCCAACTGGTTACTTGCACAGAAACCCAGTAATTTGTTTCCAAACAATGACTGAAGGCAAAAGCTTTTGCAGACAAATAAGCACCATTTCTCCCTGTTACAGTTTGCCCCATCCAATCAAGTGGCATCTCAGCTCCTGACTCAGACACAATTGACCAGTTATAGAAGTCACTGCTTACACAGTCCGTGCAATTTAGGTACAAAGAAAACCGATCTGATACAATTAAATTGCTGCCACAATTCTCAATACATGAAATGTGTGCCAAAGGAGATGGTCCTTGGAGCACATTTACCGTTTTATCAGAAAATGCTCTTCGGCCACCCTTCTGTATCACCATTCTGAAGAAATATTCACGGCCCCCTTGAAGCGTTCCTGGGGAAAGTGTTAGCACAGGGTTAGAAGCTTGTGGCCACCTCAGATCAGCCTGGTCTGGGTGACACACGTCCTTGCTTGCCACTTGTATCTGATCTCCATCGTAGTTTTTTTTATTTGTGGTACAGTACCAGGTAAAACGGAGCCCCTGCAATTTGTTGCTTTCTTCCGGGTCAGAGGACATGCTTCCATCCAGAACCACCTCATCTGTATAATTAGCTTTGATGTTGGCGTCTCCACCAATAACTGCGACCAGGGGGCTTCGCACTATCCAGACATAGATGGAGTCCGCGTCGTAGAGCCGAGGAACTGTGGGATCCCGTGTTAGGATGGTCACTGAGAAATTAAACAAGTACACCCCCCAAGATAGGGACGCAGGGGGGATGTGGATGATGGTGGGGCGGCTTCCTATTGGCAACTGAGGCACATCCAAAGGCTGATTCCAGTCGGGCACATCGCCCACCGCGGGCACTGAGAACACCAGCCATCTTTGAGTGAGGGTTTGGAAGACTGGACAGTGCATGTTGATGGTGGTGTTGAGGGTGTCCCCTTCATTCCTGGTCATGCGCACAGCAGTAACGCCTGCGTCCCTGTTGATCCTCACCTCATGGATTACGCAGGGACCCGTCTGACAGGACACGGAAGACTGCACTATGCTGTGGTCGGACGAATTCACGGCTTGCAAGACAACAGGCACCGGCCCATCTGTGGGACACCGCGTTTGCGCCACAAAGCCGGCGTGGGCGCGCGGGAGCGCAGGCAGGACCGAGCGAGGCTTTAAGCGCTGGGCCCGGGCGGCGTGGCGGGCCGGGCGGGCGTCCCCAGGCCCCAGCAGCCCCAGCTGGAAGGTCCAGGCCAGGGGCCCCAGCGGGCGCCTCAGGGGCAGCGGCAGCAGCAGGAACCAGGCCAGGGCCAGGCGGCCCCCGGGCGCTGCCAGGTGCAGGGCGACGGGCGGCGGCGCCGCGAGTCCCGGCAGGCAGCGACGGGTGCGGCGCCGGACCCGCACGCTGAGGCGGTACCAGCCAGGCGCGGCCGCGCGCCGCGGGGCACCGGAGAAGCAGAGGCCGCGGCTGCGGCTCAGGAGGGCGCCGCCCCCCGGGGCCGGGAGGCGTGGCAGGCTGAGGCGGGCGTGGCGTCCGCGGAGGGCGCCTCCGTGGAAGTGGCCGCATGGCGGGGCCGGCCACCCGGGGCCGGCGGTGCTGGACTGGCGCGGAGCCGGAGCTGGAGCCGGTGGCAGGCCGCCCAGGCCCAGGCCCAGGCCCAGGCTGAGGAGGAGGACCGCTGGCCCAGCCCGCATGGCGCCGCCCTTGGGAGCCGATGGTCGCGGGGTGGCCCAACGGCCGTGGGCTCGCGCGGTCGGGGGCCCAGGGGTCCCAGTTGCGGAGGGCGTCCTGGGAACAAGGAGCCTGCGCAGGCGCCTGGGTCGCCGGAGGTCCCGGGGCAGCGCGGGTCTCTACCAAAGGGACCGGGCCTTGGTGGGTCCAGCGGGTGGGAGACCCCACCTCTCTGTTCCCACCGAGTGTGGACCCATGAGTAGAAGCCCCCTGCGCGGGTTCCCACTCCCAGCGTCGCACCGAGCGTGAACCCGGGGTTCCCAGGAAGTGGGAGGCAGATGAAGATGGAGGCAGTTTTTAGGGAACAGCAGAGGGAGAGCAGCGGGGTGGGGGTGCTTCTTCAGACGCAGGAAGCTGTGGAGAGGACGTGACTGGGGTTTGTACCCCTGGAAAGCCTGGAGGAGGTCCTTTAAGAACAGCGTTTGCTGTGTGAGGAGCTCGTTCCGGCTTCCTGTGTCCCTTTCCCGCCGTTTGGCCCTGACTCACAGGCAGAAAGAAGCGCCCTCTCGGGGCCCACACGCCTGAGGGCGGCACAGGTGCTCCAGCCACCTGGCACCAGGCCTGCTGGGCTCCTGAGGAATCAGCCAAAGTCTTCACGTCTCTTTCGTGACCACACTTGCTTTCTAGCTCAGGCAGGGTTCCCAGCTAGATTAAGCCTCATTACTGAAGGGCCCTTTTTGTTCTGTCTTTGACAGACTCGTTTCACCGGGGCAAACCAGTTAGGAAACTGGAAATCAGAGGGGCTGTGAGGCCAGACTCGGGTTTACTGGGCTCGGCCTCTTCTGGTCTCTAAGGGTGAAGGCTCACATCATTCATGTTGGTTCTAGCTTTGCTGGGAAGAAGGGGTTTCAGGAAGTTCACGGACAATGCACATTTGAATTCTTCAGAAATGTTTAACACTTTTTAAGTTTAAAGCAATGCAAAGAAATTGTTTGTTTGTTTGTTTGTTTGTTTTTGACAGGCAGAGTTAGACTGTGAGAGAGACAGAGAGAAAGGTCTTCCTTCTGTTGGTTCACCCCCCTAGATGGCTGCTATGGCTGGCACACTGCACCGATCCAAAGCCAGGAGTCATTTGCTTCTCCTGGTCTCCCATGTGGGTGCAAGGCCCAAGCACTTGGGCCATCCTCCACTGCCTTCCCGGGCCACAGCAGAGAGCTGGCCTGGAAGAGGAGCAACCGGGACAGAATCTGGTGCCCCAACCGGGACCAGAACCCAGGCTGCCGGCGCCGCAGGTGGAGGATTAAAGTGAGCCCTACACTGGCCCAAAGAAATGTTTTAAAAAGCTGTATGCAGTGGGGGATGGCCTAAGTACTTGGGCCCTGCACCCGTATGGGAGACCAGGAGGAAGCACCTGGCTCCTGGCTTCAGATCGGTGCAGTGCGCCGGCCGTAGCCGCCATCTGGGGGGTGAACCAACAGAAGGAAGACCTTTCTCTCTGTCTCTCTCTTACTCTCTAACTCTGCCTGTCAAACAATAAAAATAAAAACTGTATTTATGTTGCTCGCACTGTGGCGCAGCAGGTTAATGCCCTGGCCCAAAGTGCCAGCATCCCATATGGGCTCCGGTTCTAGTCCCAGGTGCTTCTCTTCCAATCCAGCTCTCTGCTAGGGCCTGGGAAAGCAGTACAAGAGGGCCCAAGGACTTGGGCCCCTGCACCCACATAGGAGACCCAAGGAAGCTCCTGGCTTTGGATCGGCGTAGCTCCAACCGTTGTGGCCATCTGGGGAGTGAACCAGCGGATGGAAGACCTTTCTCTCTGTCTCTAACTCTAAACTCTGTCTTTCAAATAAAATAAAATAAATCTTAAAAAAAAACTGTATTTATTAGACACAGCCCCTATCCACTGGTTCACTCCCCAAATGCCCTCATTGGCTGGGATTGGAGACTCAATCCAGGTGTCCCACTTGGGTGGCAGGAACCCAACCACTTGAGCCATCACTCTTGCCCCCCAGCATCTGCACTGGACTCTGGAGTCAAGAGCCCAAGGCAGGACTCAAACCAGGCTCTTACCAGAGTGCGGGGGTCTTAACCACTAGGCCAAACAGCTGCCCCCCCAAGACCTTTTTGAAGTGTGCTTGAATGTTATAAATTGGAGGGTTCAGTTAGGGGAGGTAGCTGGTAGTGTTGCTCAGACTCCGTCTTTTCTGGGTTTTGTCTTATTTGCTGACAGGCTGGTTTCTTGCTGTGATTGTGAAGGTGTCTCCTTTGTTCTTTAGTCCTGTCCCTTTTTGCCGCATCTTTGGGGCTCTGTTATGTGTAACATATTTGTGGTTATGTCTTCCTGGTGAATTTCCCTTAATTATTTCTATCTTGATAATAATCTTGGTTTCAAAATCTTTTCTACCAGATAGTAAAAGAGCCACACTTGCTCTCTTATGCATTCTGGTTACGTTGGAGATATATTCATACACACACACACACACACACACATATATATATATATATATATAGTCATTCTTTTACTTCCAACATGCCTTTACATTTAAAGTGGTCTTTTGTGGACAACATTATTTTATTTTTTTATTTTACAGAGTTAGTGAAAGAGCAAGATAGAGAAAAAGGTCTTCCTTCCATTGATTGGTTCACCCCCAAAATGGCCACTATGGCCGGAGCTACCGATCCGAAGCCAGGAGCCAGGTGCTTCCTCCTGGTCTCCCGTGCTGGTACAGGGGCCCAAGCACTTGGGTCATCCTCCACTGCCTTCCCGGTTCATCTAAGAATGCTGGACTGGAAGAGGAACAACCGGGACTAGAACTTGGTGCCCATATGGTATGCCGGTGCCGCAGGCAGACGATTAACCAAGTGAGCCATGGCGCCGGCCCTGACAACATTATTTTTTTTTATTTATTTATTTTTTTGACAGGCAGAGTGGACAGTGAGAGAGCCAGAGAGAAAGGTCTTCCTTTTGCCGTTGGTTCACCCTCCAATGGCCGCCGCGGCTGGTGCGCTGCAGCCGGTGCACCATGGTGATCTGATGGCAGGAGCCAGGTACTTATCCTGGTTCCCATGGGGTGCAGGGCCCAAGTACCTGGCAGAACATGAGCTGGTCTTGACTCTGAGTTTGTGACCCTGTCCCCAGTGTGGAATAAAACTGAGGACAAGGTTTAAGGGTAAAGGAAAGAGAATGTTGAATCTACTAATAGCTGAGGGGGTGGCAGATGGACACGCTAAGGACTGCCACCCTCCTTAGTGAGAATGGCCTGGGATTTCACTGAAGTTGCACGGGTGGCCTGGGTTCACAGCACATGCAAGAGGAGTGGCTAAGCTTCAGGGTAACTGGGGTGGAGGCCCAAACCGTTCAGCCAGGTGCTGGGCTGCCACGGGATTGTCGCTCGGGCCTTGAGGTCTGCCTGTAGGGGATTCACCGTGTTTCAATCAGGTGGGTCTGTTCTGGCCACTGTGAGAGGCCCAGGAGAGAGCCGAAACATTCCTGTGGCCTGGGTGAAAGACTTGGGTTGGGGTTGTCAGAAGTCAGATGGGGAGGGGGCCCTGATGGAGGTGTGGGCTCCTGAGTCTTCCAGGACATAAAGGACACAGGAGGGGCATGGGGTGGGAGGGTGGGGTGGCCTGCCATGCAAGGGAAGAGGGTGTTCAGAGAAGGCCTGGCAAGCTGTGTCAGCTGCGGGTGAGGCAGTGGGGGTGCCGGGGGAGAGGCAGCTGCTGGGTTTGGGAACAAAGAGGTCTTCAGTGTCCTGGAGAAGAGCAGCAGCAGTTGCTGGGTGCAGACAGGTTTGAGTGGAGGGGGCAGAGGGGGACAGGAGGGAGAGAGGACATGGAGACGGCATTGTGCAACTCCGCAGGTGAGTTCTGTGCCTCAGTGGGCAGAAGCCAAAGGACAGAGGGGATGAAGCTTCCTTCTGCTTGATTGTGAAATGCCTAAACTGTGTAAAGAGAGATGCAACTCAGCTACACAAGCCCAGCAGTTCCAATGCAGCTGAAAGCCCAGAGTGCCCTCAGGAGAGTCTCCACGACCCTCACCCCCAGCCCACACCCGGGAAGCCATGAACTCAGCCGAGGAGTTTATTGTTCCCTTGCATTTCCTCACCACATTACTGAAGTCCCGTAATGCCATGGCATTACATTTGTCTACGTTTCCATCTTTGCAGCCACGGTTTCCTACACTAGAACCTGCCCATGCTACTGTGTTTGCAAGGTTGTTGTCTCTGTTTTTCTCCTGTTAGTTTGCCAAGCACCCTGCTGCTCGCTCCCTCCTGGATCTCGAATCTGAAGACAGAGAGGGGATATCACCCCTCCCCGCCCCCTGCCTGCTCACATTCCCAGGAGAGGCTGCTTCTTTAGCAGCCCTTGGATAAAAAGTGTGCTTTTGACCTTCAACTTAAAAATGACTTTTTCTCTTTCTTTTTTTCTCCCCAGGGATGGAGATGTCCAGGCCCATGTAGTGGTCAAGCTCTGCCGGCCTTCTCACTGAGTTCTGCCCCCTCGGCTCTGGCCCTGGCCTTCTCCCCAGCCACCTCTGACCCCCAGGGTGCAAGTGAAGAGGCAAGGGGGAAGGGCAGGACACTCCTGCTTGGTGCCCTCTGGTTGTTTGCACTGGGAAGCTAAGCTGACTCTTCCTTGGGGCCCACTCTGAGGGTCTCACTGAGAGCCTCACCTATGGTCCATCACTTAGACGTCCTTAGCCCTGGGTTTGCAGATCCTTTAGCCCACGTCCCACAAGCTCACCACCCTGCAGAACACCCTGGACTGCTCCTAGACCAAAGGGAACACAGGTGCTATGTGGCCTTCCACACCCAGCCTGGCTCCCGCTAGTCTCTCAGGGCCATGCCACCAGGGCACACCAGCTTCTGGGCCAAGGCCTTGCAGGCCTACCAAGAAGGCTCTGCTTCTCAGCAGGGGGAGGGGAAGGAAAGGCAAAGTGCCATATGGTTCCTGGCAGCTCCCTCAAAGCGACTCTCCCTGCCAGGCAGCACCTTGCAGGGTAACCTCGCCCCTTTTCAGGCATGGGGAAGGCTTCCTTTCACCTACAGTTTTGTTCTTGGCCTTTTGGCTCCTCTCGGCCCTGCAGAAGTGGGATGTCAGAGACTTGGCAACTGCCATCTTCACTATGCCTGCCAGAGACCACCGATGCTTCCCAAAGTGGTGGCTCCAGTTTATACTGGGTGGGGGGGCAGGTGGGGGCAGGGAGAGCAGTGAGGCACTTTCCTCTAGTGCAGAATTGGGGAGCAGGCAACACAAACTCATTGAGTATTTTTTGTTGACAAAATTAACTACTTAGACGTGTGCAGCACAGTGGTGTTAAGTATGTCCATAATATGTGGCCACCATCACATCTATCTAGTTTTTAAAAAAATAGATGTAGGGCCGGTGCTGTGCCGCAGCAGGTTAAAGCCCTGGCCTGAAGCGCCGGCATCCCGTATAGGCACTGGTTCAAGACCTGGCTGCTCCACTTCCGATCTAGCTCTCTGCTGTGTCCTGGGAAAGCAGAGGAAGATGGCCCAAGTCCTTGAGCCCCTGCACCCACTTGGGAGACCTGGAGGAAGCTCCTGGCTCCTGGCTTTGGATTGGCACAGCTCCAGCCTTTGCGGCCAACTGGGGAGTGAACCATAGCATGGAAGACCTCTCTCTCTGCCTCTCCTCTCTCTGTGTAACACTTTCAAATAAACAAAATAAATCTTTTTTAAAAAATAGATGTATCTATTTGAAAGGCAGGGGAGAGAGAGACCATCACTCTGCTGATTCGCTCCTCAGGTCTACAATAGCCACGGGTGTCACATGAAGCCAGGAGCCTGCAACTCCACCTGGTCACCCACAGGGGCCGGGGGAGGCTAAGGTAGCCAGGAGTCGACCCAACACTCCGATATGGGAAGTGGGCTTCCCAAGCGGTGGCTCACCCTGCTGTGCTACCACACTGCTGCTCTATCTGGTTGTAAACCATTTTCATCGCCACAGAAGGAAACCCCACACCCGCCAGCGTCACCCCCATCCCACCGCGCCCAGCCCTGGCTCTCAGGGTACTGTCTGTGCTGTGGGCTACTTGGGACGGTTCACGTAAATGCAGGCACGCAGCAGGTGGCCCTTTGTGACTGGCTGCCTTCACTTAGCAGCGATATGGACAGACCCACAAAGCATGACGCTGAACTTGCTTCTCTGTGGTCCCAGTCGCTGGCCCAGCTGTCGCCGTGGTGCCGAGTTGCAGGAGTTGGGGATGTGTCCTGGGTGCAAATCTTGCGGCCATTCTGCAGCTTTTCTTCTCATTTTGCTGACAGCGCCCTGGGAGGAAGCAAGGCTTTGCATTCCGATGAAGTCTGTCTGCTCTTTCTGTCATCGCTCATCCTCTAGGTGTGACGTCTGAGGATGCACTGCCACGTTCAACATCAGGAAGGTGCGCTCCTGTTTCCTTGTAAGGAGTTTAGAATTTCAGCCCAACAGGAAGGTTTTAGCGCAGTATTTCTGAACGTGGAAATTAACCCAAGAATTGGAACACGACGTCCAACTGCACACAGCACCCAGCGCTTGCACTCCTTACTGGACTGCTGCTCGCGGGGGAGGGGGTGTGCATTAAACTGGGGGAGCAAAGGGCCAGGGGCGGAGGAAAAGAGGTCTGAGACCCCCTTTACTCTCAAGGGCCTCCGACTGCAGTCACCTCCCCCGAGGGCCCCCAGCAGAGGGGAGCCTGCCTGTAGGACTGCCGAGGGTCCAAGTCCAACGGGGGAGGCAGGGCTTGCACAGCGCCTCGCACCAAAGTTTGCCTGGAGAACCCCTCCCACCTTCTGGTAGCCTCCGGCCGGACCCGCCCAGACGTACTGACCCCGCCCCCTCCGCGCTCCGCCCCCTCCCAGAAAGGCCACGGCGGCGCCAGTAGCCTGAGCCGCTGCACTATGGCCGCGTCCTCTCAGCTGCGCGACTGCCAGGTACGCGGAAGCCTCCCGCAGTCAGGCGTCCCTGATTCTCGCTGAGCCAGGGTGGCCCGGCGTCGGGCGATGTGAAATCGAGCTTGAGGGTGACCCGAGGTCAAGCCGCGAGCACAAGTGGGTGGGCGCCGGCCGGCAGATCCTGTGGGGCCTGGCAGCGACCCTGGGCGCCAGCGCGGGCTGCACCCAGGAAGGGAGGAAGGGAACGGGGGCCCTTCTGGCGCCCCCACCAAGGGAAACCCCTGGCGGCTCTCGGGCTTGGAGAAGACCCCAGTACTTGGGTGCCACCGAGTACAGAGGGGACAACCAGTGACAGGGAGGGTCTCTTTCAGTTCTGCCCAGGGCAGGAGCCTGAGCCCACCTTGCAGATGAGATAGACTGAGGTTAGAGGGCACAGGCAGCTGGCCCTCAGCCACCCAAGTCCCATGCTGGGCCCTCTGGACAGGCTAAAGGGCATTCCCTCTGCCCAGGGAGTCTCTGGACTTGTGCCCCTGGCCGACTCTGCTGTCCCTGTGACCGGCTCTGACCACCTTGAGGCCTGAGGCTCTGCCTGAGTGGACAGTCCAGGGATGGAGTCGGTGGCGGCAGTAGTGTGCAGCCCGCCAGCCCAGCTGGATGGACCAGTGCCCTCCGAGTTGCACTTTAGCACCAGACTCCTCTTCTGCCTGGACAGCACCCCCACCCTTTGGTGATCAGGACTCCGGGTCGGCACATCCAGGTCCCTCCATTGGGTCCCCCTGGGCCCGTGCTACAGAGGGGCAGTGCTACAGGGGCCTGAGAGGCAGCGTCTTGCCCGAGGGCACACAGGTGTTCCCCGGATACTGGGTGGGTGTGAGTCAGGGTCAGTATCCGTCCCATCCCAAGCACAGAGCTGAGTTTCATGGTCTCACGGAAGCCTGGCCCTGCACCACTGCTAGGCGTTTGGAGGTCTGCAGGGGGCTGGGGCGGGGGCCCCTTGTGTCCAAGACTGAAGCCGGGCCGCCTCCTCCTTGTGCGTAGGCCTGGAAGGATGCCGGGCTGCCGCTCTCCACCACAAGCAACGAAGCCTGCAAGCTGTTCGATGCCACTCTGACCCAGGTACGCCCATCGGAGAAACGCTTGCCCTCTGTGAAGGTTTCGGGGGGTTTTCTGATTTGGTGAGTGCTTTTTCAGCTGCGCTCTAGCAGCGGAATGCAGTCAAGTCTGGAAGATGGAGCATGCCAGCCCACCCACCCCCTCTGCACTCACCCTCCTTTCCCAGGTCCCCCAGAGGTGGGTGGGCAGCAGTGGGCCGGTTAGGGGTGGCTTGGAGGGCTCTGGGCCCCCACAGACTCCCATGAGTGCCTACTGAGGGTTTCATGTGGGCTCTGCCCTTTAGATTTGGGGCTTACCTGTGGGACGCTGTCTCACCTGTGGCCGGGCCAGCCCCTCATCACATTCCTGGCTTTTCTGCACGACTGAAGGATCCTCTGGTTTAGAACTAGGAGGGGGGCTCAGAGTAAGGTCTAACTGGATTGATTGACAGATGGGGAAACAGAGACCCAGAGAGTTGAACTTCGTTGAGTTTGAGGTTGTCCAGTGAGATGAGGCAGAACCAAGATGCACCTGGGTCTGACAGGCCAGGGCAGTGCCCACAGCTGGCCTTTGCGTGAGCAGTGAGACCACTACATGCTGACCCCATCTGTAGAACGTGAGGGCTCAGAAGTTTCCAGAGGCATACGGGTGATGCAATGTCGTCAGCCAGGCCGCTGCTGTGTTCTGCCTGTTTAACTGTTTACAACATCACCACCCCACCCCACCTGCCTGCACTCAGTGTTGTAGAAAGAGGAACGTGCAGATCCGTGGATGACTGTGGCCCCTTGTATTTCAGTATGTAACGTGGACCAATGACAAGAGTCTTGGCGGCATCGAGGGCTGCCTGGCGCGGCTCAGAGCAGCAGATCCCAACTTCGGTGAGCAACACTTCCCCTGGGCTGAGGGCCCGGCTTCCAGGAGGCAGCCCCTCTCGCATTCCCTGACTGCAGGGACCCAGGCGGCTGGGGATGGGAGGTGGACTGACCGGGCCGCCTTTTGCACAGAGGGAGGAAGACCACACCTCTGGTGTGTTTGAGATCACGGTTGCTCCTGTCTGGTGGTGAAGGCTACAAAGGAGCTTTCGACTGTTTGCTCTAAATGCTGTCTCCTCTGCATGGAAGAAGCTGATCCCTTTTCTCAGACGAGGAAACCGTGGGTCATGAGGGCAAGCCAGTTCCAAAGCCACCACACTGGCAGAGGGGCTGGAACTGGGCAAGATGAACCAGTCCAAGGCGTGGATCCCTGGAACACAGGAGGTTTGAACTGTAGCCATGGCCCAGGGCCAATGAGCCTCACCCAGGCAGCTGGGCAGGGCAACCAGTGGGTGAGAGGCTGGCAACTCCGCAGACATGGGGAGGCCAGCACGGTGTGTTCTGGAACCCCAGGCAGGATAAGGTTGGGAGGGGAGAGCAGGGAGGCAGGGACCCACTTCCCGCCCAGTGCAGACTGGTCGGACCAAAGGCAGGGGGCTCATACAACCTGGGCAACGACAGAGCGGGCCTGCCTGCTGCCTGGCCTGCACCTGCTGCCACTCTGGGTGAGGCCTGGGCTGGGCTGGGCCGACCCAAGCGTCTGAATCCCCAGCTGTGTCCAATCTATTGCCAGCCATGGGCCATGCCATCTCTGCCGGCCTCAGGCTGATTGGCACTGGAAGCTCCAGGCAACTGGACAAAGAGCTGGATCTGGCTGTGAAGACCATGGTGGACGTGTCCAAAGCGCAGGCCCTGACACAGCGGGAGCAGCTGCACGTGTCTGCCGTGGAGACATTTGCCAACGGGTGAGGGGCCTCTGAGGGCTGTGTGTCTGTGATGGGTGAACCGAGGCTGGGCTGGGGGTGCCTCAGGCTGTCCCCATGCGGCCCCAGGGGAATCCTCGGCCCAGCTCATGAGAGCACCTGGGTCAGGGCTGCGTCCTGCCTGTGCAGTCGAGTGCCTGATAAGGAAGGCTGGGCTGAGATTCCCAATTCAGTGTCCAGTCACTCGTTTTGTTTCATGACCTCAATCAGTTATTAGTTTCGTTACTGAAATAATGGAACCGTGTGGTAGAAATGTCCACAAGAGGGCAGGAAGCATCTGTGCATGTGCTCCTGGTTCCCACACACCCCTGGGTGCACTGCCGCAGCCTTCCAGATTCCTGTCCCTGCCCCCCGCTGACCCTCATTCCCTGAGAACGGCAGTGCCCATGCCTGCTCTGCAGGTGTGACACCGCTGATGACCCCGCAGGAGCTCAGGGGTGCTGAGCCCGACGCGGGGACATCTCCTGGGGTCTGCTCAGTGAGTCCACACGGGGCGATTCCAGCCCAGACTCCCTACAGCCAACTGCTGGTCACACATGAAATTATCTCTAACAACTTATTGAGATTGTTTGTTTATTTGTTTGTTTCCTTTAACCAGGCCGTAAGATTCCTCATTGGGTTTTCAATGTTTGAGCCACTTTCTAACTTAGAAACTATTATTTTTAAGCCAATCCAATGCAGTCGACAACGTGGAATGTGTTTTATGCTTGGGGGTGCAGGCTTTGTGTTCAGTGGTGCTGAGAGCTCCTCTTGGCTTTCAGGAACTTCCCGAAGGCCTGTGCCCTATGGGAACAGATTCTCCAGGACCACCCGACGGATATGTTGGCCCTAAAATTCTCCCATGATGCCTATTTTTACCTGGGCTACCAAGATCAGATGCGAGATTCCGTTGCTCGAATTTACCCCTTCTGGTCACCAGATGTCCCCCTGAGCAGGTATGTGCAGTGGAAACCGCGTCGTTTCCTTCTCTAATCCCTCCCTGCAACCTAACGGTGGCAGCTCTGTCGGCCTTGCCACACCTTAATGAGGCCACTGTTGCTCCTCTCTGCTGCTTTACCGCTCAAGGCCCCACTGGATGTCCGTCTCATCCTGAGAATGAACTCACACCCTCTGTAGCAGGATGCACTGACATACATCCCATAATTCATACAGCGTTCTCACCCATTCTGCACATCCACCTTAGCAGGGCTGAGGGCTCTGAGACCCTGTCCTTGTCGCCCTCCTGGGTCCCAGCTGTGGAAGCCACTGCCCTCTGCACACCCCAGTCCCTAAGGGAAGAGAGCTCTCCAGAGGGGCTCCCCATGGCAGTTAAGTGCCCAGAATGAGAGAACCGATGGCTGTTCCCTTTGGCCAGAACTGGTCACGTGACCAGGGCCGCCCACAGGAGACCAGGAAGCACAGTCCTGCTGCTGCCTGGGGGAAGGAGGAGGCTGGGTTGTCCCTGCACAACCAGCACACGGAGCCACTCCCTTGCATCTTGATCACAGGAAGGTTGTGAGCTCAAGCAGGTTAAAGAGTCTGTGTTGGGGCTCCCCCTAGAGGCTGGATCAGCTGGACGTGGAGGAGAGGGGCTAAAAGATGGTGTTATCACTTGAGAGGCAGAGAGAGACACAGGCCGAGATTTCCACTTGCCGGTTCACTCCCCAAATGCCCCAATAGCCAGGGCTGGAACAGAGCTAAATCCAGCAGCTGTGGACTCCAGGTTTCAGGTTTCCCACCTGGGTGGAGGGGACCTCCCAACTTGAGCCATCACCTGGTGCCTCCCAGTGCACATAAGCAGGAAGCTGGAGTCAGGAGTGGAGCTGGGACTCAAACCAGACACGGGGACGTGGACACATGTGTCTTCCCTGTGGCTAACGCCAGCCCCTGAACGATTTATTTTACAGACTCGTGTGATCGTGGGGCTGACATGTTAGCCCTCTGGAGGGCAGGCGGCAGGTGGGAAGTTCCCGCAGCGGCTGGCAGGAGAGACTTTTCTGTTTTCTAAGATTTATTTTGTTTTTTAAAGAGTTTTATTTACTTAAGATTTAGAGAGAGAGAGAGAGAGGTCTTTCATCCACTGGTTCACTCCGAATGACCGCAGTGGTCAGAGCTGAGCTGATTAGGAGCGAGGAGCTTCTTCTGGTCAGCAGCTTCTTCCCAGCCTCCCACGCAGGTGCAGTGGCCGAGGACTTGGGCCATCTTCCACTGCATTCCCAGGCCATAGCAGAGAGCTGGATTGGAAGCAGTGCAGCTGGGACTTGAACTGGCGCCCATATGGGATGCCAACGCTGCAGGCCAGGGCTTTAACCCGCAGCGCCACAGCACCAGCCCCCTGACGGGAGAGACTTGAATCTGGAGGCAGAATCCTGGTCTCCGGAGCCCTCAGTCTGTCTACGGATGGGGTGAGGACCACCCACGCTGTGGAGAGAAGCCACTTTAACTCAAAGAACACTGACGTCAATGTCGGCCCCACGAACAACTTACTGCCTCAGCCACACCTGACTGGTGTTTGGACAGGAAACTGAGTTCTGCGGTCCAGCCAAGTGGACATAGGGACTTGACCACCACAGGGGACTTTCAGGACCTGATACACAGTAAGCACTTAATAAATAACCCAGAAAGCGCTCAGTGAATGACCTCACAGAGCTTCCTTAGTTACCTTGCAGTTAGCCGTCTGGAAGGGGCTGTTCTAGAATATGCTTCTGTGAACTACGAGTCGGATCTGTATCTCGCACGGGAGCAGAGATAACATCCAGCGTGCAGAGTCCAGCTTCAGTCTTGTTTCCCCTTGGCTGGAAAGCCACGGGCAGGACGCCTCTATCCTGTGTGAGCACTGGGGGTCCTGGCTGTCAGTGAGACGGGTGAGATGGGGGTGTGCATTTCCTGTGCAAGGGAAGTGGACCTATCCTGGCTGGGGCCGTGAGAGTGAAGTGGACAGGGTCCCGGCCCCAGGTCCCCTGGGCCTGGGGAGGAGCCTGGCTGTGCAGGGGGGGTGTCCAGCTGGGCAGACGCTGGGAGCCGAGCTGCAGAAGCAGAGGAGGAGCCACAGACAGACCCCAGCCAGGAGAGCTTCCCAGGGAGCAGTCCTCTGTCCCACCATGGGGGCTTCACCAGTCAGATGCGGCAGGGGTGGGGTGGAGGGAGACCCTGTGCAGATGACTTGGGGGTGGGAGGGCACTAATCCAGGCAGGCCCTGCAATGTTATGGTTCTGATGACTAAGGTCATTAGGTCATTAGCCCCTCAGTAGAGGGAGCCTGGAGAGCTGAGACGCAGCTGTAATGGCGTCCACAAGTGGGGCACTCGGAGCAGCTGGGGTGCACCTGCCTGTGTGCTGCAGGCCAGCGCCTGCCCCATGCTCAGCGGGGGCCGGACGTCCTCTTGCAGCTCCCGCTGTTCCTGGGTCCCTGGAGTGCTTGGGCTTGTGGCTGTCCCCGCTGATTTTTTTTTTTTTTTTTTGACAGATAGAGTTAGACAGTGAGAGAGAGACAGAGAGAAAGGTCTTCCCTCCATTGGTTCATACCCCAAATGGCTGCCACGGCTGGTGCTACACCAGTCGGAAGCCAGGAGCCAGGAGTCTCCTCCTGGTCTCCCATGCGCATGCAGGGACCCAAGCACTTGGCCCGTCCTCCACTGCCTTCCCAGGCCAGAGTAGAGAGCTGGACTAGAAGAGGAGCAACCAGAACTAGAACTGGCGCCCATATAGGATGCCAGCACCACTGGCAGAGTATTAACCAAGTGAGCCACGGCGCCAGCCCCTGTCCCCGCTGATTTTGCTTCCTCACCGCCGTCTTCCTTCTCTGTGTTCTCATGGCCCCTTTAGGACACAGTCACGGCCCAGGGCCCACCCATCTTAACGTGGCAGATTCTGCAAAGCATGAGTCTAACAGGGTCCCGTCACGGTCCCTGGAGTCGGGACATCGGCCCATGTACTGGAGGGCACAGAGCAGTGCTCCCCGCCTGTCCTATTGTATTTTGAGGTGACTTGTTTTCTCTGTCTTTAGCTATGTGAAAGGCATCTATTCTTTTGGACTGATGGAAACCAACTTCTACGATCGGGCGGAAAAGCTTGCCAAAGAGGTAAGTAGCCGACTCTTTCCAGAAGTGCCCTGGCCTTGAGAGAGTGGCCAAGAAGGGGGCCACCCGCTGGTTGACCTGAGCCAGTCCCCCTGAAGGTCCCCAAGCATAGGACTCACTGCAGTGCCAGCAGCTGCCCCAGGCAGGAAGCTGACCCCTGCCATCCCCGTGCCTCTGTGGCCACGGAGCCACGCCCCTTGGCCAGCCACAGCCCAGGCCTGCAGCAGAGGGGGTGAAGCTGGGGAGGCTTTGCTCAGCCCCTGGCTCAGGGTTGCACTCGGGGCGTCTGTGCTCCCACCAGCTCTGCTGGCTTCCAGGGCCTATGCTCGGCACTGCTGGGACAGTGTGGGGAATGGATGTAAACCTTCCTCCTTGAACTTCACGTTTCTCAGCATCACTGACTGCACACGAGGCTCAGAAGGCGGCACAGAGGTCAGGGACAGAGGCTGATGCCCGCTGGCCTGACCTGGGGCTTCTGTTTCTTCCTGCATGGTTTGGACCCTCCCCACCACACACACCTTTTCCAAAGACTGATTTATTTGATAGGCAGAGCAACAGAGAGAGAAAGACGGAGTTGGACAGGGACAGGGACAGGGAGAGGGGAAAGAGATCTCTTCTACCTGCTGGTTCACTCCTCAAAGCCAGCAGCAGCTGGGGCTAGGCCAGGCCAAAGCCAGAAGCCAGGAACTCTATGTGGGTCTTCCAGGTGGGTGGCACGGGTCAAGTACTCGTCCATCCTCTGTGCCCTCCCAGGTGCATGTGGAAGGAGAGGAAGCAGAACAGCCAGGACAATGTGGGATGCTGGCGCTGTAGCCAGGGCTTCACTCACCTCTACACAGACCTGCCCCGAGCCCTGCCCTAGAGCATCCACTGGGCGTTTCCCGCCTGCCCTCGGTCCCAGACTGCGGCCCCCACCTGTGTCATGAGGGCTGGCACTGCGTACGGTGGATGCTACTCTGTGCGTGGGCCCAGAACAAGTGACAGGCTGCAGCCTGCATCTTCTCCTCTGTCCACCTCAGAGGAGTGGATCCTGAGGCCCAGGGGGCAGCTGCTGCTCTTGGTTCAGGCTGGGGACTCCAAATGCACCTGCTGTCACTCACACTCTGTCCATGTGATGCCTTTCTCCCATTGCTCAGAGAGGCCAAGGCCACAAGGTCGGAGGTGAGCCAGATTCTCTAAGGCCACCTGACCAGACAGGGGTCCTTGAAGCTGCCAAGACCAGAACCCAGCCTCCCTGTGACAAGGTCAGGATCTTACCCTGTTGTCGCCCTGGTGTTCCTCAGCACCCCTGGTAGGTAGCACCCCTGGGTGTCATCGCATCACAGAATTAGAGCCCAGGCTGGAGATCAGGGCCACAGCTCCTTTGTCTGCAAGTCAAGTCAGAGGTCAAGGTCTGGAGTGGCTTCCTGGTGATTTTACTTCTATACGTGGGTGACCAGGCACTACCCTCCCACAGCAGCCACAGGAAGGCCCTGCAGAGACCACGGCAGCCAGGCCCTCCTGTTGGGTGGTATCCACCTGGGCACCTGGGGGCTGGCAGTGCAGTCAGAGAAGCGTGGGCAAGGGTGGCCGGATGTGGTAAGTCGGATGTGGCAGGTCCCTCCAGGGTCAGCCACAAGGTGCAGACTAAGGCTACACAAGTGGCAGGGGGAGGTAGAAGAATCCCCTCGCTGCTCCTCACTGCCACACAACGAGGCTCCCGGAGGTGATCCCCGTGTGGTGAGGTGGACTTCCTGGACAGCGAGGAGCCACGCTGGACTGGAGCAGCCGCACGGGCGGCCATGGGGCGGGGTGTCTGCACAGCCAGCAGGGCAGCCCAAGCACGTCAGTCATTGTGAGGCAGGGGTGTAATGGATACTGGCTGGGCATGCTGCGAGCCTGAGAGGCCAGAGCTGGGCAGCTGGGGCTGGATCAGCACGTGCTGGGAGGGGGAGCCTAGGGGCCACTTGGGAGGGCTCTAGGCGAGGGAGCGCACTGGTCAGTCCCTGCTCATGTCAGAGCAGGAGTGGGGCAAGCCAATGGGCTGTGAGCCGCAGCCCTTCCGGACTGCCCTGCATGAGAGCTGTGTGCCCAACAGGGCCGCACCCAGTCTACTCGGACTCAGCCCTCACCCTCTCCAGTGTCCGGCACCCAGGGATCCAGCACAGGGGGTGCCCACGCTTCTTACAGACCCTTCTGCTTCCTGTCTGTGTCCCGATGAGCAGGGGCAGGACACATGGTGGCAGCAGTTGGCAGTCCAGGGCAAGCTGCACACCACCTAGCTTGGGGAGACCGAGGCAGCAGGCTGGGGGATGGTAGCCCAGGATTTGAGATGGGACCTGCCATGGGCAAATCCATGGGACTTTCATGAGTCTCAGTCTACTTCCCTGTGCTTGGCACCTAGTGGGTGCTTGGTAAACATGAGCTGACCCCGGGAGCACAGGCAGCATGCTGCTGTGAGGCTAGGCTCACTCCCCGGTCCAGCCTGCCTCTCTGGGCACGTGAGCAGCCTCTGACCTCAACAGCAGTGCTGTCAGCACTGGAAAGCCCCCCGTTGGGTGCCTGTGTAGTGTGTGGGGAGGTCCCCAGCTGAAGGGCACTGGACGGTCCCCACCAAGCTCACCTCGACAGTGTCCACTTCTCCAAGCAGCCCTGAGTGGGAGGCAGCATCCGGGGCCCCTGCACTGGAGGGAAACTGAGGCCAGATGCAGGAGCCTCAGCTGTATGCAGGAGGCTGTGTGGTCCCAGGATGAGCCCTGCATTGGAGACTCTGCTGCATCCCAGCTGCGAACCCTGGGCCAGTAGCACACCTCTGCCTCGCGGTGTCCTGTGCTGGTGTGCCCTACGCATGCGTACATGGGCTGTCCTGGGGTTGTGATGGTTCTGAGCTGGACCCAGGCCTGTGAGAGATTGCTGTGGCCTGCCCAGGCTGACTGACCCACGCTGTCTCACCCACACGCAGGCTCTGTCTATCACCCCGACGGATGCGTGGTCAGTGCACACCATTGCCCACGTCCACGAGATGAGAGCAGAGGTCCAGCAGGGTCTGGAGTTCATGCAGCACTCGGAGACGCACTGGAAGGTACGGTTCTCATCCCCCGGCCACCTGCCAAGGGAACTCAGTCGGTGTCCTGAGGCACAGGAGTTCACGGGTGTGCTTGAAACATTTCTGTCACGCTACCCATGGCTACAAAGCACCTCTCAACACCTGTTGGTGGAAGTTTCTAGAACTGGTCTAGAATTGGTAAAAGGAATACATCATAAAATTACCATGAAGACAAGAGCCCCACTGGGGTGAGACCTAGGAGGCCCTGAGCTGGTCCTCCTGCCTGCCTGGAGCCCAGGGGTGGCCTCTCAGTGTAGCTGAGGGTGTGGACACAGGGGGGATGGTGCACTGGCCATCTGAAGGGCTGGCATACTCGGCTTGTCTTAGGTTCCGAGGACTGGGTGCCACCACTGTCAGGTCATCGTCAGTTGCCCCAGCATTGAACACCATAGAAAGGGCCACCTGAGCAAACTCGGGATTCACCTTAAACCTGTGAGGTCCTAAGGGCCGTCCAAACCCTAAGCCGAGTCCTGTCCACCTTGCTCCTGGGCCTGTTGTCCATGTTTTTGGTTCCGTCTGGTTACCCCATGGGCCTCAAACCCTCTCTCTGAATAATGGATTTATCATTCCAATTAACATCGTATGTGCAGAAGAGGGAGCCAGTACATCATTACTTCCCCATGCTGGCCCTGCTGCAGCCACGTCTCAGCTCTGACGCCAGTGCACATCCTCCTGGGTTGATCCCGGCGTCCTAGCTGCCCTCGCCCAGAGCTGGCTCTGACTGGCAGCACGAGGCAGCATTTGTACCTCTGCACCTCCTGGGGCTTCCCTAACTCTCTCGTTCTCCCCCAGGACTCGGACATGCTTGCCAGTCACAATTACTGGCACTGGGCTTTATTCCTGATTGAAAAGGTAGGTGACCCCCTGGGGGAGAGGAGCTGCTCTCCAGCACGCGTTGTCTGTCACACCCTGGGTGCCCTCACAGTGGCACAGGCTTCAGGGCCCTGGCACCCAGAGCACCCAGGTTTTTAGGAGGCTTTCCAGGCCTGCGATGCTATCCACCTTTTCCTCACTGCTGGGTCCTGGGAATCATGTCACATATGTGTGGTTTGCGGGGGCCACCAAGACCTGCTACAGTGAACGGCCCAGCCCCCACCCCAGTGGTTGGCCCTGCAGGAACCAGGAGACCACCCAGCAGGAGTGGGGCAGGAGCTGCTCCTCCAGGCGCCTTACCCCAGTGATCCCACCAGAGGGTCCCGTTCATAAGGTGCTTCCCGCACTGCTGTTCCCGCGGGGAAAGCGGGACGCTCCCTAAATATCCAAAGACAGAAATCAGTGCCTGGGAGGTGAGCACCAGGCATGACGTGGGATGCACAGGGTGGGAAACACGGGCGGGAGACTGGAAGGGGAGGCGAGAGCAAGCTCTGCTCAGCCACCTTGGCTGCTCTATCCCAACTGCCTGGGACCTGGGGCGTTTGATTCCAGATGACTGTGGATTCCGGGGTGTCTGCATGGAGGAGGGCACCCTGGTACATCTTGGGGATGGGACTGAGTGCAGTTCCCTGCACACCTGACACAGGTAGCCTGCGGGGTGTCTTCCACCTGGTCTGCCCTCTGACTGGGACCTGTCCGCTGAAGTCAGGTGTGGAAGTTTCCACTTGTGGTGTCACATCAGCTCTGAACAGGCTTTGGATTCTGGAGGTCTTGGGGCTGAGAGTTTCGGGTGGGGGTGCCTGACCTGTGTTGACTTTGCCCAGCAAAGACAAGGCCTTCCCGGATCGGTCCCCTCGCAGCAGCCTGGCTCCGCTGCCCTCGCCTTCTCCGCACCCCCTCAGCAGCGCGTGGCGGCCACGGGCAGGGGTCTTGTTCATTTCTCAGGGCTGTGCTTTGCCTCGTTCATCACGGGAGCTGTGTTTTGCAGGGCGACTACGAGGCGGCACTGACGATCTACGACACCCATGTAAGTGCCCCTGGGCCGCACCAGGCTCCCTGCCCACAATGCCCGTCAGGCTCTCCCAGACCTGTGAGCCGGTCTCTGCTGGCACAGCCAACACACGGCTGGAGCAGAGCCCCGCATTCTGTGAGGCCTCACGGGCTTGACTGGCCCAGAGCGGTCTCATGGCTCATCGTCCTCGGTACCCCCACAGGCCTTAAAAATAAAGCCTGGGGTCTCAGCACCAGAGAAAATCAGTGAAGTTCTGGAAGCAGTCCTTTGGGGGTTGAAGGGACATTGTAGGAAGAAATGGAGGTGATGGGGACCTGTGAGATGAGATGTGGATCTTGGCACCCCTGAGCAAAGCTGAGTCTGGAAGTGTGGCCGGGGGCGGGGTCTCTGCCAGCCTGCTCTGAGGCTTGGTGATGGGTGACGGGCCAGGCCCAGCAGATGCTCCCGGGCACGCAATGGGGGCAGCTTCTCCAGGTCACTTGGTGCCCTCTCTTGCGCCTGGTGCAGTCTGAGCTCTTGGTCACAGTAAGGGTGACAGTCCTGATGGCAGAGGTGGTGGGGACCAGATAGTGGCGCCCTTTGGCTGAGGGCTTGCTCTGTGCAGACCCCATACATAACCCAGACATGCTCCTCGCTGGCCCTGGGTCCCCCATCAGCCCACAAGCAGAGTATGGCTAGGGTCATGCCTGTCTTCCAGATCCTGCCCCGACTGCAGGCCAGCGGCACAATGCTGGACATGGTGGACACCTGCTCCATGCTCTACCGCCTTCAGATGGAAGGTAGCACACCTCTGCCCCTCAGGCTCACTCACCTCCCCTCTACACAGCGAGTGCACGGTGCAGCTGCCCGCCTGGCCTGGCTCCGTAGATGCCCTGAGACCAGCACGTCTGGCCGCCGCGTCTGTTTCTTCCAGTTCCCACTACTCAGCGAGGAGACCTCAGGCTCCACTCAGGGAGGCACCAGCCACTCCCATGGTGCCCTACAGTCCTTGGGGCACAGGGGGCAACTGGCCACCTGTCCTCACAGCCTCCTTCCCCAGACATAGGGTTGAGTGTCTCAACTCCCTGGGATGGCAGAGTTCTCTGTCACCCCAGCCTGGATGAGTTTGCCACAGTCCTGGGGGCTGTAGGACGCTTCTGGGCAACCCCCAGCATGCAGGCTGGTACTCTCCCGGCCAGGCTCAGCAGAGTCAACGCTGTACCTGTGCAGGCCTGGGTGAGGCCCGGGGCAGCAGGACATCCACATGCAGGATGAGGGCCTGGGTAGCTTGCTTCTGGAAGGTTCCACGCAGGCTTTGTGGTGGAGATGAAATATGAGCCCTGAAGGCTGTGTAGGGTGACCAGGCAAAGTGCAGCAGCCTGTCCAAAGCCAGCGGCCTGTTAGGAACAGTGCAGGCTGGCTGGGTGGGGAGGGCAGGTGACGAGCGGGCTTGCAGCCAGGGTAGGGGTGGGGTCCGCTCATGGCTGCTCTGCACAGGCCTGGAGCTGCCTTCGAGAGGCTCCTCGGGATGCGCAGAGGCTGAGCCCAGGCAGGTGGCGGCGGTGGGGTGTGAGCGGGAATGCCAAGGAGGACCCTGACTTAGGCCTGGGCCTCATATCCTGCCCAGGGCCCTCCAGAATTGGGTGGCGTGGGCCACACTGGGGGAATGGTAGAGACTTATTAACCCTGAGACCCTGTCACCCCTGCACCTTTGCTCCTTATGAGGCTGAGACTGAAAATTTACTGGAACTCTCTACGGAGCCTTTGTGCAGGTGTGGAGAGAGGATGGGCTACAGGGCGGTAGAATCACGGAGACACAAGAACCGTGTCCAAATCGCCAAGGGAGACAGAGCTGATGGCTGTGTTCATGGTCATGTAGGTGCCCGAGTGAGGAAGGATGTGGTGTTGTGTTGGCCTCTTAAGCCTGAGGCTGACCCCTGACCAGCAGGGGACAGTACAGACACTCCCCCACAAGGCGAACGGGAGAGGTATGGTCGATGGGTCAGGCACACCACAGCAAGCACCCGTGAGTTCTATCGAAGCAGGAACTACTTTATTGAGGAAGTGTACAGGCTTATAAGGCTTACAAAAGACATGCGCAGTAGGGGATCCAATCAGCGAAAGGTCATGCAGGCATGAGTGAAGCATGCACAGGGGCATCTTATGCAAAGTATGGGGATCATGCACTGTCCACGTGTCTGGAACTAAAGCGGTGCCGGTGGTCTGATCTTACCTAGCTTAACCGCAGCAGCCGCAGACACGCCCCTCGAACATCCGCCAGGCTCCATATTGTAGTGGAGATTTTAGGCAGTGCCCAACAGTGATGGACTCAGGAGGATGGGAAGCAGAGGGCAGCAAGGGCTGCATGAGGGGACAATCCAGGCAGGAGGGCCGAAGGAGGCTGTCCAGGTTTACCCAAGGCCTGGTGTGGCCCAGGTGCCACCCTCACCATGGCTGCTGAGAATCAGTGGTATTTTTGAGGTTTGTCAAAGGGTTAGAGACTTAGCACTGGTTAGATTTACTTTATGCCTTATGCACCTGCTGCTTTTGTAATGGACAAAGTTCACACAAACCCAAAGTCCCCCGCCGCTCCAGCCTGTCACCTGCAGCAGGACCCACCATAGAGCCTCCTAGGGACGTGATTGGAAGAGGACATAGGCGTGGGACACCCTCTGGAAACTCACACCGGGCCCTGGGCATCCTCCATGTTTCCCCAGGAGTGTCCCTGGGCCAGCGCTGGCAGGATGTCCTGCCTGTAACCAAGAAGCACACGCGTGATCACGTCCTGCTGTTCAATGATGTGCACTTCCTGATGGCTTCGCTGGGTGCACGGGATGCCCAGACCACGCAGGAGCTGCTGACCACCCTGCAGGAGGCCAGCGAGTACGTGGGCCCCCACCCCCACTTCCCACAGGACCAGGGTGCCGGTCCTGCTGAAGCTCGCCCCCACCTGCCAGGGAGGCTCATGGTGAGGGCTCACTCGTGAGCCCAGCTTTGGGGATGGAAGACGGGTGCTGGGGTATTTTCCCCAAGGTCAACGGTGCCCCCAGGACAGAACGGCCTCTCCCCTACCCCACAGTACAGCGTCAGTGTCATTGGGCAGTCTCCCTTGGGGAACACCGGGGCTTACACACTCTGCCAGGCACTTCTCTGCTGTGAACCTACGTCCTCATCTGTAACAAGGGGACGTGCCTCCTGTGGGCGGCTGACAGCTGGGAACCCTGGGCTGCCGGCCATTCCCTTCCCGGGACAGTTTGGCCCCAGTCTGTGTGCCAGGCTTTTGTCTGTGCTGTCTGCAATCCTGCTGGCTCTGTGAGATCAGAGCTACCTGGTCTACTTTACATATGAGCACTCCGAGGCCAGAGGAAGGAGAACCCGTGTGGGGCTCGGTGGCTGGTGACAGCCGAGTGTAAGGTCAGAGCCATGGTCTGTCCCCTCGCTGGGCTACTTCTCTGACACCACACCCCATGGAAGCACCTGTCGTGTGGCTCTGTGCCGGGCACTTGACAGAAACACCTGCCGAGGGAGGAGTGGGCCCTCCCACTGATGCCTGTGCCAGCTGCTGAGAGCACGTTCTTGGCCTGTAGGTCCCCGGGGGAGAACTGTCAGCACCTCCTGGCCCGAGACGTGGGGCTGCCCCTGTGCCAGGCCATGGTGGAGGCTGAGGCCGGGAATCCCGACCGCGCTCTCGACCTGCTTCTGCCCATCCGCTACCGGATCGTCCAGATCGGAGGCAGCAATGCCCAGGTGGGTTTGCCGCCTCCAGCCAGGCTCACCAGGGAGCGTCCTGTACCCCATGCCACCTCTGCAGGCAGCCTGTCATCCTGGGGTGCAGGCCACTGTCTCTAGCCACGTGTGGGGTGTCAGCTCCGTGCCTCCACCTGGCAGGGTCTAACTTGCCCTTGACATTCCAGAGAGACGTCTTCAACCAGATACTGATTCACGCGGCCCTGAACTGCACTTCCAGCAAGCACAAGAATGTGGCACGGTGAGCCCCGCACCCCTTCCTGCACACGTGGGGTCTCTGGCCGGGGTGGCTCCTGCTTCCGCGACTCTGCAGGTGTGAGGCTGCGGCAGGGGAGTTGTTTCCCAACGCAGGTCAAACCTCCTGCCCTCCCCAGCCCCCTCTCCACTGTCACCATGCTGAGCTACAAGGGCCCCAGGCACATCCCGTGCTGTGCCCAGGGACACCCTGACCCTTTCCTGCCTGGCCGACTCCTGCTGCTCCTTTGGGCCTGGACTCCCTTTGCCTTCCTGTGCTGGCTGTGGGAGGCAGCGGGGAGCAGGCAGACCCAGGGCCTGGCTGCATGGGGCTCCCTGTCCTGACGTCCCCTCCTGTAGAGAATTGCCCTGGCTCTTGTTAGCAGGGGGAGGGAGCTCAGGAGGGCACCCCATGGAAGTGACAGTTGAGAGCTGACAGCCTAGTAGATTGAACCAGGCAGGGGTGAGTCTGGTTAAAGGGACAGCATCGCCAGAAGGCAGGGGTGTTGGGGGCACCCGAAGAAGGGAGCTGTGTGGAGCCCCAGCCGTTGCAGACCCCGGGGGAGCTGGGCCTTGCTCACCTGAATCCCTGAGCGCTGACAGCTCTTTATTCTGTGCTCCTGAGAGGGACCTGACTCCTCCCAGCTCTGCCGCCTCTGCTGTGTGAACAGGGACAGAAGGGTGAGCCGCACAGCTTCCAGTGACAGAGGGGTGCTGTGGGAGGGTGGCCTCCGGGGCTGCAGGGTCCCTTTGCTGCGGGACGCCAGCGGTCCAGCAGGTACGCAGTGGCAGTGGGCCAGGCCCTGATAGTACAGGTGAGTGCACGCTGTGAAATGGGTCTGGCTGGGAGCGCCAAGCTGTTTGAAACCCTGAGAGGTCTGAGACAAAGGTGCCAGCTTTCCTTCCTCCCTGACCACGTGCGCTTGTCTAGGGTGCAGCACCACGGGGGCCTCCAGTCCCCGCTTGGATGTGAGGCGGCCTCACTGGTGGCAGCTGCGGGCGAGGAGGCCGAGAGGACACGGAGGCTAGGGGTTGAGCTAAGGCAGGTGTCTGCGCAGTGTGCCTGTGCTACTGGCGCCTTGCTGCTCTGTCCTGTCTCCTCAGAAGCCACCCTCAGACCCATTCACCTCTCCGTGGCCCTGCTCCCAACACCGACCCCTTGGGGACCTGGGCTTCACCATGGGAGTTCTGGAGGGACTCAGTGAGTGTTTGCCGCCAGCCTGGGTTTCCCACACCGCCTGTCCTGCTGCTGCTGTTCCTGAGTCAGGGTCGGTGTGGCTTCCTGCCCCACCTGTCACCAGCGCTGTGCTGTGGAGCAGGTGGGACCCCAAGTCATGCAGCTCTTCTCGGGGCAGACCAGGCCACGGTGGCACCCCCTCCTGTCTCAAACAAAGTGCCCTCCACCAAGGTGCGCGGACACGGACACGGGGCCCTGATGCGTCGTCTGCTGCCTTCATGCTATGGCCAAATCTGCCCATGTCCCACCTTGGGGCGAAGCCTTCTAGAAGAGTCCACTCCTGAACCTGGATGTGTTTCCACAGGAGCCTTCTGATGGAGCGGGACGCCCTGAAGCCCAACTCGCCCCTGACCGAGCGGCTCATCCGCAAGGCCACCGCCGCGCACCTCATGCAGTGAGCGCACCCGGCCGCCTCGGCCTGCAGGACCTCCGCAGGGGCTGGCCAGCCTCAGTCCAGCTGCCCTGCTGGGCTGAGCTTAGGAAACACCCGCTGTAAGCCAGCAGTTCTACAGGACACACAGATCTCAAGTGTGATTCAGAATCTTAGGGCCAGCGCGCATTGTGAAGCAGTCAGAACCAGTGGGTGCTTGTTCTACTCGCCTGCCACTAGGTTTCTTAGGGCTTGCTTTCGCTTCTGCTTCAGGGTTGCTCCAGCTTGGGAGGAAGGGCAGAGGTAGGGTGGGCTCAGCGGGGGAGGAGTCTCCCAAACACAGGTCCTGTCCACGGCCTCCTCCTACTCCCCCCACCTCTCCCTGATTAGAGCTGATTAAGCTCATTCCTCTATTGCAACTGTCATCGGACACGGCTTCCCCGTCCTCGCAGAGTCCAGTGCTGTGAGGGCACGAGGGGCAACTCAGCGAAGCTCTGCTCTGGCACAAAGCAGAGCCCCACACGAGGCCGTGACAAGGCCTGAGCTGTCTCCTGAGTGCCACCTCCGGTCTCCTGCTTGCTGTCCACCCTGGCTGATGTCCCCACGCGTGTGCTGAGCGGCCCTCCCGGAAGGGGACTCTGAGTGCCACGGTGGCCGTCAAGGTCCTTCAGTTCCCACTGACGTTAGGGAGCAGGTGCTGGGCAGGCAGAGGAAGCCTCCGAACCTAGTCGGCCCTCATGGTTTGCTCAAGCTCAGGCAAATTTCAAGAATTAAAATAAACTGGTTCCTTTGCCTTTTTTTTTTTTTTTTTTCTTAAGATTTATTTAAAGGCAGAGTGTCAGAGAGACCTTCCATCTCTGGTTCCCTGTCCAGATAGCCACAAGAGTTGGGTCTGGGTCTCCCACCTGGGTGGCAGGGCCCAAAGCACGTGGGCCGTTTTCTGCTGCCTTCTCAGAGGCAATCCAAGGAGCTGCTGAGAACAGAGGCGCCAGGCCTCCGACACCGGCTCCAGTATGCGATGCTGGCGTCACCAGTGGCTCCTCATGCTAAGTCTGGTGAGAACCTGCGAGAGTTCCCACGCGCCAGGCCCGGGGCAGGGTCCTGGGCAGACAGAGTTCTAGAAGCTGGGGTGTGCGGGGCAATGCTGGCGGCAACGGGGCTTCACAACAGGACTCTGCTGTCCCCACCAGGGAGGTAGGACCGTCCCGAGGGGCCCTTCCTTCTTCCCCGCTGCGGTTTCCAAGCAACACAGGACTCAGCCAAGGAGGTGGGAGCCATGGTCGCCGGACTTCCGGGTGGGGCGGAGCCAGTCAGCTGCGCGGAAGCAGCGCGCTTGCGCCCTGGGCCCGCTCCTGGGCGTTCCCACTACAATCCCCAGGATGCACTGGGCGCGCCAACCCTTTCAAACCGACCAATCGGCACCCGCGTCTTCCGGCGGCGCGTTTAAATCTTTTGCGTGGTGGGGGCGAGTGCTTCTTCGTCGGCCGCTCATCGTGAGGGCAGCGTCGGACCCAGGTTAGGGGGCCCGGCGCGGGGCAACGTCGTGCGGGCGGTTCTCGGTGCCGTGCGGAACGCGGCCTCGCGCCCCCGGGGCCCGGCCTGGCCTGCGCCGGGGCCCTCGCTGCCCGGCAGAGCCCAGCTGCCGGCCCCAGCCTGAGCGCCGCGTCCCCTCATCCGCGCCGTCGCCTCGCCGGGGCGGCCCGCTGCTCCCTCAGCTCCGGGCCTGGCGGCGCTCGGGCCCGCGGCGGCCCCGGGGTGCGCTCGGCCCAGGCGGCCTCGGCGCCGCCCGCGGCTCCCGCACCGGCTCACCCGGCCCTTCCTCCCCGCAGGGACCGCCTCAGCCGCGTCCGGGGACCCAGGGCACGGCGGCGCCCTGTCTCGCTCTGGCCGGCGGGCGAAGCGCAGATGGACGTCCCTGAGGAGGAAGGTAGGGCCCGGGTGTGCCGCGCGCCGTTCCGGGCGGCAGCTTGTCCGCTTCTGCCCTCAGTGCCCTGCACCCTGGCCCCGCGCACCTGTGTCCTGGAGGGTGCTTGCACGCACGCACGCACTTGAAGTGGCTCCACCGCAGGGATTCTCCTCAGTTCAATTTCTTTTTTCAAGATTTATTTTATTCATTTTTAGAAGTACAGAGAGAAGTAGAGCCAGAGAGAGAGAGAGAGGTCTTCCATTCTGATTCACTCCCCACATGACCGCAACGGCCATAACTGAGCTGATCCGGAGCCAGGAGCTTCCTCCGGGTTTCCCAGGCGAGCGCAAGAGCCCAAAGATTTTGGGCAACGTCCACTGTTTTCCCAGGCCATAGCTGAGAGCTGTGGCGGAAATGGAGCAGCCAGGACTCCAACCGTTGCCCATGTTGTTTGGCCATTTGGGATAGGCCAGGCCTTCAACCCCCTGCGACACAGTGCCGGCCTCCTCCGTTTGATTCGCGCCTAAAACGACACCTGACGTTCGGTGGGCACCCGAGGGTTTGTTCAGTTGAGTGTGATGTTTTCTTTCGTTCGATTTTTTCTTAATGATGTGGTTTATGTATTTGATCGACAGAGTTACAGAGAGAGGTAGAGACCAAGAGGGAATGAGAAGTCTTCCATCTGCCGGTTCACTTCCCAGGTGGCCACACTGGCAGGAGCTGAGACCATGGGAGCCAGGAGCTGCTTCTGGGCCTCCCATCTGGGACGTGAGTGCAGGGTGCATCCTCCGCTGCTGTCCCAGGCCCATTAGCAGGTAGCTGGATCGGAAGTGGAGCAGCTGGGACTTGAACAGGCGCCCGTATGGGATGCCAGCACTGCAGCAGAGCCGGAGCTTTGACCCGCTGCACCACAGCACTGACCCCATTTCCTGCCATTGTTTAGCTGACCCTGCCTTAGTTGTTTCCTTGTGTGAGAGAGTGCATCTGCTGGTTCATTCCCCAGATGCCAGCAGTGACTGTTGGGGCTGGGCCAGGCAGAAGCCAGGAACCAGGAAGTCGATCCAGGACTCCCGAGTGGGTCATGGGAACCTAGTTTGTGGAGTCACCATGGCTGTCTCCCAGGTGCGCATCAGCAGGAAGCTGAGTGGGAATGGGCGCTGGAGCCAGGTGGAGACCCAGCTACTCAAGGGACGCGTCCCCCTCGTGCCTTCCCTGCCAGAAACGCCCGCCCCGAGGGTTTCTTTTTGGCTGTCTGTTTCTATGTCTTGTGTAGGATCCTGGGGACTGCGTGTGTGAGTGGGTGGGCAAGCCGGCAGGCGAGCCTGGCTGTAACTGTTTTCCTGCCGTGCCCTTGTCTGGTTTGCTTATCAAAAGGACGGTGCAACCACAGAAAGTGAGTCTCCTCAGTGTCTGGGGGATGGATTCCAGGACACACGCCGCCTCCCCCAGCCGCGGGCACACAATCCACAGATGCTCCGAGCCCCGTGTGATAGGACGTGGCACTTGCCTATCATGCGTGTACGTCCTCGTGAGCACTGTAAGTCACGTGACAAGCATAGTTATCACCCTGTATGGTCTAGGGACTAGTAACAAGGATGAGTCTGCACATGTTCAGTGCAAGCACGATTTATTTTCTTGGAGGTGTGTCCACCTGCAGGTTAGGCTCTCACCGCCCTGCCTAGTGCCATCCTGAGGGCAGCTACCATGGACCTGGACTCTGCCTGGCACCTGGTGCAGAAGGAACAGACAGCCCAGCGCCACTTACAGTCAGTCAGAGTAAAGATTGGTGCTTTTGCTCCTGGTCTGTGATTCATTTTTCTACACCAGACAGTTGGAAGTTTCCGAAAGTGAGGAATTGGCACTGTTCCTTAGCATTTCCATGTTTGCTGTTCCGGATCCATGAGAGACTTGTGCTGTCTGTGCCCTTGAAGTGAGGTTGGGCTCAGAGACTCGCTGGGCCAGTGAAGCAGGCCTGTTGTGTGCTGGGTGCCTCTGGGAGAGTCTTTGAGAACCTGCATGGGGTTTGCTCCTTCCCCTGTGTCTTGCCATGAGACTAGCCAGAGTGTGCATGAGGAGGCCTGGGAGGAAGGTTGAGTGGGAGATGGGAGTGTGCCTTTGTTGTGCGGAGCCAGCTGGGCTTCCCGGGGTTTGTGTTCCCTCAGCAGGAGGTGGCTTATCTGAACCAGGGTAGAGTCTGCAGTGTCCTGATGTCCCTTAGCCCCCTGATTGAACCTTGTGCTGCCTTTTGGGTTGAGATGGCCGTTTCCTTATGCGATGAAATGTGTCTGTAGGGCCTTTAAAGTGGAGAAGGTGGGTAACATTATCATAGCTTCTTCACATATATGGAGGGAATCATAGGGTTTTCTCATGGTCACTGTTCGGTATGTAATTTAACCATCTTAGGGTCCTGAGATGAACTGAGCTTGGTCATACTGTATTAATATTCTTTCAATGTTTGTTGGATTCTCTCTGCTCATATTTTTGTTTAGGATTTTTGTGTAGAAATAAGTGAGCCTGGTCCTTTCTTTACTGAGCAAACGTAATTGGTTTTTAGTCATGTGCTGGCTTCATGGGAGTAATTTGGAAGCTGTTTTTTTCTAGCCTCTGGAGCTGGGTGGGAATATTTAAGGCCCACAGAAGGTATTTGTTCTGGCCCCAGAAGGCAACCCCTGGGGGGACTTAAGACTCCTTTTTAAGTTGATCATCTTGTATGGCCCACAGATGGTGTTGTAAACCTCCAGTTGGCTCTTGGCAGAAGAGGTTATCCAGCTATGCTCTGGAATAACAAATAATACTGGAATTTTGAGTGTTTTTGGCACCTGTGCTTTTTAAAAGATGTTATCTCAGGGCTGGTGCTGTGGAGCTGCGGGTTAAAGCCCCAGCCTGCAGCACTGGCATCCTCTATGTGCACTGGTTCAATTCCCAGCTGCTCCACTTCTGTTCTAGCTCCCTGCTGATATGCCTGGGAAAGCAATGGAAGATGGCCTGGGTACTTGGGCCCCTGAACCCCCATGAGAGACTGGTAAGAAGCTCCTGGCTCCTGGCTTGGGATCAGCTCAGCTCCAGCCATTGCAGCCATTTGGGGAGTGAATCAGGGAATGGAAGATCACTTTCTCTCTGTCTCTGTCTGTAACTCTTGTCTTTCAAATAAATAAATCTTTTTTAAAGAAAAAATAAGTTAGTAGCTCTTTAATTAGTTTCTCCAGTTTTATAAGTAACCTATTAAGATTTTTTTCTCTTTTCTAGAGTCAGCCTTCTAAATAAATAGAGATCATTGACATAGAAAAAGCAGATCCATTTCATCCATGTTCTCAAGCTTTGTGTGTAGAATCGAGCAGACTTGCGTATGAATCTTTTAATTTCTAGTTGTAGTTATTTTATTTTGTGCTCTTGTGCTTTCAGCCTTTTCCTTAATAAGGTAATTAGGACCATTTAGTTGATTAATTAGGGCTTAATGGGATATTGACATCTTTTCAAGTTTTATGATTTCAATATGCATGCTGCATTATTTATTAAGGTCTAATAAGCTATGATTTGGGAAAGTGCTATGCAAACTTTAGTATTCAATTGTCGCTTCAGTGCATGTCAATAACCTTTAGCTGGACACTGGGGAATCTGTTATCTCAGAGGAGGTCCCAGTCTTGCTGGGGTCTCCCAGGCTGCATCAGCATTTAAAGTCCCGAGGCTAAGGCAGCAGGAGAGATGAGGTCCGGGTGCTGTGGGGGCTCTGGGGAGGCCTGCGCCTATCTTGGGAACTGGAAAAGGAACAGCTGTAACAGCCGAGGGCCCCACAAGCTCAGAGCCTGAGTCTCTTAGAAGGAGCTGGGCAGACAGGTGTGCTGAGATGTGGGTGGGGTGGGGTAGAAAGCACACTTTTCTTTGGAGGTTCGGGGCGGGCTTGAAGAAGCCTTGATGGTCCAGAACGCTTCCTGAGTCCCTACTGTGCACCTAACACGTGACTTCAGTGGTAAAGATGAGCAGTGCCTGGTGGGTTATAAGAGGGGATTTCATTCTAGGGGAGCCAGGCAGGGGCAGGGGGGTGTTTGGAAAAAGCTCTCTACCTGAAAATGACTTATCTTTCCTTGAGAAACTGGTTGAATGATTCGGTGCATGTATTTTCGATTGTATCTTAAAATAATGACTTATATGAGGTTTTGGGTTGGCCTAACAAACACAGAATGGCTGATGCATTTTTAAAGTGAACAAAAATAATGTAATATGGAGCACCCTGTGAAGATATAAGTAAATTGACATAATGACAGATTATGCTTTTGGGGTGAAATTTCATAATAGCTTTGAGAACTATAGAGCCTGGTGATGTTTCCCTCGTTCCTTCCCCAGGCATCCTGCTTTTGACTGATGAAAAATTTGACTTCGATCTCTCATTGTCTTCTTCAAGGTAAACAAAGGAGTTTTCTTCCCTGGCCTTGGGCATGAACACATTTGGTTAAGTCTTTTATTTAAATGCCACTGTTATTAATCATTTTTTCTTGAAAAATAGTGCAAATGAAGACGATGAAGTGTTTTTTGGGCCTGTTGGGCATAAAGAAAGATGTATTGCTGCCAGCCTAGAACTCAACAAGGCAAGTCCAGGCCCACCTCCTCTGCCAGCATCTGGAGGCCCCTTTGCATGGAGCCCCCTGGCCGGGGAGAAGTTCGTGGAGGTCTACAAGGAAGCGCGCTTGCTGGCCTTGCAGATAGAGAGCAGCAGCAGGAACAGGGCAGCCCACATGTCCAAGCCCCAGGACGCCGGGAGCCTGGGTGTGGAAAGATTCCTACAGGAGTCACAATTAAAAGTGAGCCTCTTTGAGAAAGAAAAGGAAAAGGAGAAGAGTCCCAAGTCACTTAAAAGGGAGACTTACTACCTGTCCAACAGCCCCTTGGTGGGACCACTGCTCTTGGACAACCAGCCCTCCATGAGTGAGGCCCCGCGCCCGACCCGGCCCAGCTCTGCTGCCCAGGTCGGCCCCGTCCAGTCACAGGGGCCATTGCACTCGTCTCGTCCTTGGTCAGGGCAGCCTGGTGCTGCCCACCCTCCCAACCAGGCAGTGGCACAGAAAAGGGTCCCCAGCAAACTGCAGCTGCCTCGAGCATCATCGTCTGTCAGAGGAAAGAGCCTCCACTCGGCCACCGAGAAGGTAGACAAAACCGTGCACCTGAACATGGCCCAGGAGCAAGACACTGCTCGCCCCTCGGGCCTATCCAGGGAGGCTGTGTGGGCAGAGCCCTGGCGGGGAAGACCTGGGAAGTGGCGGATGCAGTGACAGCGGGGGAGCTGGGCAGGCGTGTGCCGATGAAGGATGGCTTCTGTCCATTCTGGTTGGAATCCTTCTTTTTGTCTGTGGCAATGCTGGACAGTCCACCCGCTGGGGATTTTGTTTTCTGTAATGAGCAACCTCTTCCGCACCTTGTCTCTGGGAGAGCCGCTGGTCTTCCTCCCTGGCGGTGACTGCCTTACCTTGCTTCCCTCCTAGCATCCAGCTGGGCAGTGGCAGTTGACTGTCTGCCTATGGTGGCCTTCAGCCAACTGGAAGACTGGGGTGATGCTAAGAGAAGATGGATGTCAGCCTCTAGCGTGCTTGCAGGAGGCAGCGTAGGCAGAGTGGGCAGCGCAGATGATCAAAGTTGTTCTGTTTTTATAGACCAGTTCCTGGGTGACAGCCAAATGGGAATGACCCTCTGTGTGCTTGTTAGGTTTAGGAGGATGTAAAATGCCCAGCAAGGGACTGGAAATTCCTTTGGCCCACTGCAGGCCCCTCTCCCAGCCAAATGACTCCTTATGTCTGAGGCTGGAATGCCAGAGAAGGCTTTGTGCATGTAGCACAGCTAGACTTGATTTCAAAATAATTTAGGGGAGGTATTGCTAAGTTATCTGCCCCCAGACCAGCTCCCCCTCTGTCACTCCTCAAAGTTCTGTGTGTGTGTAGCAGAGGGGAACGCAGGACAGGCTCTGAGTGGTTAGTGCACAGGGATACGGGAGAGGTGCGTGTAGGGCATGGGTACACGGGGAAGCGTCTGTGTGTACTGGGCAAAGGGACACGGGGCAAGGTGTGTTTGTAAGTCACAGGGACACGAGGCAGGGTGTGTGTGTCATGTCTGGCCGTGCTGACTTGGGAGAGGTGAAGGCACTTGAGCAGGGGCCGTTGAGGCAGGCGTGCAGCATCGGGAGGTAATGGGGCTGTGCTACACAGCGTGGTTGAGGACCCGGCAGTTCTCACCTTTCAGATTTAAATTTTTCAGCTCAAGAAAGAGCTACCGACTAGTCCATCCAAGACAAAAACCCTAAAAGGAAAGGAACCCTGCAGGGAAGCACCCCCTGACCAACCTGGCATGGCTCTGGACACGGCCAGTTTGCCGGCCAGTGGAAGCCACCTGGTGCAAGGCAAGCGATTGCTCTCTGTTCCTCCCAAGGTGAGTGCCCCCAAGTTGTGGGTGGCTGGGAACTGGAGTCCTTGGGAATAGGGGGCGGTTTCTGTGCAAGCGGCGTATCTTGGTTCAAACTCAGGAGAGTTGGGGTCGGGTCCCCCAGAGGCAGCTCAGCAAATGCCTGCAGAGAGGCCAGGCCTACCCTCCACCACCTGGGGGCTGTGTGGGTCGAGGTGGCGGCCTCTCTGAGTGTCACTTTGCTAGGACGGGATGTCCTCTTCTCTCACGAGCCCCTGTATGAAGGACACAGGGGCTTGGTGCTTTGGAACCCACAGCTCTTAAGGCCTACAGGCATCCACATCTTTACCCTTTATTTCCTGGTCCTGGTGGTCCAGCCAAGCTCTGTCTGTGTAAGACTACTGTTGGCAACCCCAAGGCTGGGTCTGTAGCAGCTCACTGGGGGACACTGGATTGGGCCCACATCTGTGTTGCACCCAGCTCCCCATGCATCTCACGCCAGGCACTTGGCGTTCTACTTGCCTTTCTTCCTTAGATTCAAGATGTTATGGACAAAAATTATTTTAAAATCTGACTTTCGCAGAAATCGGTAGTGGGTAGCTAGTGAACTCTGCCAATTCTGTTTCACATGTAGCACACAGGGACTCGGGGCAGGATGTGTACATGCGTAGCTGATTCTGTTTTGCTCTTGGCTGGTTTGCTGATTCCATCTTGGAATGTTCCATCTCAGTCAGGGCTGAGGAAGAGCCTGTTGAAACCACCGGGCTGCAATCTGGCCAGGAAGTCCTCTTCGTCAGGCTCTGTTTCCAGTGAGATGTCCGGTGCGTGTGTGTCTCCAGCGGTAGGCAAAGGTAAGCAGCTGGCACCTCGTGTTAGACCCACGCCAGCCAGGAGACCAGGACCCTGTCCCTTCCTCGAGGTTGCACAGCGGGACATCTTGCTGGCCTGCTCTGTGCTGCTGATGCTGAATGCAGGCAGGGAGGATGCTGGCTGCCCCTGCCTTGGAGTGTTTCCCTCCAGGGAGGAGAGGCTTGTTGGGGCACAGGCAGTGGGGAAGTGCAAGTGCACCCAGTGCCTCAGAACACAGGGTGCGTGGCGTGGCCCCAAATTGCCATTCTCAGACAAGGGTTCAAACAGGAGCAGTGTCATTGGAATCTCCCAAACCTGTTCCAGTTTAGGCTGGGTTTTCGCTTACTGAGCCAAGGCTGCCATCTAGTGGGAAGGAGAAGAAGCCCTCCTGGGCTGTGGGAAAGGCTTCCCCTTCAAGTGGTGCCTGCTGCATGGGCTGCATGGGGCGGCGTGATGAGGGTTTTGTTTTCAGTGTGAAGAGTGTGAACTCTCCAGCTGGGCCGATGTGATTTGGCGTCCTGACTCTGCCAGTGCTTCAAAGGAGTTTGGGTCCTCATCTCCACCACTGAGACGCAGTACCCACCCTGTCGTGCGCTGTGAGCATGAGGGGCCTGCCCCTCTGGGGCACGCACGGGTGCTCTCCTGAGACCATGGAAGGGATAGGAGTGTTTGGGGTGCTAATTCAGCACGTCAGCCCCATGTGTTTGCTGTTTGTGTTGCAGTGGGAATTGGATGAGGTATCTGATGTGTGTGTCATTCTCTCTTTTAAGATTTATTTATTTATTTGAGTTACAGAGGGAGAGGAAGAGAGAGATCTTCCATCTGCTGGTTCACTCCCCAGATGGATGCAATGGCCAAGCCAAAACCAGGATCTTCTTCCAGGTCTCCCACATGGATGGCAGCCCACTTGGGCCATCTTCTGCTGCCTTCCCAGGCCGTTAGCAGGGAGCTGGAGTGAAAGTGGAGCAGCCAAGGCACAAACAGCACCCATATGGGATGTTGGCGTCACAGGCAGTGGCTTTACCTGCTTTGCCACAGTGCCAGCCCCATCTTTCTCTTTTGTACAAAACAGGATCTCTAGGCTCAGATAAGATCATGTGTGGGGAGAAACTTGTAAAACTGTTGGGCTTTGCAAGCTAGAGCATTGATTATCTTCTTGGAGTTTTTCTTTAAAAATCCTGTTATCAGATTGGTGCACTGGGTGTATTGGTAGCCAAGTAGTTATCACCCTCGTTTATCTGCTGTTCTCTTTCAAATAGCACATATGATTAGTGGGATGCATCTCCACTCCCCACCTTCCTGACTGGGTAAGTGGTACCTGTGACTAGACTTGAGGTGTAGCCAGTGGATCTAGGCGAGTTGAAAACACCTGTGCTGCCATATACCTTGGCAGTCAGGCCGAGAAGCAGAACCTTAGACTCCTCCCAGGGAATGCCTCAGGCAGCCTGGCTGTCTGAGGGACACAGGGACTGTTGTTCATGTACTACACGTTGAGTCGGGTAGCTAAATGTGCGCATATCCCATGTGTTTGTTCAGTAGCTTTGTAGGTGAAGAGTAACGTAAGCTTGAGTGGTGACCAGACGGTGTGTGTCTCCTTTTCCAGCTAAACGAAGGGAATTTACAAGCGTTCCTGCCCACAGCTCCTTGCCTCTGTCAAACACTGGCAAGTTGGGCAGAACAGGCCCCAAGGCACCGCACCAGTCTCTGCCAGCAGCAGGTACCGACATTGCTGAGTGCACCACGGAGCAACCCACAGTGCCCACCACAGCTGCTGCCACCCAGCCCCAGACCCCAGGAGGTAGAGACCCGAGGCTGGACTCTAATTCTATTCTGTCGGAATCATCTCAACTGAATAAAACTGGAAGTATAAGAAGGCGAGATTCCCATCTAAATTCTGCAACAAAGGTTATGCCTACTCCTACAAATCCATTTAAAATTCCTAAGTCTTCTATTGGTAAGTAATAGAGAAATTTTAATGCATTTTTTAAATATTGAAATTTCATTTAAAGCTTTGTGGACCGCAACATGGGTGGGTTGTGTCTTGGCCTTCTGTGTTCTCCCATTGTGCTGGACAAGAAGTGTCGGGGTTCAGTCCTCAAGTGACATGTGCCTACTCTGTGGCTGCAGGAAGGGTTTTATTTCATCATCATTTCCAGTGAATTCTTTATTGTATACTTTTAAAAAAATGTTTACTTATTTTCAACTACTTGAAAGGCAGAGAGAGAGATCTTCCATCCACTGGTTTACTCCCCAGATTTCTATAACAGCCAGGAGCCAGAACTCCATCCGGGTCTCTCACATGGGTGGCAGGAACCCAATCATTTGGGCTGTCGTCCCCTGCTTCCAAGGCACATTAGCAGGAAGTTGGATTGGAAGCGGAGTAGCTGAGACTTGAACCAGCACTCCAGTATGGGATGCAGGCATCCCAAGTTGTTTAACTTGCTGCACCACAACCCAGCTCCTGTTATTATTTGGATGGAGATTTTCTTTGTGTTTATCCTGCTTGGGGTTTCTTGACCTCTTTTGATCTTCAGGTTGATATAGGAGGGGTCCAGAAGTGCAGCGGTTTTGGGGCAGAGGGGACAGCTGCAGGGCAGTGGGCTGGACTCCTTGAAGCACCTACTGAGGAGGGGGCCCTGTGTAGCTGAGGTCAGGGGGCTCCACAGGGTGTGTTTGACTTTGTAAGATGTTGCACTGGGGGCCTGGCCCATGGTGCTTATGGCTGACTTTCGTGCTATTTGGGATGTGCTCAATTGTGAACTGGTTCACGTGGCGCTGTGCTGTAGAGGGCATGGTGGGGACACTGGACGTCTGGAGCCCACTGCAGGTCTTGGCTCAGTGACTGGTGAGCCCGTGCCCTCTGAGCCTGCCTCTCTGCACCTTGTGAGTGTCACATGGGGCCATGCACCCTGAGGTGCTTTGGCAGCCATGAAACAGCACGTGCGCAGTGTAGTGTACTCCTGTCCTGGCAGTGTCACAGAAGGAAGATTAAGGTCTTTGTGGACACTCGGGCTCGCCTGGGAATCCAGCCACATTACAGTGTTGTTTCTGACGTTGGGCGCCCGGGAGTGTGGGAACTGAGTGACAGACAGGCTCCGCTGGAAGGGACTCTCCATGGGAGTTGTGTTGCTTCCTGTCGACTCTTCCCTGTGTCCATCACTGAGAGGCCAGCCTTGCCGTGTCTGGACTCCCTGTGTAGGGCATGCGTGCTGACACTCCTGCTGCTGGCAGGTTCTCCCCACGTGACCTCCTGCCCGGGGTCTGTACTCTGTGGTGCCATCTGCCCTGCAGGTTGGGCACGGGGAGCCATTTCAAGGAGAATTACCCACTTGGTGAGTCCCCAGACAGTGGAGTGCCCCATGACCCACTTGTGGCTGACACACTCGCTTCCTCTCTCGGTCTTAGGTGGTTCCCCGGATGGTACAACACCAAAGTTCTCTCGGACGCAAAGGCCGCAGTCCTGTGTGTCGGCTGGAAGGTAACTGCCGTTGGTCTGCTTCCTTCTCATGTTACTGTGATAACTCCTAAGGTGCCTGCTGACTCCTGAAAGGGCCTCCTTGGGTCTGCTCACTGCTCCCTGGCCTGTGGCCTGACCTTAGCAGTAGCCTTTGGGTGCGGACTGAGCTCCCACTGTAGACCTCAGCCACCCTGAGTCGTCTGCATGGTGTATCGCAGCTCCTTCGGCACTGTTAAAGCTGCCTGTGCCGGGCCCCTCCTGGCCACCTCATTCAGCTGGACTTGTGTGGAGCCCGGGGACTGGATCTTGTAAATGCTTCCAGAAGAACCTACCCTGTGCCTCAGGCGAAGATTCCTGGCATGGGCAGCTTTGCAGACTTAGGTGTGAACCCACATCTCCTGGTCTGTGGTCAGTGCAAGTTACTGAGCATTTCTGACATTGTTTCAGTGGGTGATCCCAAGCAGAGTCAGACAGATAGTACAGGTCGTAAGAAGATGCACACATGGCCGACCCTTCCCCTGACTGTCCCTGCTAAAGACGGAGTGGCACAGGAAACCTCACACCCACAGTCTTAGCCTTAAAGTATCCTGTGTGGAGCTGGGGGTGGAGGCGAAGGAAGGACACTCATGCCCGCTGGAGTCACATGGCCGGGGCGGGACTCTGCTGCGGACTATGCAGGGATGGGATTGGCAGGATAATCACTGGTCTAAGACGCCAGAGAGTTGAACCTCTGGTTCCGCCGTGCACTGCGTGAGCCGTCTGCAAATCTTCCGGGTTTTAATTTCCTCTGCTGGGGTGCACTTCATGGGGTGAGGCCAGATGAGTGCTTTATAGCAGCAGCCACACTGCAGCTGAAGGCATGAACCCAAGCTAGACAGCCCCTTATGCCTCACGTGCCCGCACCTCACTTTCTCGCCTGTGGAAAGGGAAGTTAGCTCCTGCCTCCCAGGCCTACTTTGAGGATTATCCAACATGCTCCACAGTCTGAAACTTTGTGAGTGCCGATGTGATACCAAACCAGAACATTGCACAGCTGACCTCACAGGACAGGTCACGGTCAAAGTGCAGGCAAACTAAAAATAGTATAGAAAATGACTTTCAGGCTGTGGGTAAGGTATGCATGAAACTTAAATGAACTCCATGTTTATACATGGGTCCCATTTGTATGTGCAGATATTCCCTAGCCCCCAAAACTCTGGAAACTGGAGCATTTCTAGTCCCAAAGAGTTGATAAAGGCTCCTCAACCTGTGCTTTTATTTGTTGTCACTGGGGTTTGTGTGGCGCTGCCAGCACTCACGGTGAGGAAGGGGACAGTGATCCAGATCAGCCGCAGCAAAGGCGGGGGTGGGGTGGAGGGTAACTGCCCCTGCTGTCTGTCAGTTACGTGAGTTACTGTCTGTTCAGACTCGTGGGAAGAATGGAAAACTTGCCCTTCTCGAGTGACAGACTCGTCACCTGTACGTCACCCGCGGGCTCCATGCTGAGAGTACATCCTCGACTCGTCTAAGGCAGGGTTTCAGTCCTGAGCTTCCGTAACAAAAACACCACGTCCCGGCTAAAGCAGCAGACATTTATCTCTCACAGCTGTGGCGGCTGAGCGGCAGCCTCGGTGGCTGGTCAGGGCTTCCTGTGGCATACGTGGTGCCTCCTCGTGTCTGCGTGGTGGAAGGGTCAGAATCCCTCCGACATCTTTTGTTGGGCACTGAGTCTATGGTGAGGGCCCTGCCCCTATGACCTAATCACCCAAAGGCTGTCTGCTAACATCATCACCTCAGGGGGTGGGGCTTCAGCATAGGAATGTGGGGGACACAAACATCCAGTCTCCAGCAAATAACAGTCAGCTGGGTGCCGGCTCTTAGTTATCAGCGACAGCCAAACGCAGCGGCAGGCAGGACCTGTTGGTCACGAGGGCTGAGTGCTGCTGAGGACTGCGAGTCACTGGGCAGCCAAGCGCCCAGCTCCTGACTCCACCCCTCTGCTCTGCTCACATCTGCTGCCAGGACCTGAAGCCACGGCAGAGACCCGCTTGTCCACTCGATTGCCGGCCTGCTCTGTGGGCTCTGCGCTTTCTTCTGGGAATATTTAGGACACCATCTAAAGATGGAGCTCCTCCAAGTGTAGTCCCATCCGTACAGTGCATCACAGTTTGATCAGATTGTTTCTAGTTAACCCACGAGGAGAGAGGGGGAGGCATTACCCAGGCCAGGGTTGCGTGGTGAGTTGGCAGACGCTCTGAGCTCTGCCGTCCCTGGAGTCCCCAGTGCAGAGGACAGAGTTCACACTGGCCTTGCTGGCTGGGATCTTGTCTGTTGAAATCACCGACTTCGCACTGCATTCTCATGTCGGCTGTGTGATCAAGTTTCAGTTTTCCAGGTTGTCTGCTCAGGACCCCCATTTTGTCCTTGCCAGGGCTGTTGTCCATAGCACTCCTGTGAGATGCTCCTTGGGGCTGGCTTCACCAGGCCTGGCCAGCAGTTCACGGCCTCCCCTGAGCTCAAGGCGCATGTCATCCTTGCCCACACCCACTGGCCGCCGCCTCTCCAGCCTTGCATGGGATACCCCAAAGACTGTGCCCAGGGCCCTGGTCTCACCCCTGCCTGTGCCTACTCGGCGACTTTCTTCAGAGCCCCGGAAGAAATCTGCAGTGAGGTAAGAGATAAGGGTTGCAGGAAGTTTGCCTCAAATCCATACAACCTAGAGAATCTGTCCGGACTAGAAAGGCTGCACACGGAACGGCTGGGCTGGTGGTCAGACCTGTCCCCGTGGTGGGGACAGGAGCCCGGCCGCTACTCCCTTGAGAGGAAGGGATGGCACTTGCTTGTTCCTCTGTGAGTGCTTCTCACCTGACGTCACTGCGGGGTCAGGCTGTGGTCGGGCAAGTGAGGGAGGAGGCCTTACCCTGCCCACACCATCTGGTGTGCCCTGGCCGTTGTGCTGCTTGGGCCTGTACGCCGTAGCAGCGTGCCTGGGTTTGAGTCGCAGCTCCACTCCTGGTCCGAGCTTTCTCCTGAAGCCCCTGCGAGGCAGCAGGTGATGGCTCAGGTGGTCAGATTCTTGCAGCCATGTCGGAAGCCTGAGCTGAGTTCTGGCTCCTGGCTTCCGCTGGGCCCAACTCCGCCTCCTGTAGGCTTTTGGGGAGTGAAGCAGTGTGTATAGGAGATCTGTCTCTGCCTCTTAAATAGAAAATATAGTTAATTAAAAAATATAAAAGACCCAGTATGTAAATACTTAGCATTATGTGTTTGTAAGAGTTAAATTTTTACGTTGCTATGAAACCTTTAAAACATTGAAAAGAAGATAGTCTGTATGAATTTACGGACTGCTGTTTTCCTTGGTTTCCTCGCATAATGCAGTTTCCAGCCTGCAGGTACTCAAGGGCCCAGGGCGACGGAGAAGTCCAGCCCAGGCACTCACGTCACTGTCTATTGGGAAGGGTCACGGAACGAGTATTTACTGATGGCAGGCATGTCACCGGGGGTGGCAGGCACAGGCTAGTGCATGCCTAGGGTTGCCTCTCCAGGGTGCCAGGCCAGGCCTCCTGAGGAAGCAGCAGGGTGGGGGCCCCGGGGATGGAGGCAGAGTCTCTGCTCCTTCCCAGGAGACACTGGGCAGACGCCTTCTCACTGGGGAGTGCCAAAGATAAAAGGCACACAGGGGTCCCACACTGGTCCGGTGTGAGCTGAAAGGCACCCTGGAAGTCACTCAGCCCCACTTTGAGAGCCAGGAGACCCCACCAGAGGAAGGACGCCCCGCCGCATGGGGCACTGCTCTGGAAACTCAAGTCCCTGCCCAGCCTCTCCTCTCACAGAACTGAACCGACAACGACAACGTGGAGGGCTGACTCTGAGCCTGGAGCGAGGTCGCCAGAGGGAAGGTTATCTCCACATCCATCTGCTGTGCCTCAAGCGCTTAACTTTTCTCCAGAAAAAAGCGATTTTACTCTTCCAAAAAGCACCAGCACTGAAGCAACTCTGGATGAAGCAAAGTCAAGTGCAGATGCGCGCCCTGGAGAGGTAGGCACGGTAGCTGTGTTATCTGAGGTGCATGGCCGGTGGGGGGGAGGCCCCTGCAGCACTTCAGCCTGTGACCTGGGCCTGCAGCGCCAGCTGACCCGAGGCGGGCAGTTGGGAAAATGCAACCCTTTCCCCTGTATTCCTCCCAGGCAAGGATCAAAGGGCAGGAGTGGGGAGCTGTGTTGACTGCAGTGGGATGGGCCAGACAGGCAGGTGGGCAGTGCCTGGAGGGGAGACAGCTTCCTCCTGCCCAGGGCCCGCTGAGCCCCTCCCCTGGCTGCCCCCTCCAGGCCCTTCTCGTGGACATCAGGCTGGACCAGCTCACCATCACCATGGAAGCGGAAAGCAGAGCCCTCTGTGACCGCCCTCTCATCGACTTCTGCAGCACCCCAGAAGGCAGCGTGGCTCTGGGGTCTGAGAGCCGACCTCTGATCGACCTCATGACAAACACCCCAGACCTGAGTGGAGGTGTTCCGTCTAAACCTTCACAGGTAGTGGGGCAGGTAAGGAGTGGCTGGAGATGAGTGTTCACTTCAGCTCTGCCTGTGCTCTCCCTGCCTATGCTCTCCCTGGCTTCTGTTCCTCTGTCAGAGAAACCTGGGGTGGGAAACTCGCTGTGTTCAAACAGGCACCAAGACAGTGCAGGGTCCAAGCAGTGTGTTAACGCCAGCGGGCTCAGCTGGAACCCCTTCCTAGAACTTCCTAGGACTGAGCAACAGTCCACAGCTTACAGACTTACAGGTTCATCAGCAGCATCCCTGAGCCGTTAGAGCATTGGTGGGTTTAAATTGCAGCCTACATGACTTAGGACCACACTCCCAATGATCGGTGGGTCCCGCATGTTTGTAAAAGAGATACCTGGGCAGATTTATTAGGACAGAATTATGACTGGAGTTTACAGAACCAGAACTTAGGACGTCTTCCCTCCCTAGACAAGATCACAGTGGGCAGCTGCATTTCTTTCTTTGTCCCTGGTTGTGGCAGTATCTCTACACCCCATCCCGGGCACATCTGAGTAGGGCCATGGAAGGTCCTCGGGGCGGATGTCTCAGAATCCACCTCTAGGCCTCCTGCTGGGACCCTGTGAGCCCTGAGGTGGGTCCTCTCCCCACCGCAGCCCCCGCTGCCTCTGGCGTGAGGGAGCTGAGGTGTTGCAGGGCTGAGCCGTCAGTGTGACTGCTTCCCCTCCACTCTTCGGGCAGTCACTGAGGCTTCTCCGCACACCTCGCCGACCCGCTTCCCTGAGCACTTTGCCGGCTGAGCCGCGGCCCCGCCTCACCTGTTGCCCCGCTCTCTTCCAGCTCATTGACCTGAGCTCCCCTCTCATCCAGCTGAGCCCTGCTGCCGACAAGGAAAATGTGGATTCGCCACTTCTCAAGTTCTGACTGAAGACTCCTTGGCCTTTCGCTCTCTGCTAAAAGGACAGTTTGTCTTCAAGTGATTTTCAATCTTTGCAAACAAAATTTTAGGAGAAACTGTGTTTGGGGGAAAAAAAAAAAGCCCCTGCTCCAGTGCAGGGTCAACTCAGGGGTGGGGGCTAGTGCTGACTGCCAGGGTCTCCACTCCCCGCAGCACCCTCACCCCTACTTGGCCCCGGGCTGGAATGCAAAGCTGGAGTTGCTCTGAATTAGGAATTTTGTTTTGAATCTTTTGTATGTAAAAAGCAAGTGGCTATTTTTAAAGTTTGTATGAAAAGTTGAATCTTCAGATTTAAATTAAATTATAAAATAAATGCAAGCGTACTAAAGCATATCTTAGTTTTAGGCCCATCTTGATGTTTAAATGTGTAGCTATTTTGTCACTGCAATCAGTATGCAAGACTATCATTATCCAGAATTTTTTATAAAAGTGATTTTCAAGTGAGTGTGCATAAAAGTTTGTAACTGCAGAGCCGAGGCCCATCGCCAGATGCACTGGTCCCAAGTCCCAGGCAGCCGTAGGCACATGCGTTGTTCATCCACACCCAGGTGGTTCTGATGCCGTGGTCTCTGGACCCCACCTTGGGGAAAGAGGAGCATGGGCGATGAGGGCCCGAATGAGTGCTTGTGTCAGTCTGGGCTCGTGGCAGGGGCGTCACTGGGGCAGCGCCTGGCTACTTGGGCAGCCTGTTCCCTGTCTGAGCCCCTAATTCGTGCACACACCTCCTTATTGCGTGAGGACTTGGTCAGTGTGCACAGTGGCTTCACAGCGGACAGGAGAGTGACTGGCGAGGCTCCGTTTCAGACCCACTCCAGTGTTCCTGTGACATGCCAGATGCTCCCTCTGTCCAGAGTAGACTGTGTGTTGGCCTTTTGACTGTCTGGTTAGTGTGCTGCACAAACAGCCTTAGGACAGGCCGTGGTGAGCTGGAGTAGAGACCTGCAGGAGGGCCAGCAGCTGCTCGCCTCCAGGGGGAGGTACAGAATTCTAGAATCCCAAGGATCAGCCATGCAAGGAGCCTCTGGGCTGGCCCCTCGCTTGAGGGGAAAAGCAGAATCTGGAACTACTCCATTCAGTGAACACTCCCTGAGCTACTACTACAGGTGAGGCGGTCTCTTCCTGGGGAGCCTGGGGTACGAAGCCCATGCGTCCCCACCCTCTTCGGCTTAACACCTGGTGGGGCGAGGGCCACTAAATAAACTCTTCACTGTCTCCACCCTTCCCGTCCCCCTAGCCAGGCTCTCACTGGGACCAAGATGTGCCTGGACAGGTAAGAAGTGACCTGAATTTAATCCTCTCCAGGCACAGGAGAGGGCCCATAGGATCCCACCCTGGGGACAAGCAGGCCCTCTCCTGTCTGCTGTGGCCTGGACATACGGTGTCAGCCTGATGATGCTTCTTCCCCCATACTTCCTCCCCTGGCTCCAGGGCCCTAAATTCACCTCTCCCCGGAGAGATCATAGAAGAACTCAGGGAGGGAGGGGCTGGAACTTTATGCAAGGGCGTGAAGCACCTTGGCTGCCACTAGGGGGACCCCTTCTGGGCTGGAAGTCCAGCTCCCTGTAATTGTCGCATCTCATCACACTTGTAGGCAGTGTCCTCTCTTCAACATCACTGTTGGCAGGCAGCATTGGGATTGGGATGCCCCTGTCCTGGCCATGGCTGGTCCAGCTGGGGACGTGGATCACGCAAAGTGGGTTCTTGCAGCTAGAGTCGTTAAAATACCATGTGTTTCGCTGACAACAGCAGGATATGTGTTGTAAACGGGTCAGCTGCAGCGCAGGGAACGCCAAGGCCCTTCTGCAGGGCAGGACAACCAGAACGTAACCTGCCCCTTACCAGCCTGCCACCCCCAGGGACGGGCACACCCCTCCAGCCAGCAGGACCACAGCTTCACCCCTAAATCTGCACTGACAGGAAGCCAGGAATCAAACGATTCACAGTGACCAGGGCGTCTTAACTGCTAGGCCACGTGCCCACTGCGCGTATAGAATAAGCCACTGTAGGTCACAGTGGAAAAGGTTCAAAGTCCCTTACTGCTGCTCCTCCGCACGCGGAGGAGCCGCACCGGACCGGACGCTTGTTGTTCCCCTTTTTTACAAGTCTTTTCTATAGTAAAGTAAGAATAAGTAAACAGCGAACTCCCAAAGCAAGAATGAGTAGAGAGAAATGAGAAAGAACGAAGCAACGAACTTCCCCGCGCACTCTCCAACGCACTCTCCAACCAACCCACACCACCATGCCGTCTCTCTCCTCCTATATAGTCCTCTCCACCAATCCGTGCTCTGCTACCCACACGCTGAGCACGCTGCTCTCCTCCAATCAGGAGCAGGTCCTGCTGTTTATTGGTTGAACTGGAGGCAGCTGTGTAGAAGCTGTTTCCTCCTCTCCCAGCGCCATATTGTGGGAGAGCAGATGCATAGAATAAGTCTTAATTCGAGTAACAGTCTAATCCGAGTTGCTCCCCACACCTTACTTGAAGAAAGCCTTCATTCTGCAGGAGTGGGCTGCAGCCTCTGATGTCAAACCAAACCCTTCTTCCAGGCATCCATCACCGCCCACTGGGGCCTGCCGGGCCCCGCCGCTGGCATTGCCTGCTGGGGTCCTAGTGTCCAGGCTCCCCCCAGGAACAGCGGCTGCTCCAGGGGCTCCAAGCACCCCACGTTCTTTCTCAGCCCTGAGGGCGCTGGGACCCAGCGGGTTTACAGGCAGGCTTGAACCCAGGCCCTGAGCCAAATTCCTATGGCCTCCTGTGGCTCCATGCCCTGGTCCCGTGGCTGCCCACATGCCCGGGTGGGCATCCCCTCCTGCTCAGTGCTGGCCCACGGGACGGCTACGACTTCCCCGGGTGTCACCCCCGTCCCCATCTCAGCGTGGTCTGGGGCCCCCTTGGGAGCTCCCCTGCTGCGCAGACCCCCACGTCGAGGCTGGCCCAGCACCTAGCCCACTGCTGGCCACACACTTCACAGCTTTCTGTCACTTCCAGCCAGCGTTCCCCCCCACACCTGGCGTCCACGGCGTGGGCCAGAAACCCTTCCACAAGACGGAACTGTCATCCCTCACCCCACAGGCTCATACCTCTGCGAGAGGCTCCCGAGGGACCCGGTGTCTCCCTTCCACCCTCTATGCCACGCAACTTAGGCGGTGCCTCTGTGAGCATAACACGGAGTCGCGGTCCCCCTGCGGCTCCCCTGTGGGCATCAGAGCCCGAAGGCCAAGGTGGTCAGCAGGTGCCCCGTGAGATAGCCAGAGCTGGACGTGCATGGAGTGTCTGGCTGGGAGGGAACCCGGGCTGGGATGGTGTCGTGAGCGCCACTTGTCACACAGCTCGACAGGGCTAATGTGACGTGTCAGAAGAAACAGAATTGTGACAGCTTCCTCATAATTTATTGTTCAATACCACTCAGTATATAATCAGTGCACACATCTAAAGGTCAATACCACTCAGTATAGCATTAGTCCACAGGTCACAACACACATCTAAGAGTCACAGTCTCACACAGTAGCCAACAATAGATAGATATGAAGCCTAAAAAGTGTAAGTAATCGGCTGGCGCCGCGGCTCACTAGGCTAATCCTCCGCCTTGCGGCGCCGGCACACCGGGTTCTAGTCCTGGTCGGGGCGCCGGATTCTGTCCCGGTGGCCCCTCTTCCAGGCCAGCTCTCTGCTGTGGCCCGGGAGTGCAGTGGAGGATGGCCCAAGTGCTTGGGCCCTGCACCCCATGGGAGACCAGGAAAAGCACCTGGCTCCTGGCTTTGGATCAGCGCACTGCACCGGCCGCGGTAGCCATTGGAGGGTGAACCAACGGAAGGAAGACCTTTCTCTCTCTCTCACTGTCCACTCTGAGTGGACAGCAATCGAAACACGTGGCTCAAGTCATTTGATAAATGCTGCGTTTTCACTCCTTCGTGACAGAAGGGAACCTCAAGAACCAGCATTTAGCAAATGACTTGAGCCACGTGTGTTTCGATTGATTACGCATCGGAGCCTCGCTGCTCCCCGCTACCACTCGGGGACTAGTCTGGGTCGTGGACTGGCCGCGGGGGCAGATGTGGAGCCGTCCTCCAAGCTGCAGGCGGAGACGCAGAAATTGGGCGAGGCTTCGATGTCGTCCAGCGGAGCCTCGGCCAGACGCGGCGGATCCGCCCGGCCACTGCTTCCCGGGAGGACGGAGCGCCCGTGGGGGCTCGCCTGTCGCCCCCGCCCTGGGGCAGGGAAGTCGCTGTGGCGGCCGTAGGCCCTCCCTTCGTGGGTGCCGCCAGAACGTTCGTTCTTAGGTGGGACCAAGGGTGACGCGGTCCCGCGGGGCCTGCTGGCTGGCTGCTGCTTTATGACGTGCGTTCCCGGGTCCTTATCGTGCTTCTAGGCAGATGTTCTGGGCAGTTCCTGGTACTTAGTATTAGCTTAAGGGACTCCATTTTTGGTTTGCTTTTCTTTTTTTGGGCTAGCAGTGCTCCGTAACTCCTGTGGGATTCCCCACAGAGGGGAACCCCCCTCCCCCGGGAGACGGCGACTGCGATCAAAGCCAGCCCCCTTCGCAGCGTCGCCCAAGTTCTTCAGGGGACCCCGGCGGTCGCAGTCACCACACTTGCTGCACCTGCGAGCGAAGAAGAAACCCAAGCGAAGGCACGTACCCCGGCGCGGAACGCGACGTGCGAGGCCGCGCTTCCCGCCGGACCGCAAGCGCGGACGCCGCGTGAGGCGGAACTTCCGGCGCGGGGCGGAAGCGGCGGCAGGGGCTAAGTGACTGAGGCGGGGAGCGCGCGACGGCGGGCGAATGTTGGCGGCGCGGCACGTTGTATGCGCCTTGTCAGGCGGAGTGGACAGCGCGGTGGCCGCTCTGCTGCTGAGGCGGAGAGGTGAGGTGGCCCCCACGCCCGCCTCCCTCGCTGGGCCCCGCGGCGCCGACTTGCCGTGAGCGGTTCGCAGCCGCGAGCTGGTCAGTGCTTTGCGGCGCAGGTGCGGGGTTTCTCGCTGGGCGTCCACGCTCGAACCCGTGGGGCCCGGGGCAGCGGTGAGGGGGAAGGGAGGCCAGAGGCCGCGCGGGTGCTCCCCGTTCGCGGGACGGCAGCCTGTCCGCCCGAGGCGCGTCCGTGCCTCCCGCCGCGCCGGGTCTCGGCCTGCGGGACTCGTGTCTCGGAGAAGGGAGGCGCGTGGCAGGCTGCTGAGCCCGGGCGAGGGAAGCGCCCTTCGCCGTGCAGCGGGGACGACCCCAGCCCGCGGAGTGCGTGCAGGAGGGATTACCCCGTGCCCAGCGCAGACACGGCGTCCGTGCTAGAAACGGTGCTGGCTTCTCCCGCCGGCCGCGGCAGCGAGGCCTCTGAGGGTCGGCGTGGCGGCTACCGGTGAGGCCACCCACGCGACGCTGGTTTGAGTCCTGGCTGCGCCGCGTCCGGGAAAGCAGTGTAGGATGGCCCAGGTCCTCGGGTCCCCGCCACCCACGTGGGAGACCCTGATGGCGTTCCAGCCCCTGGCTCCAGCCTGTGGGCAGTGCAGCCATCCGGGGGGTGGCCCTGTGGGTGGAAGGTCTGAGTGCCCAGCCGCTTCAGCCAGTACCTGCTGCTGCCCGGAGTGCGCCCCGCGGGAAGCTGCAACTGGGAGCCGAGCCGGCGGGAACCCGCGCGGTGATGTGGATGGGGGCCTCCCAGTGGTGCCGCGTGCCTGCCCGAGAGTGGGCTTTTGAAGCTCTGTGTGTGGTGTTCCTGGTTCTAGAAGCTTCTGCGTCGTGCTGGGAGAATGGGCTTGAGTTAGACACAGCCCTGCCCCTGGACACCTCCCTGCCCAGCGAGCTGCGGGCGACTGAAACTTCGGCACCTGCAAGCAGGCGGGAGAGCCCATGAGCTGCTGGACGGGCGGGCTTGTGAGCCTGGCTGCTTAGTTTGGGCAGATCTGTCGCCAGATCTGTCTCGGGCACTGCGTTGTCGCGACCAGGCAGCGCCTGTCTTCGTGCAGCTTCCCCCGGGGAAGCCGCTTCTCACGCGAGGCCTTTCCGGCTGCTCGGTTTCTTTGTCAGAAAGGGGGGAGGCGGGCGGGACGGCCTTGTCAGCCCGCAGGGAAGCGGCTGCAGTGTCAGGCCTCCTTTCCCTGAGGACTTAGTCTTGGGCGATAGCTTCAGAACGAGCCTGCTTTTCTGACCACTGGATGGCAGAGTGCTCGGCGAAGCGTCGCCGCGTTTCGGCCGCTGTGCCCTTTGTTCGGCACACGTTTGCTGAGCCGAGGCGCAGGTGGGGACGCGGGACAGAACGTGCCGCCTCGCCCCCCCGAGCTCTCAGGCAGGCTGCTCAGGCCGGTAACGCGTGTGATGTCGGAGGCCTTGGGGGGACGTGGCGGGAACATGGGGGAAGGGCGTCTGCGGTGGCTTGCTCTGACAACCGGGGGCACGGGGCCACTGACTGGGCTGCCACGAGCCGGGCGCAGAGGCCTGGGGGCGCGGCCCGGGTGTCGTGGACGGCTCAGAGCGCAGAGGCCGCTGTCCTCCACCTGGGGCTGAGCGGCTGCTCTCCTTCGCTCCCCTCCCTCCCCTGCAGGGTACCAAGTGACAGGGGTGTTCATGAAGAACTGGGACCAGCTGGACGAGCATGGCGTGTGCACCGCTGACAGAGACTGTGAGGACGCCTACAGGGTCTGCCAGATCCTGGACATCCCCTTCCACCAGGTCTCCTACGTGAAGGAGTACTGGAACGACGTGTTCAGGTGGGCATGGGTCACAGAGCACCGGCAGATGGGCGGATGGCCGCTGTCGGCAGCCTGGCACCCCTCCCCGGCCCCTCGGGGACCTCTGCCCAAGGCGCCCCTGGCTGTCTCACTCACTCCTGCTACCTGCCGGTAGTCTGGGATGCATGCTGGAACCTTGGGGTGTCTCTGCGAGTTAGGCCGGGGTCAGTGATGGCGGGGACGCTGGGAGGGAGCTCTGGTAAGACTGCCCCGTGCCTTTTGAGATGAGACACGGCTGTGGGGGACAGAGTGGCCCTGAGCCACGGCAGCCTGTGGGGGCAGGGTGGCCCCTGAGCCACGGCAGCCTGTGGGGGGCAGGGTGGCCCCTGAGCCACGGCAGCCTGTGGGGGACAGGGTGGCCCCTGAGCCACGGCAGCCTGTGGGGGCAGGGTAGCCCCGAGCCACGGCAGCCTGTGGGGGAGGGTGGCCCCTGAGCCACGGCAGCCTGTGGGGGCAGGGTGGCCCCTGAGCCACGGCAGCCTGTGGGGGCAGGGTGGCCCCTGAGCCACGGCAGCCTGTGGGGGACAGGGTGGCCCTGAGCCACGGCAGCCTGTGGGGGACAGGGTGGCCCCTGAGCCACGGCAGCCTGTGGGGGCAGGGTGGCCCCTGAGCCACGGCAGCAGGAAGGAAGCCTTGAGTCTGTCTGGGGCTGCGCGTGTTTGCAGAGCGAGTCAGCAGGGGTGGCAGCGGAACGGTTGGGGTTAAAACGCTGGAGGTGGCTCGGTACCGGAGCTTGCTAGGGTCTGGCTGACGAGAAATCGCATGTGAAAGCAGGAGCTTGGCTGCAGTGTTCCACTCACAGCACTGAGACGCGCCTGGCTTTGTTCCAGTGATTTCTTGAACGAGTATGAGAAAGGAAGGACTCCCAATCCAGACATAGTGTGCAACAGGCACATCAAGTTCGGCTGCTTCCTTCGTTATGCTGTGGATAACCTGGGTAAGTCAGTCGGAGTGTGTCTTCGCTTTTCGGCAACCATAGGCGTTGAGAGCCAGATCCGTGTGCAGAGCCGCAGCTCCGAGAAGGAAAGGAGTGCCAGAAGCTCCTGCCACGCGGCAGCGGCAGCACTGGGCTCGGCGTGATTGTGCCCTTTCCGTTTCTCAAAACCATAGTCGAGAGCCTGCGTAAGCTGTCAGCCCTACGGTGAGACCTGTGTCTCTGCACGCCCCGGACCAGCACACCGTGCGTGGACGGGCCTCCGAGGTTGAGGAGTGTGTGGCCCAGGGTCCCTTCTGCTGTGTGACACCGGGGAGCCAGGCTCAGGGCTCACAGGGCTCCGGCGGGGCCACCAGCCGCTGTCGAGGAAGGGATGTCTGCTTTGGAAGGTGCCCAGGTTGGTGTCACTGCGGCTGGTCAGGGAGCTGCTGGCTGGCTGGCTGGCTGGCAGGGACACTGTGGGAGGGATTCCTGCGTGCCAGTTCCCAAATCTTAGCTGCGTGCACAGCACGGACTGCGAACGTCTCAGGGTCTCACACAGAAACCCCTACTGTTCTTCAGGGAGTGAGGTGTGAGGTGGTCCCGCCTCTGCTAGGCAGTGAGTGGGGCGGTCAGGTGTGCCCTGTTCTCGGGCGGTCGCTCGCATCACGCCTCTGTCTGACGTGAGTGCTCCGCTGTCAGATGCTGGGGGACGTCTCCCGCAGTTGAGTGCTGCAGCATTCACTCCGTGGTGACAGTGTGGCGGCCAGCGCGAGCCTGGGCCGTAGATCTTTCACTTCACATCGTGTGTGCCATGGAGCTTGAGTCTGCTGGGTGGTCTTCCACTGTGACGAAAACAGTGCATGTGTATTTAAAGGAAATTAAAAACTACGGCCGTGAAAAGAGGAGGGGCCTGTCGGTACTCTCACTCTTAGAATCAGAGGAGTTGACGTGAGAGTCTGCGTCTTTCGTGCTGTGTGCACTTAGCAACGTCGTGGGCCTTTCCCGTGCCTGCAGGCATTCTGCGTGGGTGCCGCTGACAATGGCAGTGGCAGTGTAGGTCACGTCACAGTCTCTCTGTGAGGAACATTTTGATGTTTTCAAGTTTTCTTTGTAATATAAGAAACTCTGAATTGAACTTTTTGTACTTAAATCTTCGTGTACATATCTATTATAAACTGAATGAGTGGCTGGGTATTAACTTTTTTTTTTTTTTTTAGAGATTTATTTATTTGAAAGTCACAGTTACACCGAGAGAGGAGAGGCAGAGAGAGAGAGAGGTCTTCCATCTGATGGTTCACTCCCCAGTTGGCCACAACAGCAGGAGCTGCACCGATCCAGAGCCAAGAGCCAAGAGCTTCTTCCAGGTCTCCCATACAGGTGCAGGGGCCCAAGGACTTGGTCCATCTTCTGCTGCTTTCCCAGGCCATAGCAGAGAGCTGGATCGGAAGTGGAGCAGCCAGGTCTTGAATTGGTGCCCATATGGGATGCTGGCGCTTCAGGCCAAGGTGTTAACTGGCTGCGCCACAGCACAGGCCCCATGGTTGGGTTTTGTTTTGTTTCATTTTCAATTATCTTTATATACAGATCTACTTAGTATTAAGTAAAGATTTCAGCAATTTGCACCTGCACAAATACACAAAGTATAAAGTACTGTTTGAGTACTAGTTCTGTTAATTTGCATAGTACAACACATTAAGGACAGAGATCCTACATGAGGAGTAAGTGCACGGTGACTCCTGTTGTTGATTTAACAGTTGACACTGTTATTTATGACATCAGTAATCACTCAAGGCTTTTTTCATGAGCTGCCATTGAAGCTTCTTGAGTTCACAAACTCTGACCTTATTTATTTATTTTTTATTTTTTAATTTTTGACAGACAGAGTGGACAGTGAGAGAGAGAGACAGAGAAAGGTCTTCCTTTGCCGTTGGTTCACCCTCCAGTGGCCGCCGTGACTGGCACGCTGTGGCCGGCACACTGCGCCGATCCGAAGGCAGGAGCCAGGTGCTTCTCCTGGTCTCCCATGGGGTGCAGGGCCCAAGCACTTGGGCCATCCTCCACTGTACTCCCGGGCCGCAGCAGAGAGCTGGCCTGGAAGAGGGGCAACCGGGACAGAATCCAGTGCCCCGACTGGGACTAGAACCCGGTGTGCCGGCGCCACAAGGCGGAGGATTAGCCTAGTGAGCTGCAGCGCTGGCCTAAACTCTGACCTTATTTAGACAAGGCCATAATCAAATTGGAACTTCTCTCCTCCCTTCAGAGAAAGGTATCTCCTTCTTTGATGGCCCGTTCTTTCCGCTGGATCTCACTCAGAGATCTTTCATTTAGGTCATTATTTTTGCCACAGTGTCTTGGCTTTCCATGCCTGAGAAACTCTCATGGGCTCTTTAGCCAGATCCGAATGCCTTAAGGGATGATTCAGAGGCCAGAGTGCTGTTTAGGACATCTGCTATTCTATGAGTCTGCCGTGTATCCTGCTTCCCATGTTGGATCGTTCTCTCCTTTTTAATTTTGTCAGCAACTATTAGCAGACACTAGTCTTGTTTATGTGATCCCTTTGCCCATGGGTATTAACTTTTAAAAGGTTCTAAGGATGCAACAAAACTTTGTTACAGGCAGGCATTTGCATAGTGGTTAAGATGCCCATGTTCCCTCTCAGAATGCCTGGGTTCTAGTCCTGGCTCTGCTTCTGATTTCCAGTTTCCTGCTGATGTATCCCCTGGGAGGTAGCAAGTGATGGCTCAAGTGGTTGAGTCCCTGCTGCTGGGAAACCTGGATTGAGTTTCTAGCTCCCGACTTCTACTTGGCCCAGCCCTGGCTTTTGTAAGCATTTGGACAGTGACCCAACAGATAGGAGCACTCTGCCTGTGGTGTCTGTCTCTGCCTCTCAGTAAATGCATTTTATAAAAATTTATTTATTTATTTGAAAGATGGAGTCAGAGAAAGAAGTCTTCCATCCACTGTTTCACTCCCCAGATGGCCACAACAATCAAGCTGGGCTGATCCGAAGTCAGGAACTAGGAACTTCTTCAGGGTCTTCCACACTGCTTTCCCAGGCCACAGAGAGAGCTGGATTGGAAGTGGAGCAGCCAGGAATCAAACTAGCACCCATATGGGATGCCAGCACTGCAGGTGGTGGCTTTACCGTCTACACCACAACACCAGCCCCCAAATAAAGGCATTTTTAAAAAAGCTTCACAGGTAGCCGGCGCCGCGGCTCACTAGGCTAATTCTCCGCCTTGCGGCGCCGGCACACCAGGTGCTAGTCCCAGTCGGGGCACTGGATTCTGTCCCGGTTGCCCCTCTTCCAGGCCAGCTCTCTGCTGTGGCCCGGGAGTGCAGTGGAGGATGGCCCAAGCGCTTGGGCCCTGTACCCCATGGGAGACCAGGAGAAGCACCTGGCTCCTGCCTTTGGATAGGCGCGGTGCACCAGCCACAGCGTGCCAGCTGCGGTAGCCACTGGAGGGTGAACCAACGGCAAAGGAAGACCTTTCTCTCTGTCTCTCTCTCTTACTGTCCACTCTGCCTGTCAAAAAAAAAAAAAAAAAAAAAAAAGCGCTTCACAGGGCCTTTGGGCCCCTGCACCCACATAGGATACCTAGAAGAAGCTCCTGGCTCCTGGCTTTGGATCGGTGCAGCTCCGTCCTTTGCGGCCAATTGGAGAATGAACCTGCGGATGGGACCCTCTCTCGCTCTCTTTTTGCCTCTCCTCCTTTCTGTGTAACTCTGACCTTCAAATAAATAAAGATAAAGCTTTACAGCAAGGTGCCAGAAGGTTGCATACAGAGTTCAAGGCTGCTCATTGAACAGGTGTGACGGGGCCTGTGTGCCCTGGGGTTCTGCTGTCCTTGCAGACGTCAGTGTGAGGCGTGGGGTCTGTTTACTTCTCTCTGCACCAGCGAAGTGAATCTAAAATGTGACCTTTGTGGTTCTGCAAACCTCACAGGTGCAGATGCTGTAGCCACAGGCCACTATGCAAGAACCTCGCTGGAAGATGAAGAAGTTTTTCAACAGAAGTACATAAAGAGGCCCGAAGGGCTTTTCAGAAATCGCTTTGAAGTTAGAAACCGTAAGTCTGAGTGCCGGGGTCAGAGCTCAGTTCTTCGTGAATGAGATAAGGGGCTTCAAGAAGGGCGGCAGGCTGGGTCTGGTGGACTCTTGAGCGGGTGCAGGTACCAAGAGGGCCGGTTCCCTGAGGGCCTGCGATTGGGCTGTAAGAAATGTCCTGAGCCGGTAGCCAGGGCCCAGGCCCGTGGAAAGTTAAAAAGTTGCACCACAGTTTCAGACACTGTACTAGTGATTGAAACAGTCCAAAAATATTTGGGGACACACTTGACAGAAGTAACAGAGGTGCTATAGGGTTTTAGCCAAGGCCTTTGACTTAGCATCACGTTTTCCAGGGCTTGGTATTTGACTAGACTTTGGTGTGACGTGAGCGGAGGGCCTGACACAGATGGTGCAGGAGACTGAGCACGGGGATGGCAGAAGGCAGGCCTCGCCCTTCTGGAGAACCCTCCGTGCAGTGAGCGGGGTGCCTGCTCTGTGCTCATCTGCACGTAGAAAGAGATTCGCGTGGTTGCTGAGTGAGAAGCAGAGTGGACCTGAGAGCCACGTTTCCTTGTGGAGTGTCCACTGTTGTGGCATGGTCGGAGGGCCAGCCTTTCCCAGTCTCGGGGAGGCAGAATGCAGGTTGGGAGCCTGGGAGGGGCCTCCAGGCGTGGGGTGGGGTCTCCATGCCTGTGTTGCACTGTGAGCCCCTTGGCAGCTGAGTGAGGTGCCTGCACTCGTGCACTTCCCAGATGAGGAAGCTGAGGCTCAGGTGGAGCCTTCAACCTGGGCACCTCGGTGGTCCCCACTCCCGCTGCTGCCCCAGGGCCTGCTGAGCTCTTCTCAGCATCTGTGGTCGGCTTTTGAAGACTGGGTGGCGGCAGGTATCGCGCTTCAGCGAGGGGATCTAAACACAGCTCTCTGTGGCAGAGGGTGCTCAGGTAAGCCCTGACTCAGCCCAAACGGGAGCAACCCTCACTTCCTGTCCAGGAGGCCTCCTGCTCCTACCGCAGGTAGCCATGTGGTTATCTCCGAGGCCTCTGACTGCCGAGTTGGCCTCTCTGGGCACGCTGGCCTGGGAGACCCCATCAGGAAGGCGTGTGTTGTAGTGCCCTGCTGCCGGGGCTGCACGCGGGATGCTGAGTTAGAGTAGCGTTTTGGTGTCCAGGTGGAGCACACATACACGGTACCTCCTTGGAAGTCCTGGGCCTTTGTGCCAGGCCATGCCCACCCCGAAGCTGTCCTCAGGGTGTCAGCCTGTGCACAGAGTCTGTGATTAGGTATCTCAGGCACACTGGCACTGTTTTGTTCTTTAGTCGCCTGGGCCTGGGTACTTGAGCACGTAGGCAGGGGCAGCGGAGAGCCGGGGTCGGGGGTCGGCTCTGGAAGCCTGCACTCCTGGGCCGATGTCCTCTCCCGTGGCAGTGGGGTGCCCCTGGCCTGGCCGAGCTCACATGAGGGCCACAGAGGCCAAGGCTGGCAAAGGCGTGGAAGGCAGCCTCCCCACATGTTGCTTCCTGCCATCGTTCCCGTGGGGTGGTCAGCTCGTTTCACAATCAAAGACTTTAATGTGTTAACTAGGAGAAAACGTGAGGAGACACAGTATTCTCAAGTTCTTATGCTCACATACACTGTGTAATGGCGTTTACTTTTTTAAAAAACAACTATTTACCTAAGAGGTAGAAACAGACAGACATAGAGTGAGGCAGACACAGAGCTGTCATCCACTGGCCCACTCTGCAAATGTCCACAGTGGCAGAAGCTGGGGTCTCAATCCAGGGGACCAAGCCGGGTGAGCCGTCACCTGGTGCCTCGCAGAGAGCTGGCACCCGAGGTCCCATGCAGCCCAGGCACTGTGTGTGGGGACAGCTGGGGACGATGTTCCAGGCAGCGCGCGCTGGCAGCTGTCCCTGCATCTCGTTTGACAGTGGACAGATCGGGTCCACCCGAGGTCCTGTGCGGCCCAGGCACCGTGTGCGGGGACAGCTGGGGACGGCGTTCAGGCGGCGCGCGCTGGCGGCGGCGTTCAGGCGGCGCGCGCTGGCGGCTGTCCCTGCAGCGTCTTTTGCTCTCCTCCTGGCAGCGGTGAAGCTCCTGCAGGCAGCTGACAGCTTTAAGGACCAGACCTTCTTTCTCAGCCAGGTTTCCCAGCCTGCCCTGAGGAGAACCATCTTCCCCCTCGGGGGCTTAACCAAACCTTTCGTCAAGAAAATCGCGGCTGAGAATCGGCTTCATCATGTGCTTCAGAAGAAAGAGGTACCGTGAGCCAGCACGGTGGGTTCCTGTGTTTCCGTGCAGCCGGGACTGGTGGGAGGAGCCTGCCCAGGCCGGACTCCCGCCTCCCTCTGCTCAGCCCCTCTGTGGTGGTAGCTGGTGGGGTGCCCAGCGCTCAGCCTGCGAGGGGAGCACAGGAGGGCATGTCCCGTCCATTCACCATAGCCTACACGTCTTGTGCCTTGTGTGGGCCAGCCTGGTGTTTCCCGGTGAGGGGCAGGCTGGAGAGGTGTTGTGGGGAGCCTGGAGCTTGCCTGGGGGGAGGTCTGGGCCCTGGGGGAGGCGTGCCCACAAGGCCCAGTATAGACGAGGTACAGTCAGCAGGAAGGCCCCTGAGGAAATGAAGCTGAGGCTTCAAGGAAGCGTTGGATTTGGCGTTACGGTAGGGAGAGAGGATTCGGGTTGGGGGTGGGCATGTGCCAAGAGAGCCTGGCACGTGGTCGGGCTCGAGGAGGGGGTGAGGGGCTGGGCTGGGCTGAGCCTGCCCGGTGTGGGGCCGTCACGCTGAAGCTGTGGCTGCTGCCTCACCTCTGTCTGGGAGAGGGTGCGCTGGGCCTTTCCTCAGCAGGTCATTGTCCCTCTCCAGGGCCCAGGGTGTCGCTCTGGGACAGGCTGAGGAGCTAGAGGTAGAGGAGCACAGCAGATGATGTAGGCCCAGGGAAGCGCAGCGCGGGGAGGGAGGAGTCTCATTCCTGCCTCATCCTGTGTGGCTGGGAAGGACCAGCTTGAGACGAGAGCCTTGCCCCCACCTCCCCGACACTTCTGCATCTGTCCTGGGCCTGTCTCTGCCCGCCTGCTCACAAACAGGCCAGCAGGGCTGGGGCAGCTTCCCTGCTTTGCCGGGCGGCCCCTGTGACGGTCTGCGCGGGTTCCCTGCTTTGCCGGGCGGCCCCTGTGACGGTCTGCGCGGGTTCCCTGCTTTGCCGGGCGGCCCCTGTGACGGTCTGCGCGGGTTCCCTGCTTTGCCGGGCGGCCCCTGTGACGGTCTGTGCTGCGAGGTTCAGGCCGTGCTGGGTGTGAGTGACATGATGCTTCTGTGGACCTTCAGTCAGGACAGGATGGTCCTTGAGCCCTGGGACGTGTGACTTCCGAGGCGCGGGAGCAGGGAGGCCTGGTGGCCCGGTGCTGGGGGCGCGGACGGGGGACCCTCACCGTGACCCTCACCGTGGCCCTCTCCTTGCAGAGTATGGGCATCTGCTCTGTGGGCAAGAGGAACTTCGAGCATTTCATCCTGCAGGTGAGGGGCTCCGGCGGGGCGGGGCGGGGCGGGCAGGCCGCGGTCGCGCTCGTGCCAGACCCCCTCACCGTCAGCGCCTGTCTTTCAGTATCTGCAGCCTCGGCCTGGTAAATTCATCTCCATAGAAGACAATCAAGTTCTGGGGACACATAAAGGTGAGGCGTGGCCTGTGGCTGCTGTGTCCCCGTGGACCTGCCGTCCCTTCCTCAGCCAGGGAGTCACGGAGGCCTGGCAGCAGGCTGGGGCGCCTGGGGCAGGCCCTCCAAGTAGGGCAGTGTGCACCAGGACCGGTGGGCTCCTTTTCTTAGTGATGTTTCTAAAAAAAATTTTTTTTTAATTTGAGATGTAGAGACCAGCGGTCTGTCCACTGGTTCTCCCCTCAAATGCTCACAGCAGCCGAGGCTGGGCTGGGCCAGAGCTGGGAACTCAGTCTGCTTCTGTCATGTGGGTAGTGGGGACCAGGGCTTGGGCCCCACCTGCTGCCGCCCAGGGTGCATCCCCGCAGGAGCTGGAATTTGTAGCAGAGCTGGGACTCAGCTGTGGGACGCGGGCGTCTCAAGAGGCGACTTCACTGCTGTGCCGCAGGCCTGCCTCCAAGCTGTGGTGTCCCCGTCAGCCCAGGGTCAGGGAGAAGCCCTGCGCTCAGGTGCCCCTGTGCGTGTGTGTTCTGTCCCTCTGGGCAGAATGCTTTTCTGACTGTGTGAAGAAAACCTGAAGCCACGGAAGAGCCCACTGTGCTGGAGTCCCACTGACACCACAGTGTGCGGGGATGATTAGGGACCCTGTGCAGCGGGGTCAGGTGTCCTCGGATGGCAGGCCTGCTGCACCGTGCGTGAGCCTGTGCCAGAGGGCGGACAGGGACAGCTGGGCATGGGTGCTCAGGGTTCCCCGTGAGGATCGTGTGGTCGTCCCTGCGAGGGTGCCGGGGGGGCAGGCCTGGCCTGTGCAGCTGACAGGGAGGACAGGCATGCTCAGCCCCAGGAGTTCGACACCGAATTGCACTGCGGAGCTCCAAGAGCCAGGCTGAGGAGAGGGAGGCCCCGTGGGAGACTGCACCTGCCATTCTGTTTTCCACTGTGACGCTGTCAGGTTCTCTGCACACAAGCTGCTCCTGACGGGGAGGGAGGCGTGGGCAGGGCACCATGGGAAGGGAATCGGGGGCAGCCCTGATTCAGCGGGCAGGGAGTGGGGCTGCCTTTGGAAGCCACGGATACTTCCGGACTCAGCGAGATGGGGCTCCTCTCACAGGTGCCGCCGCCACGCCCTGTGCCCATGGTCCAGTCGAAGCTGCCCCTCCAGGAAGGAGGAGCACTCTGTCGTGTCACACCCCACGGCCAGCCCAGGCCTGGATGAGGGTGGGACATGGGCGCTTGGTCAGGCCCAGCTCTGGTGGCTGGAGCACCTTGCTGGGGCCAGCCCTTGCCTGCTGCCCTCGGTCCCTTCCCCGTGGCAAGAGGCGGAGCTCCCTGTGGCCCTGGTCTTGTGCCTCACAGATTCTCTCTGCCTAGGTTGTTTCCTGTACACCTTGGGTCAGAGAGCCAAGATAAGTGGCTTGCGGGAACCCTGGTTTGTGGTGGACAAGGACGGGGCCAAGGGCGACGTGTTTGTGGTGAGTTGCCTGGCGTTGGCCCAGGGAACAGAGGGTTTTGTTGAATGTATTAGGCTCTTAGCATTTATTAGGCTCTCACTGTATGTTGGTCGCATGCATCCTTATAAATGCAGACTTTTCCTCTGATTTTTCACAAACGGGACCCAGAGAGATAACGGCGTTTGCTCAGGGTCGTGTGGAGTGGGGGCGGTGTCGATGCTCAGGACAGCTTCCCGTGGAGGGATCCTGATGTCCCAGTGGGACGGTCAGGATGGAGCCAGACTCTGCTCCATTCAGCCTGCCCAGGGCTCCAGAGCAGGCCTCCTCAAAGGGGGCAGGCTCGCCGCTCCCCGACCCCCAAGCCCCAGCTGGGTGCTGCTAAAGGCCTTGCAGCACATAGAACAGCCCCTTCCACAACAGGGCGACCCGGCCCCACTCCTGAGGGCCGCTGAGCTGCCATCCCGCTGTCCCACTGTTGCTGTGGATTCACTCTGAGAGGAGGAGCGTGGTGGGGGCAAGAGGCGTGGAGTCACCACACAGGCCCCGGGAGTCGGGTGAAAGCGGGCCAGAGGCGAGCAGCCCACAGACTCGTTTATGTCAGTTGGTGCAGCAGCTTAAATAGCCAAGGCAGCCAGTCCAGTCAAGGGGTGGTTTATGCCCTAACCAATCACAGCCCGTTTCCAGGCAGGCTCTGTTGCCAGGTGGTTTCCCAGAGGGTTTCCCAGGGGGTTTCCAAAGCCATTCCTGAGTAACTGATGCTCACTTGCCAGTGGCCATCTTGGCATGGCCTTCTCATTCTACCACATCCCATGTGCTGGGGCTTGCCTCAGATGCAGGCTGGGAGCCACGGGACCCTCCTGCCGATCCTGGGATGCCAGGCAGAGTCGTGCAGTGGCTAGCCCTGTCTGTGGGAATGCAAGTGATTTTCGTGTCAACTCCAGTGGTGTGTTTGCTGTCGTAGAGGGAGGGTCGTGGGCTGAGCCCTGGCCCTTGGCAAATCTCGTGGCTGCTTAGACTCCAAGGCCCTGGACTTGTTGCTCCTGGGCCTGCTTCTTGGGGCAGGAATGGCCCATCCTAGGAGGTGTGCCACAGGCCCACGAGCACAGGCCTCTGAGCCAGCCCCAGGGTGGCTGGAGCCCTGGTCAGCCAGGACCACCCTGACTGGGAGTGCAGCCTCTAGGTGGCTGGTGGGGTGGGGAGCTGTACCTACCTGCGTCTGCTTTCCTTGTCCCTTTGGTGCTTGGTGTGCCTCCTAGGGTGGCCTTTTTCAGAGATGGGCCAGTGGCGTGGCAGCCCCTGTGTACCTCTTGTGCCTCAGTCTCCTCACCTGCGAAATGGGATGAGAAGATGAGAAGGCTCAAGAGCTGAGTAGTGAGTTTATCCGAGTCACGTGTTGTGGAATTCGAGTTTGCTGTGAGGGTTTTTGTGTTTGAAACCCAGTGAGGTGGGCTTTGGGATAAAGGGCCCTCTCTTAAGGGCTCCAGGACATTCGAGTTATGCCCCGCAGGCCCCCCGGACAGACCACCCAGCCCTGTACAGAGACCTGCTGCGGACCAACCGCGTGCACTGGATTGCCGAGGAGCCGCCTGCGGCCCTGGTCCGAGACAAGATGATGGAGTGCCACTTTCGCTTCCGCCACCAGATGGCGCTAGGTGACTGAGCAGAGGGGATGGTGTCGGGGGGCTGGCCAGGTTTCAGCCTGGAGATGAGGCCTGGGGGCAGAGTGAGGATAGGGCACCATGCCCTTTGGTATGATGTAGGAGAGGCTCGGGCCAGCTGTGGGGTGGGCGGCCAGGTGGGCAGCAGATGGTGTGTGCTGCCTCTGCCATGTCTTGGGACCAGCTGGTGGCTCTGAGCCTCTCTGTCCACTGCCCTGTCCTTCCCTGGTTGGGGGTGGGGAACAGGGAGACTCCCTCTGAGCCGGGCCCTCGTCCCCGTGGCTGCCGTTCCTCCCCTGCGGTGGACCGATGTGGTGGCCTCCTCCCAGCCTCTCTCTCCCCCTTAGTGCCCTGTGTGCTGACCCTCAATCAGGATGGCACCGTGTGGGTGACTGCTGTGAAGGCCGTGCGGGCCCTCACCCCAGGGCAGGTGAGTGGGGCCGGGGCAGCGTTGGGGAAGGTGGACAGGCTCCCGCGCTGTCGTCCCGAGAACCTAGGTACTCTGAGCCCAGTCCTCCCTCAGCCTCAGCCTCAGCCTGCAGCACCAGGTGCCCACAGCCCCAAATTGGGGTTTCTCTCCTTTCCAGTTTGCTGTGTTCTACAAAGGGGACGAGTGCCTTGGAAGTGGGAAAATCCTGCGTTTGGGACCGTCTGCCTACACTCTCCAGAAAGGCAAAAGCAGAGCCGGAGTGGCCCCTGAGGTGTCTGGTGATGGCCCAGGCCTGTGTCCCACTCCCTGACCCAGGATGAGCTGCTGGGAGGTGACCCAAGAGAGCTGAGCCCAGGCTGGGCAGCTGGTGGGCAGGCTGGGTCATTGAGGACCTTGGTTGCGACTGCCTGAACCAGGGGATGCCTGACCAGCGCTGCCATCCCAGAGCCTGGAGCTCCAGCAGCCCAGAGGTCTTGCTGACCAGGGGTCTTGCAAGGGCGTTGGTGAGTGCCTCTTTCCCTTCTACCCAGGAAGGTGTTGCACCTGTGGCCACATGGTAGGGGTCTTTGGGGACCCTGGGACCACAGGGACCATCAAATAAACAGTACTCTGTCTGTCGCTGCCTCCAGTGCTAGGAGCGGCCTCTGGGAGGTTTCGGGGCTCCACACTCCTGATGTTGGACAGTGTAGAACAGGGCAGGTGGCCAGCAGGGGAGAGCCATGGGGACCCCCCATGCAGGGGTGCAGTGCCTCCATTTGGAAGGGAGGCAGCTGTGGCAGCATCCAGGTCTGTAGGTGCTGCACACGGAGCCACGCTTCCTCCTGCGGTGCCTGCACCTGCATGGGACCCAGCGTGGAGTCACCACGAGGGGGAAATCGGGCCCCGTGTGTTTGAGTTGTGGGCAGGGGCTGATCAGAGCAGGCAGAGCTGCTGGGCAGATGAGAGCGAGGAAGTTGAGAGCCAGAGGTCAGGGTGGGAGAGATGTGTTGGTCTTGGGTGCCCTGGTCAGGCCTGAAGTGACCGTCATCGTGCCGAAGGTGGCTGGAAGAGGCAGGCTGGGCCTGGCTAAGCCTCCCTCCAGGGATGACTCGGGGCTGTGTCCTCGGAGCTGCTGGGAGCTTGTCAGTTGTGCCAGGAGGGTCTTTGTTTGCAGAGTGAGGCCACTGTGTGTCCCTGTCCTGGGTAGGCGGGGTTGCACCCTGTCCCAGGCTCCCTTTGCCTCACTGGATGTCAGGCTTGGACGTTGTTGTGCTTCAAGTCAGGCTCCTGTGGGGGAGTGAGTCCCTTCTTGGGTTAGAAAGTTCTAGACCAGATGCACTCATTCAGGTCACACAGCATGACAGGGCCCACCGCAGATGAGAGGGTTCCTTCCTTGCCCCACTGGGGTTCTCAGAATCCACTAGAACAGAGTGTTGGGGGTGCTGGGGGCAGCAGGGCCAAACCCAGGTCCGGGCGCCCAGGGTGCAGACCCTCCTGGGAGCAGGTCACACGGGGCCTGGAGGCTGAAGCGCCTCCACATGACCCAGCCCTGTCCTCTCCCTGAGCACGCCGCCGTTCCCCCAGCCTCCGCCCTGCTGGGTGTCCCTGTCCCTTCCACTGTTCCCTTGAGCTAGGTCCCCCTCCCTGGCAGGAGCACGTGAGGGTGAGGAGTGGGCCAGAACCAGGTGGTTCCCGAGAGGCGGAGGCCACGTGCCCCGCAGCCCTCACCAGGGCAGTACCAGGAGGGCCTGCGGCTCCCTGGCCGTTGGGCAGGCTGCACACAGCAGCCGTCCTGCAGACTGTCCTGCTGCTGGGGACCCACGGGCCTGCTGGGCCTGGCGGCTGGGCTGCAGACTGCCCAGAGGGAGCACAGAGCCTCCCTGGCTCAGGTTGTTGGCATGGCCACTCCTCTAACCCAGGTCGCCCTCCCAGGGTGCAGAAAAGGCATGGAGGGAGGGGTTCCCAGGTGGATGCTGGTCAGGACAGCAGCCGGAGGGGCAGTGGCTGCGCTCGTACTGCCTGCCTGGTGGGCAGTGGAGAAAGTGGTGAGGAGCGGCCCCTCCCAGCCCTGCTGTGTGGCGCAGCTGCAGGCCAAAGAGGCAGGGAATGGGAAAACCTGTCCAGGACACTTCTGCACACAGAGTTCTGGCTCTTACTGAAAGTGGAAACCCCCCCCCCCCCCGCCACCTGCCTCCAGCCTCCAGCCGCTGTGCATCCTAGGACAGCCGTGCCCAGCCCCTCAGCTTCACACAGGCTGCTGCGTGCCCCTGAGCCCCTTCGCTCCACAGGTGACTTGTGACGCTTGGTGTCTGGGTGGGGTGCCCAGAGCGAGGTTGGTGCCGTGTTGAAGCGGGCAGGGGTTTGGACAGCCATGCTGTGTGTGGTCAGGTGGACTCAGGGGGGAGGGAGTCTAGTGTCCTGACCTGTCACGATCCCAGTGCAGCCTTGTCTGGGGTTGACATCTGCAGAGCTGCTCGGGGACCTCCGGAGGACGCCTGGGCTGGCTGGTGGTCCAGACCACTCTGGCCGGCGGCTTTCTCTTGCTCAGATGATGCTGGGATTCCCCTCTCAGTATGGCTTTGGGTTGAGATCAGCACATCGTGTGCCCACTGCTGAGCACTCAGAGTGGGGGAGGAGCCACACTTGAGACAAGACCTTGGCCACGACCGCTGCGCCTGTGGGCGGCCCTGGTCTCTGCAGAGCTCTATGGATGGGCTCGTGGGCCAAGTTAGGGGAACCTCGTGGTTTCTTTGTTCTCTCCCCCTCTATCTCACACACACACACACACGCCACCACTGTTTTAGTACCACCCCAAGTGGCTGGAACTCTGGGGAAGCCCGTTTGCCTGGTGGTGATGTGCCATGGAGTTAGCACGAGGTGGGATCCGAGAGAGAGAGCGGAGGCCCCCTCTTAATGGTGTGTGCAGCCCAGGCTCCTCCCACCCCAGCCTGTGAGTGCCTGAAGCAGACCCAGTACGTGCTGCAGAGGTCTCGACAGCCGCCGCGCACTCACAGGCGGGCCAGGGCCAGGGCACTACACGTGTCTCCTGCTGTGGAAACAAATGACGCTGCAGGGAGAGGCCATGCTTGAAATGCCCACTGAGAGTTTGCTGTGAAGTTAACCTGGCGCACAGAACCAGGAGGGTGCCAGGAGCTGACGGGCAGATTCCAGCCAGACAGCCCCAGTGTGGGCAGCGGGCAAGGAACGTGGGGGCCGACGTTTCCAGCAAGAAGTAAGAGGAACGTGGTGGGGATTTTAAAGCTTAATATATTCAAGCAAAGCACTGGATGGGTTCAAGGGCAGAGAGACTTGGCCTGCAGAAGACTGAGCACCGGAAACCATGGGCCGAGGAGCCAGGAGGAGCCAGGAGCCGAGCCCCGAAGGCCTGACGTGTGTCACTGAGCACCAGCCAGAGTCATGCAGCAAAAAAGCTCAGATAGTGGCTGCAAACTCGGTGACAGACATGAGTTCAGGCGTGTCAGGAAATGCTTAAGAGCGTCGCGTAGCAGAGCCCACAAAGGCCCACGGTGCCCCTCTGTGCTGCCCAGGGAGGGCGTGAGGAAGCAGAGACCAGCAAGGCAGAAGTACAAATTCAAAAAATCTTAATTTATTGTAGATTCTTTTCTCGTGGTGGTGTCATTCCAGTGTTCTGAACATTAATAAATACACGTTAAAAACCTCCAGTGTCTGCTTTCTCTTATAAAGTCTTTAGTCATAAAAACAGCCCAGGCTTTTCCTGTCGGTGGAACTGACCATTGTTTTTTTGATAACAGTGCCCATCAGATTAAGAACTGCTCGGAGGGCGAGATCCGCACACGGGGCTGGGGACTGCTCGGACCACGGGCACTCAGGTCTCAGGAGTCACCTGCGGAGACCTCCTCTGTGTTGGCAGCCACTCGCCCGGTAAGGCACATGGATGGCTCGGAGGGGGGTGGGGGGGTATTAAACTGTCTTCAGCGACGTGTAGCCGTCTCCAGTGTCTGGAAACCGCTTGTCCACCGCTTGGGCACTGACATGAAGAACAAAGGAAACGCTGAAATGAATGCAGGGTCTGAGTAATCCTGGGCCCTGTTCCACAGCCCCTCGGGCCATGCTGTGGACTGCGGCCCTCACTGTGAGTCTCCAGGAACAGTCTGGGAGGCGCTGAAAAGCACGGCTGTGCCTTTGTCCTCTGCATAATTGGGCATTTGAGGCACAACGATGTCATTGGTCAACTCGGGGGGTGGGGCCTCAGCTAGGAAACTGGCAGGAAAGAATGTGACACCCTGAAGCCCTCGTGCCTCCGTCTGCGTCGGGAACGCGTGAATGCTGTCTGATCCCTGGAGCAGGAACCGGGAACAAAGGCGTCTCCCACCTGCAATGCTGCGCTCCTGGGAATGGCTCCAGGGAGGCCTCCACCCTGGACCTGGAGTGGGCCCGGCCATGGCGCCTGCACAGCGACAGCTGGGCTCCTGGGACTCCCTGTCTGGGAGAAGCACTGGCCCCAAAGCAGATGCCGTGCATCTGGGAGGCCAGCGGTCAGGGCACGGCTTCTGGCTCACTGGTGAAAGCTGGAGACGGCTGATGCCACCGACTACACCATGACCTGCTGGGAACCTGGCAGCAGCCACACCATGCCAGTTCATGCTCCACACTCCCGGTATCCACAGTCCGTACCAATGCAGAGTCCCATGCAAACAACAGTATATCTGCACCTTTTCAACGTTAACGGATTTGCTTTCAAACCAGAGTCTGGGCTTCTGGCCAAGGGCCGGTGCTGTGGGAAGAGGCCTGTGTCTTCAGGCTGTGCCTGGCGAGCTGGCAGGCTGGGCCAGTGGCAGGGCTCTGGCCGTGTGCTGTCCAAGGATGCCTCCCTCCCTTGGGGCCTCTGGCATTTGGCACTTGCCACAGGGTCTGATGGGCCCCAAGCCTCTGGAGGGACTCCAGACACGAAGCTGCCACTGCAGGACCCCCACGCCCAGGGCCTTCCCTCTTGGAGAGCAGCCCCTTGGGCTGCGCGGCAAGGGCAGGACGACGCGGTGGCCCGTGGGAAGGGACTGCCTCATTGGTTCCTGATGGTTCAAATTGAAGTTTCATTACTGCCTCTGTGCGTGGGAAGAAGCCACCAGGCAGGTGGAGGATCAGTGAGGACGGGGAGCTGAGGGGGCTAAGGTCTTTTGGGGCAGAGCCCATCGCTTGGGTGAGGGCAAACTTAGCTAGATGGCGGGGTGGGGGTGGGGGTGCTGCAGTGCTGACCCTGGGCCCACCGTGTGGAGCAAGTGGTATCCAGGAAAGCGAAGTCCATCTTCAGCTGACTCACGGGCCGTTCTAGGGGACCTGGCCCCCAGCTCCAGGCTGCAGCTGGGCGCTCTGCCAGCCTCGGTTCCCTTAGCTCAAGATGGGCTAGCAGTGACCCCGGGCCCGCCTGCCACACACGGCCGTCGGCCCCAGGAGCTGGCTGCTCAGGGCAGTGTAGGCTCCGTCTGAACCCAGCTGCAGCCTGCTGGGCTGTGGGTGCTGTCTTGGGATGGGGGAGGGCCAGGTCCCTGCCTCCCTGGAGGCTGTGGCTACTTACTCAGAATCAGAGCCTTCAGCCTGGGCGCTCCCCACGCACACGGTCATGGCCACCCCGTTGAGGTGCTCACACCCCGGCTCCCTCCGCGGGGTCTTGATGGTGACGGCGCAGTCAGGGGCGCGGCTGCTGTCGGCAGAGCCCGGGGAGGACGTGCGTGAGGACTCGGGGCTCTGCTCGCAGTCGGCCAGCTTCTCCCGCAGCCGGCACTTGAGGGGCTGCTCGGGCAGTGGCGGGGGGTAGGTGACTTTGTTTTTCAAGATGCCTGAGAGGAGAGAGAGAGAGGCGCAGCAGTCTCAGCGGGGTGGCCCTCGCGCAGCTGAGCCAGCCAGGTCCCCCACAGGACCCATGCCCTGGGTCCCCAGGTACCTTTCCTCTGTTCTGGGGGCTGACTGCTAGGCAGGGAGGGCTTGGCTGGACCCCTGCTGTCCGGCTCCTCCTGGTGCAGCTCCACGCTGACCTTGGTCTCCACCCTCAGTGGGGGCTCATCGCGCAGCTCCTCACTGTCGCTCCCGGCCGGGCTGTCGTCAGGCCAGCCGGCTGGGATGTGGTTGGCCACGGCATCCGCTGGGACACAGAGCAACTCAACCAGCAGCCCTGCTGGCTGTGCTCAGAGCCAAGGCCCCCCAGCACTGCCCCTCTGGGAGGTCCGAGGGGCCCTGCGCAACCGCCCTTGGCAAGCCTGGAGTTTGCACCTAAAGGTGGCACACTCAGGCCCAGCGAGGGACGGTTCTGAGCAGGCTCGGCTGTGAGCCTCCCGCTGCACCCTGATGGCAGAAGCCATACCCTGCTGCTTCCTGTCTTGGCTCAGCAGGTGGTGTGGGGGCCTCCCTGGGCCAGGGCCCCCAAATGCCTACCTTTGGGGGTGCTGTGGACGGGGCCCCGGGCTGGATCCCACTTCCCCTCGGCCTCCACGCCCTCGTCCTCACTGTCCGACGAGCGTGAGGATGCGTAGGAGCTGCTGTGCTCGTCCAAGGACAGCTCGCTGTCAGAGTCCGAGTCAGGGCCTGCAGGGGCAGGGGCCGTGGCTGCTCACCTGGGCCCCCGGCCGTGGGGCAGAGGGATGCACCAGGTGGCTCCGCCCTCCGGGGGAGGCCGTACCGTGGGGTTTCTTGGTGCTCCTGTGGATGAAGGGTGGGTCTGCCTCCCCGTGGCCGCCCCGGGCGGGCCTGGAAGACACACTGAGCTTCTGAACCGCTGTGTCTCTACAAAGGACAGAGGGCAGGTGCCGATGCCGCCACCATCCCTGAGCACCGTCCTGCATGAGCTGGGCCGGCCTGTGGGGCTCTGGAATTCCTGCGACCCCTTCCCCTGTGTCCTGATCAAGGGCGACCGCAGGCATGCATGGAGCCCGGGTACATCAGGCTGGGGCCCGGGGCTGACCTGACGGTGCTGTCCAGCGAGGCAGTGGACTCGCCCAGGGCCGTGCGGAGCATGTCGGGGCCCTCGCTGTACGTGTTGTTGCAGTTGAGGGAGCGCTGGGGGGAAAAGCAGGGCTGGTTAGTGCCGGCAGAGGCGGCCACATGAACCCTCCCAGGATGGCTGCCTCACACCAAGCCTGGGCCCTGCCCCTGCCCGGCACACACAGGAGCCTCCTGACAGCCCTGCGGTGGCTGGAGGTTTCTTTCTCGTGTAAGCTGGCCACAGCTTCTGGCTTGGGGGTCCTCGCCCGCCCTGGTCCCTGTCTTCCTAAACCTTGAGAAGTGGGCTGAGGTTAGGCTGAGACCCCATCCTGCCAGTGCTGCTCGCTCTCCCAGGGCCACAGTGGAAGACACGGAGCACAAGCAGTGTGGACAGCTGCAGCACCCTCGGGGGGGGGGGCACAAAGGCCATGGAACTGTGACCCCGGGTCCTCGTACTCCTACCGTCAGCAGGGTGGCCCTGGTGGTGGCCGAGTCGTCCAGGTGCAGCTTCTTCCCGGCAAGCACCGCCCGCAGGTGCTTGCGAACCTCCCTGTTGAACACGCAGTGGAACAGGAGGACAAAGAGGCCCTGGGGGGGAGGGCAGCGGTCAGCAGCAGACGTGGCCTGTGGGGTCCTGATGCTGCCCCACCAGGACCCATTTCACACCACCACGTGGGCTGCGTGGATGGAGCCAGCCCGGCCCATGTGGCCTGGGAGACAGGTGCCCCCTGGGGCCACACCAGGCCTCCCCAGGGCCTCTGCTTTCTTGGGCAGGACAGCCATTGTGCCTGGGGTCCCCGACCTGAGGCCACTGCCCCTTCCTGGGGACAGCCCCTGCCCTGCCCTCCTAAGGACCACCACGCGGGGGACTGGGGACCCCAGCCACTTTCCTGGGGTGGGCCTGGGAGCTGAAGCCGCCCCCCCCCCCCGCCCCGCCCCGCCAGGCCCCGTGGCCGAGCATACCTGCAGGCAGCTGAAACCAGCAAAGAGGTAGTGGAAGAGGAGCACGTCGCTGTTCACGGCCAGCAGCCCCAGCAGCCAGGTGGCGCTGACGAGCAGCAGCAGCAGGAAGGCGGTCCTCAGCAGGGCGCTGCGGGCACGGGGCTTGACTCCAGGGCCGCCCTCCCACACACAGCCCTCCCTCACCCCAAACCACGGTCTAAGCGCCTGCGTCAGTAGGGAAGTCAGCAGAGAACAAGTAAAAACAGGAGGCGTGATCGCCACGGGCCACTGCCCCCAGCACTTGGACAGGAGTGACGGCCACCACAAGCCCCTGCCCACAGGTCCTGCTGTGGTGCCTGGTGCACCAGGCCACACCAGCCCTGGGGACGCCAGAGGCAAGGCTGAGGCCTGTGCTGCCCCTGCTGTGTGATCTGGGAGGTGACTTCTGGGCTCTGCACAGGGAGTGACAAGGACCCCTCCTGGGGCTGGACAGGGTGGGGCGGCCACAAGACCTGCACCGCCCTGGCATCGACCCTTCCTCCGGGTTCCATCACCCGCCCGTTCCAGACTCTTCCTGCCTGCCTGGCCCTGTCTCTGCCGAAACACCTGACAGGCACCCCGTCCTCGTCTCCCGGCCCCCGTTCTCTCCTTCCCCAGGGATCTCTTCCACTTGGAATACACATCTCACCCCCACTGGGTGTTTCCAGGCACCTCAGGGTTGGTTGAGGACCCTCCCCCATGCTGGGCCAGGGCCTGGGGCTGCCGGCCTCACTCACTCCACAGCTCATTCACCACCGGGTCCTGCAGGTTCCACACCGGCCCCTCCCCTGGGCCAGGCGTCCCTGGGGCTGAGCCGGCAATGGGCTGAACAGAACCCTACCTGGCATGCACACGGGATACTTGGGGGTCCCAGGGCCTGTTGACCGTGGCTGGACAAGGTCAGCTTAGCCTTAGGTGCACCCCCCTGGTTGAATTCATCCCCAACTTACACAACCCCTCTCCTTTCATAGTAATGGTGCTTTCTTTGGCAGGAAACCTTGGCAGACAGGACAAAAATGACTGTGTTGATCTGAGAACAAAAGGAAAGAGTGCTCTCGCGTGCTGGCAGGTGCTCTGAAGCCACCCTGCACCCTGGGAGCCAAGGCTGTCCCATGCCAGGCTGCAGCCACCCTCCCAGCCTACATGTGTGGGGACCTTCCTGGGGGATGGACACCCAGCAGTCTCCCAGTGGGCACAAAACATAACCTGGGATCCAGGGACCCAAGGACGAGGCCCCGGGGCAGCCCGGAGGCTTCAGCAACTGTTACCATGGGATGGGCTCTTCCCACCCTGCCCTGCCTGCTCAGGCACTGTGACCCCAGCCAGCCAGAATTCCCTGGGGGCACCCGGCACTCACAGCTATGACCATTCCGACGGGCCCAGCAAAGCTCCAGATCAGAGTGTCATGGAGGGACAGCCAGCAGAAGTCGGGGTTCCCATAGCCCTGGGGGTCCAGGCCCACTGCCAGTCCTGAGCACAGTGCAGGGCAGAGAGGAGTAAGGGCCAAATGCCTGCCAGTGTGTGGGTCACAGGACAGATGACCCCCTCCAAGGCCCACGGCCATGGACTGGGGACCTGGCGTCACTTTCCGAGGAGGGAAGTGCAAGGGGCTGAGAGCAGCATCCAGGACCCAGCAGAGACCCTGGGAGCCAAGTGCAGGGCCCTCCTGTGGGCCTGGGAGGCAGGAGCTCTGCGGGGATCTGCCCCACCCCTGCCAGCCGTGCTGAGGGAGGCAGAGCGAGGAACAGCGGGGTGGTGCTTGGGAAGGGCTTC